TGTGGAATGATATATTACAGCACTTAGTCGTAAAATTTTCACTGATGATCTTCGAAAAAAAATTCGAGTTCCATTAAACAAACCGTATAATCGAATAAAGAATCATTTTTAGTAGAATTATTTTTGTACTGAGTATTCAGGAAACCGAAGACATCAAGGAAATTAAAAATTATTTAGGTATGCAGAGTCAGTCGAAGAAACATTGTTTGAATTTTACTTGGACATCTTTAATGGATCATATCTATTGTTTGACAAGTCGCAGTTGGATGCACATACTCTTTTTGAGTCGTTTTATTTCATGCATACCCCATGGGATAAAACATGAAGATATATTCATTGCGAAACACGTGAAATCGGTCACAATTTAACGTGTTTCGCAGCGTTTCCTATGGTAACACAGGCGTAAAACCAATTTTCCCATTTACTCAAAACGTGTTTGGAAGCCACTATTTCAGGATGAAAACGAAAAGTATATCATCACGCGGCGTTTTTAACCGATTCAACAGCTGCGGAACGTTTTAGACCGGTCAGTATTAACGCGTTTTGTAGCATTTGAAAGTAAGAAAATTTTTCGCATGAGATAATTGTATAACCCCCTCCCCCCAGAATAGAAGACCACCCCTAATAAAAAAATTCACAAGGCGGAATAGAAGGCCACGGCTTTCTAAAAACTCTCTCTTCTTTGAAGTATTTTTGTCGATCGATGGTAGATCATAGTAGACGATAGATTAGACAATCAGAGAGAAAGAACAAGAACGCATCGAGAATAACGATCAATCATGTCCATTAAGTGCAGAAGAAGTAACTTGTACATATTCAAATCGAAATCAACAACGAAACAAAGATGTGTATTATGACTATGAAGCCCATGATGAGCACTTGCAGTCGCTACCCCGTTTCATCGACGATGGAGAAGAATCGGATAGTTCAGCAAATAAAGATCAATGTGAAATTGTTACTGATATAGAAGATAGTGAAAATTCACTTGTTAATTTAAATAAATATTTAAATATGGATTCTACTGATGACGACGAAGCTAGTACCGACGAAGAGCGCGAACAGACTGTTCTAGAAAAGTCAATTGGCGAAGATGAATTTCAACAAGACGATGATTCTGATGATCCAGTGCTGTCTAATCTCATTTCTTCAACAACAACACCTATAACTTCAGTCAGTAGTGCCGTTCAATTACAAAAACCATTAGCAAAAGCTACCGGTAATCAAGGCAGCACGAAACGAAAGCGGAAACAATGGTCTATTAAAGAAAAATTATCGGCTTTGAATAGCTTTGAAAAGAAAATCTTGGTAATAAACAGCTTACTGCTCATCAACATGGTTGTTCCCGGTATCAATCGTCACAATGGCTTAAAGGGAAAAATGAACTTGAAACACTGTCCAAGCTCAAGCATGGTAAGAATAACTGATATTTTTTGATCAGCTAATCTTTCAATCTAGGTGAAATTTATATTATCTTATTCAGAACAAGGGAAAAATACAGATACTTGCTGAATATTTACTGTCTATTTTAAAAAGTAATTATACATTTTAGGTAAAAAACGCAAACGTTTCAGTGGTGGTGGTGTAAAAATTAAGTTCGTTGACCTTGATCATCGATTGTTATTATGATTTCGAGAGAAACAAACATTTATTGATGCAAAAGCTGTTGCTACAACTGGTATAACAACAACAGCAACAATAAGACGTGAGAAGGTAACATTTCGTCAATTAGAACGGCAAGGTAAATTATTAAGTTGTGGAATTAAAACATCCTTGTCAAAGTACGAAATGGTTTGGGAGATTCATACGCTGTCATCGTTTATCACTTTAAAACCCGAAAAGAAACCAAAAAGTTTCATTGTCCTATGCATATCCACTTATAAACAATTTCTATGATTATATTCGTCGAGCAAGTCAATGGGCACCAAGTCGTGGACCTATGGGAGCATCCCTTCCACGAGATGTATGCAACATGGACGAAAGTCCATTAAGTTTATTTGGAGATCAATCGAGATTATCGATAAATGATGTCAATACATCCAATGATATTGAAGGTTGTATTAGTAATAAACGGTTCGCTACTGTTATATTAACAATTTTTGGTTCCGATAATACACGAGCTGGCCCAGTATTAATTTTTAAAGGAAAAGGGCAGGCGTCGAGTATTGAGAAAATGCAATATGCTAATGGTGTTAAAGTGTATTTTACTCCGAAGGCTGTTAACAATCGTATTACAATGGATAAGTAAGTTAAAGAACGAATAAAAAGATATCAACTGAAATTAAGGATGTGATGAAAAATATATTAATTCTTTTTTTCCCCAGAGACATGGAATATTGGATGTCGGAGGTCAATGACAAGAATCCGAAATTATTTATTTCTGACAGTTCAAATGCACATATTGATCACCAGTCAATTCGATTATTACGAAAGAAACAAATTTTTGTTGCCGTAATACCGAAGGGGTGTACTATGTATATTCAAGCACTCGATGTTTATGTGTTTTCAATATTTAAAACCATTAATATGATTGCTCAGAAGAGTATATTGAGAAAGCATGTGGTCGCTTGAAGGTTAAGCTCACGGCATCAGAATGAAGAGTTTTATGTACACGACTTACTTTGATTGCATGGAATAGAACACTTTCTTCTATTGATTTTAGTAAAATTTTTCGTGAACTTGGGTATACATGGGCCGATCATGTTACACCAATAAAGCTTCACTCTTTATGGATATATGTGAGTATCAGTGCAGATGAACAACAAAATCCACACCCACACCCATGTTTTTTTCGATTTGAGACCTTCTTATTTCAGAGAATCTATTTCAATAAAATCAGTATTGATATGTCATGAACCTTTGAACGATGATAGAGTTCGGCACGCTCTACAAAATTGCTACAGACACTTTTCCTGTATCCGTTACGCAACATATGTAAAAAAGGAGTTTTTCTCGAAAGAAATATTTTTGCTTGAATTTTGTTGGAGTGTCGTAATTAGGGACAAAAAAATAGCTTAGTGTCGTAATTAAGGAAAGTAACTCTAATAACGACAACGAGGGGTCTTCATCGTAGACCGCTGTTTTCTCGAGAACTATATGAGTGAGAAAAGTTCAAAGCATACCATTTGAAACAGGAGACTTCAAGGATCATGCACATATAAATATAATTTCATTCGAAAGTAAATTGACGACGAACGAAGTTGAACAATCGAAGTAGATTTTTTACTGTCGTAATTAGGGATATTGACTCTACCAATGTCGCTAAAATCACAAATAAAATACCTTATGAGGCTATTTTTAAACAAGAACTCACATCAGATTTGAAAATACGGAAAGTTATCAGTCAATCGGGTATAGAAGATTAATAAAACATTTCGGATAACTTCATTCGACAATTTGACGCATGTGAGCTTTATCTTAGCTGCAAATTTGTTGTTCCAGTACATCTTTGTGATATTTTTAATATCGGAAATAGGTGATGATTCAAATTATCTCCAAAAAACAAACGAGCAGCGAAATGTTCCCAATACAAATAATCAAACATCTTATTTGACACTAGAAATTCAATCACCAGCACTAACTTCTGTTCCAAATATGATGATCATTGCTCCTAATACACTTACTACAACTAATGAAAGAACAATTATAAATTGTTCTAGTAATTTTATAGGCTTCAATGATAATACTCTTACTAAAGGTTTGCCATAGGGTAGCATATGATATCAAGTTAATTGTGGATTTAACTTAATATTTTTTCTTTCATTATGTAGATGATTCTGTTATGAACAATGACAGTGCTATTGAACGTTCAACTAATGATTCACTTAATCATAGACATAGAATAATTCAAGAAGAAACAGGAGCTGATTATTTTACGTCAATGCCTAAACGTCGAAAACTATATCGCAATGCCATGAGCCAACAACAGCAATATCAATTGGACGATTTGCTTGACCTAGTAAACGATGAAATGAATCGAACCAATAACAACAACCCGATTTTTCCTTTGTAAAACTATAGCTATTCCTTTATCATGGAATGACATTAGAATGTGTAATCTGCGTATATTAATAGGTATATTGACAATATTATACAGGGTTCAATAGCAATCGTATTTAAAAAAGTGTGACTTGGTCAATTTACATAGTGTTAATCGAAGAAGTCTATCAACAATTACATTTACATAAGCATATAAAGACTATATACCAGTAGGAATGAATTCCCAGAAATAGAATCATACAACTGTAATAGGACATATGCTACAATATCTTCTCCCTGCAAAGCTGCCGATATTAGACGCTATATAAAATGTCATCAGGAAAAGAAGAAACATCTTTGTGATAATGCCTCATGATTGTTGTGAACACTGATATTCAATTTGTTCTTTGGAACCATTTCTTTTTTTAAAACATTATCTCATTTTAGTGGATAATATAAAAACTCGTCACGGAAATATAAAATCGTGTGTATCAAAATAATAATACATTTACTGCTTTTTAAAGTTCTCATTTAGAGAAAATTAAAGGGTCAATATTCTCTAGAAGAGAAACTAAAACCATTGACTCTTATAACAAAATTCACAGGAAAAGAGACAAAATTTCAAAAAGATTTTTATATTGAATGAAATGGTTGCTGTAAATAAGACGTTGACAGTAACAGATCAGTTTGTATTCGATTTCAAGCACATATATGCGACACTTTTCACTTCATTGAGTCACCCCATTGTTCGAGAACCACTGTAACACTATCAAAAGAAAATTCATTTTCACCGACAGGTTTATACATCAATTCTGTCGCATAACAGACCGATAGTTACTGAAGAACTTTCATCATCAGTTGTACATCATAAGAAAATTTATCCCAAATAATCAACAGCAGTTCCTAATACCACAAACAGCTACATCTGAAACGTGTCTCCCAAGCTTTCGATACCAATAGTTATGAGAGTCACTTCTACCTGAATCCTAACTGTAACCAATTAAGATGTCTCCAAACCACCAGATGGCTTCTTTGCATAAAGAAGAAGCAGTTCACGGTAATCTATTGTAAATTATACGTTCTACATTCGAAAAACGTTTTTTCATATTATGATCATTAACACCTACTTAATCAATGAACAAAAATTGTTTCGAGAGTTATGTTTTATGTAATGAAATCTCTTCTCGTCTAACTGGTAGGACATCTGCCCGGATAGCAGAAAATACGGTGTTCGAGTCCCGTAAAGAGTATCTTATACATTATACTTTGATTTAAGTCAAGCCAAGACAGAAACAACTGTTGTCGTGGTACGGCATTCTAATTTCTAAACACAACCATCATATAATTTACTACGATACGCACAAATAAAGTTGATCTTTTATGTTAAGTATATTCCTTTCGAGTATAGTAATGATGGTTTTTCTTTTTGGCGATTTTCTTTGTTGAAAATTCCTTTATTGAAATAATTTTATTATTATGTTTTGAATTCTAGGTTTTACTTGATGATCTTCTTTTGTTTTTTATGTAGTCTAAATAAGATTCTTAAGATACCTGATGATTGAACCCTTAAGCAAGGTTCGAAACGCGTCATATTCTGCTCTGAATCTTATTGTTGAGTGATTAACACACCCACACCCACACCCACGAAAATGGAGTATATACATGGAAATAGACAACCTTAGTTGAGAGCGGCTAGATAGCTCAGTTGGTAGAGCAGCGGACATGTTATCCGAAGGTCGTGGATTCGTTTCCCACTCTGGTCACTCTTTTCTAATGAGTTATATTGAAGTGTATAGAAAAATATTTTCGCAGTCATGTTCATGCTGGTGATCATTTGATCATAAGCATCTGAAACTAACGCTGAAAAGTGGAAGTATTAAGATCGGGATGAAATCTAGATAATGGTAGCTTATTCACACCCACCCTAGACTACCTGATGAGACCCTTTAACAAGGTCGATAATCTAGATAGTAGTTAAAAATCTTTTAAACTAATACACACCTATTAGTATTTAAGAATTCTCTGTTTTTTATATTAAAAGTAGTAGGAATTATTTCTCTTGAATTTTTTCCTTTTAATTTAATATATTATACAGTGCTTTAGACTACCTGATGAGACCCTTTAGCAAGGTCGATAATCTAGATAGTAGTTAAAAATCTTTTAAACTAATGCACACCCACACCCACACCCTCACACACCCACACCCTAGTTATTTTAATTCTATATTTATGTCAGATATAATTTTATCTTGTGATTTCTTTAAAATTTCTTTTAATTTTAATTTAATCATTTAGACTATTTGTCAACTGATGATTCCCTTCAGCAAGGATGAAACTAGTCTTGACTGCTGTTCACACCCTTATTGATATATTATATGAAAATTTATATTATTCCACTTCCATATTTGTTAAAAATGGAATGATCGGTAATCTCCCGAAAATTCTACGTAAATTTTCTAACATTTTCACATTGATATTATCATACGTTAATTGACATTATAACATTTTTAATAGATATAATCATATATTTTAATTGATATCATCATTTGCATTATAATATTTTCTTACTTCAAATTATATTATATGCAAAGATTTGATAAGTGAAAATGATTATTATATCAACTTTGGCTAAATTGAATTGTTTATCATATTGAATATCATATCGACTTTCGATTAATTTCGATATCAATCCGACGAGACTAGTTCCTCAAAATAAGAAGAAATCAGAAACTATCTATATATATGTCTATCATTTCTTGCCACTATTGGAGATGTTTTGCATATTTTTATCAATTTTTCTATTCTTTTTTTCATTTACCTTTGTTATTTTCTTTCGTTCAATATTTTTTTCTCTTTTCATTTCTCATTTTCTTTCATATTTATTTATTTCTGCTTAAAAAACTTTTTTATGCAGATCCCTGAAGAGTGTACTTATTTTTAAATAAAGACACGAAACGCGTCAGCAACGCTAAATTTTGCATTTATTTGATTATTTTTATAAGCGCATCATTAATATTTGAAATATTATTTCAACAAGATAAACGATTGCTGAAAAGCAAAAGTTGAGATCAGCAGATTGATTTTTTATCTTAGATATACGAGTTGGTCTGTCCTACAATTGATCCACCCTCACACCCCACACCCATACCCACACTCTAATGACTGCTAACCCGCCCCGATTAGGTTAAATCCAAAGAAAGAGTATTCATGCTATCTATGTGCTTTTCTTATCGCAATATAATTTCTTCTGTTTTTAATTTTGAAATAGAAGGCTCACTTTATGTAGCTTTTGGTATGGAATATATTGTAAAGGCGGGAATATTAGGATCGATATTTAATAAAGAAAATTATTTCAATCAAAAATAAAAATCAATAAAAAAAAATTATTTTTATGAAGTATTGTGAGAGGGCAGAAACAGCATTGTCATGAATCGGTATCTTATTCTATATGTTTTATCCTCACTCTTAAGCTACTTCCATTTTTATTCTTTCTTTGTCTCTGTCTGTTTTCTCCCTTAGTAAGGTAGTATTTTGCATACCTTTCTGAGATTAAGAAAATATTAAGAAAATTGGAATAAACAATGCCTCTCATAAAATTCAATCAATCTAAACGCGTAGGCATATAAGAAAGCGTGTGGTCTTCCATATGAGAGCATCAGACACATCTTTATTTCTATCAGTTCTGACAAGAAACATGGATGTAATAAGATCCCCACAATTGATTTGATTGTCAAGTGATTACAAGCGCTTTTCAATGAGTCTTTTTAAATGAAGAAGTAAATGTATTTCTCTATCAGTCTTTCTGCCTGAGAGCCACAAAACAAAACTACGGCTATCAATTAGAAGCAAGAAGTTTCACCGTTGGTAGATAGAGTTCTGACTTTTCTGGCTCAATTTTTCTGTTGTCTTTAAGCCATTTGCCTTCGTCTCCCCCCAACTGTGAAAATAATGAGCGAGATATGAGAAATCTTTTTGTCTAATTCATTTTGTCTTCTATAATAAAATTTTCTGTACTCCTTATATTCTCTAAAGTTGCTAAACAGATTGATCACTCATGACTGTTTTCTTATTTATAAGCTAATAATGAATAGCTTAGGATAGTGTTATTCAAAATGTTGATGTCTTCAGATGAAACTTTTTATCATTCTTTGTGGCGTCGCTCTTTTGACAATTTGTTCTGTCGATGCGGGTGCTTACTTATCAACTCTGAATATTAACGCAAGGGCTGACAGAGTCGCTCCTGTCAAGAACCTTGGTCCTACCTACGGAGCCAACAAAAGAAGACATGTGGATGCCTTGAAGAAAGCAGGTCTTTATGACGCTTACCTCGCTCTTTTTGTGGCCATAGGTATGCAGGAGACAAGCACCTTCAATCCTGCTGACTACGATTACACGAAGACTGGTGATTCTACTAACTATTCTGCCTTCAACCTCAACCGCGATATGATGGTTCGTCTCGGCATTCAACCTACTAACGCCTTCAACACATGGTCTGGTGTTGACAGTGTTGCTGCTGCTGCCAAAACGATGATCACGAACTATGGTGTTAACGGTTTTCTCAACTACCTACGTGGTGGCTATACCGCTTGGCAGGATGGTCATAGTTACGACGCAGCTGGTTACAGAAATGCGATTGCTTCTATTGTACGTTATATAGAGAATGATCTTTCACTTCTCACTGATGATAGACGAGTTGAAATGTACACTATTCATCAGCGTTAAATTACTTCATTTCTATTCATTTCTTTATTTTACTCTTTATTTTGCCTATTTTCTTATTATTGCTTGGTGGTGGGAGAAAAGCAGTCTTCGGTTTTTAGTTCTCTTGTCGAGTTCAAATGAAATAAATTTTTTCCGAAGATCCATCAAAGTATGCACGGAATGGTATCAAGTCTACATATTATTCTGCGAATTTTTATCCTATTTGAGAATCATCATCAGATGACTTTTATTCTTCTTTTATTCATTTATATTTCGAAACAGAAAACTGAAGCGATAAATAAGTAATAGTATACGGTGAAGATTTGTTATTATAAGTTTCTATTTTTACACCATTTCAATAAAATTAAGGATTACTATGAGGATATTTTCTTTACTTTGAAATCAAGTATTGTTAAGAGCAAATAGAAGAGTTATTAAATGAAGCCAATCGCTTTTATCTCAATATCAAAATTTTTCTTGCCTTTTTAATTGGTATACTTTATAATGTTTTAAATATAGAATCGTGAACTGTTTTATTTTCTGTATATAGTGAAGATTAAGAATTGAAATATTCATCTACCTATGTGCAAAAAGTCGGACGTCAATTAAATAAACTAATTATCTAGGGTGACGATTGAGGGTGTGGGCGTGGGTGTGGGTTTGGGAATCCGAATGTGGATTAACGGAAAATAACAGTTATACCCAGATCCACCCACACCCACACCCTCAAGTTTTTCAATGGCGCAAAAAGTTATCAAGATGACTGGAAATCATGAGAAATCAGTAGAAATAATTAGAAATGATCAAAAATCATCCGGATTTTGTGGGAATGGACAGAAAGTTTAAGAAATTAAAGAAATCATGTGAAATCAGACTAATTTTCTGGAAACCTTTCAGATCGTTTGAAATGATTTCGAATGATTTTTAGCTGTTTCAAATAATCCCTTTTGTTTCTGATGATTTCCATGATTTTGCAATGATTTCCAATGATATCCATGATTTGTACTGATTTCGATGATTTCGTCCGATTTCATACGATTTCGATTGATTTCGCCTATTGAAATCAGTTTGTTTCCCCGTGTTATCGCACATTCTGAATGTCGTTTACAGTCACTGTATTTTCACGGTAGTTGTAAAAGGCGAACGTTTACGGTCATTGATTACGATTAACGTAATACACCGTAAGACGTCGTATATGTCTGTCGTAAACGGCCACTGTAAGTAGCTATCGTTTACGATATTTTACGACATTATCCGAGCATCGTTTACTTTCTCCGTATTTTTACGGTAGTCGGAAAAGGCGAAAGTTTACGGTCATTGTTTACGATTAACGTAATACGCCGTAAAACGTCGTATATGACAGCCGTAAACGGCCACTGTAAACGGATGCCGTTTTTCAACGTAAATGATTGGTGTACGGCCGTTTACGGCCGGGCAGGAACGACCTGGGACTGTATATGATCTTCATGCGAACAGAAAATGAAACTGAGGAAACGATCCATATATGTAGCCACACTAGATGGCGGCACTTTGCATTGAATAGATGTCTAGATTGTATATTAATATGTTAATGGTGTGAGGTCAACCATTGAAATTCTTCAAATCTCTTATATCAGCAAGTATTGGATGTTTGAAATTTCAATGTCGACCTCCCTTTTTTCTTTTTGCATTGTTTATTTTATTTGCTTGTTCTTCCTTTATAGGATTTCAAATTTTTCTCTTCTCATAATCCTATTTAATTTTTACATTAAAATTCCATATTAACAAAAGTGTATTATTATCAATTCCAAAATTGAAGCTATAAATTTATTATATCTCATTGTATTGCTTTCATTTATAGATAGACAATCATGTCATCAACAAATCAATCAACTCAACCTGTCAGTCAACAATTACCAACACGCGAAAATAGCCAATTTAAAAAGCTTGTGGTAAAATTATATTTTTCTCTTATGAATCAATTTCTGATCTTGTTTTATTTTATGTTTAAAAATAGCGTTTTTATGAACAAAAACAATATAAAAAAGGTTTGTCATGTACTAAAGAAATATTAAAAAAATTCCCAAATCATGGCGGTATGTATATGATATCAATAAAGAATAAATTAATTGCAACATTATTTTGATATCTAGAAACATTGGCTATGAAAGGTTTAATCCTTAATTCTATGGGTAGGAAAGAAGAATCTTTAGAAAATATTCGTAATGGAATCAAAAATAATTTCACAAGTCATGTAGTATGGCATGTCTATGGTCTATGGCAAAGATCTGAACGAAAATATGATGAAGCAATCAAAGCTTATAAAAGAGCATTACAATGTGAAAAAGTAAGTAATGCATGAGTTTTATTTTTTAGAAAATTCCATTTCTATCATTCCTATTTGATATCCATCAATTTCTTATCAATAGGATAGTCTAACAATTCTTCGTGATTTATCATTATTACAAATTCAAATGCGTGATCTCGATGGTTATAAAGTAATAGATCGATGAAGAAAATCACTAACTTAATCATAAGAAATTACTTCTTTCTCTCAGGAAACACGTCATCAACTATTTAATTTAAAACCTGGTCAACGCCAATCATGGGTTGGCTTTGCAATGTCTTATCATTTATTAGGTGATTATGATATGGCACAAAGTGTACTCGAAGAATTTCGAAAAACTCAACAAGATCGTCCAGCACTTTCGCCAGACAAACCATTTGATATTGAACATTCAGAATATTTACTATATCAAAATTTTGTTTTACGTGAGAGTGGACAATATGAAGATGCTCTACGTCATATACAAGTACATGAAAAAGATATTTATAATAAATTAACTATTGCAGAAATAAAATATGATCTATACATGCGTTTGGGTACAAATGATCGTGCGGAAACAATTCTACGAGATTTAATTGAACGTAATACTGAAAATAAGAAATATTATCATATGTTAGAAAAATGTCTACAAGTAACGGATATTAATGACAAAATGAAATTATATGAAAATCTTATTGAAAAATATCCTAGAGCTGATGCACCCAAACAAATTACTTTACACTTTCTAACCGGTAATAATATTTGTCGATAGTTCATAGTAGATTACGTTCGATTTACATGCATAGTATATTGGATTTAGCTTGATGTCCGAAATATATAATGTTCGGTTTTAAAAGTTACAAATAGAATTCTAGAAAGATGAAATAATAAAAAAGTATAGCCTCTTTTCCAAAAAATTTCATAAAAAAACTTGTATATTGGAAAATATATTTAGACTTTAACTGTTTTAGGTGAATCATTTGCGAAAGCAATTGGATCATACCTACAAAAAGGATTTCAAAAAGGTGTACCCTCACTGTTTCAATCTGTTAAATCTTTATACGCAACATCAGACAAAGTCAGTCTTTTTTCTTCTGTATTTTTTAATTCGTTTTCTTCTGTTTTTTGTTACTACAGGTTCAAATAATTGATACACTTCTACTCACTTATTTAAATAATTTAACTAAATATGGAACATTCGAAACTTTATCTGGTAAAATTTTGAATAGTTTATTAACCAAAAAAAAAAGAATGAATTTTTTGTCATGTACAATAGACACTGAAAATTTAACAGCAGAGGTCGAACCAGCTACAAGTCTTCTTTGGTTACAGTACTATCTGGCTCAACATTACGATTATTTAGGTGAAATAAACAAAGCATTTCAATATATCAATCAAGCTATATATGATACACCAACACTTGTCGAACTCTATATGTTTAAAGCAAAAATATTTAAGGTTTGCTTTTGTTGTACGTTACTTTTGCCTGTCATATTATTTATTTTCTCAATAGCATGCTGGTGATTATCAAACGGCTGCTTCATGGATGGATGAAGCTCAATCAATGGATACAGCTGACCGATTTGTCAATTGTAAATGTACTAAATATTTCTTACGTGCTAATCAAATAAATACTGCACTTGAAATTGCCGGAAAATTTACACGAGTAACAGTTTTTGTTGAATTTAAATTTCTAAAATTTCTAAAATTTTCTTATTGTAAAGGAAAATTCTTCACCAGCTGATTATCTTCGTGAAATGCAATGTATGTGGTTTGAATTAGGAATGGCACGAGCCTATCGTCGTTTAAAAAGATATGGTGAAGCTCTTAAAAAATGTCATGAAATTGATCGAGTATGTTTTTTTTTCTTTTTTTGATAAAACTAGTATTGTTTTTTTGTTTGATGTAGCATTTTCAAGAATTCATGGATGATCAATTTGATTTCCATTCGTATTGTCTCCGCAAAATGGTGCTTTGTGCTTATGTTGATATGCTTAATCTCGAAGATCATATAAAGGGTCATCGATTTTTTCGTCAAGCAGCCGAAATTGCTGTTGAAGTAAATAAATTAAAAGCACGACACAACAAAAATAATTTACTCTAATCATTTAGATTTATATTCGTCTCTATGATCATCCTGCTTCCGAACAAGATAATGATACAAATAATACTCTTGGTAAGCAAAATACGATAGCGTGAGCAAAGACCATGATAGACATGAAAGTGTACATACCTATTATTTGCGAGATCACGATCGAACTACTTAGATTTAACTTTTGATTACTTGTCTAAGAAGCGAGAAGTAAATAGATATCTCTACTTAATTTCCTACAGCTAGCGCTAATATAGATAACAACAACGAACAATCCAAATATAATATATTTATTTATTTCATTTTACAGCTAACATGTCAGTTGCTGAAGCAAAAAAACATAAAAATAAACTACGTAAACAACAATTACGTGAACAACAAGAAAAACAAAAACTAATGGAAGCTGAACGTCGTAAAAAAGAATTTCAACGTAGTCGAAATAAAGAAGATGCTGAAGAAGAAAAAGTCAAAGAAGAAGAAATCGTTGCCGACAAACTTGAACACGTACGTAATAGATTATCGTTATTTATTTCTATATCAATTTATATTTTTAGTGTGAAAAACCATTAGACGAAGCGATGCGATTCTTACAACCGCTTGAAGATTTTTCTGGTAATTTCATACGAACACATTATCTAGGTTTCGAAGTTTATTATCGACGAAGTATGTTCTTTAATAAGAATAATCAAAATAATAATTCAGAAATTTTCTTTAGAAAAACATCTTCTAATGTTACGTTGTTTAAAGCGAATGAAAAAAATAGATACAAACAATGCTAAACTTCATTCATGTTTAATGAAATTTTTAAAATTAGGTTCGATTAAAGATTACACAGAAAAATTTCTTGCATAAATCTATTTGTGTTTCTTAATTCTAGTTGAAACTGAGCCTATAGCTGATGAAAGAATACGAACATTAATCGAGGATGAATTAAAAACATTTGGTGTAAAACAAGGAGATTCAACAAAGAACATTGAAGAACTCAATGAAGAATTTATTAAAAATCATTCAAATTCATTATCCCATCGTGCTGAAGGTAAATATTTCTCCTATGTTTAAATTCTGTAAATAAAAATTCATATTTAGCTGCTAAAATCATGTTTCTCATTAATCCAACAAATAATGTTAAAGCAATCGAATTTCTTACAACATTGGATTCAAATTTTAGCGATCAAAACTTAAAAGTTTGTATTTCATCTTTCTTCTGTTATCGCCATTTCAATCTATTTTCTATCTGTGTAGATATGTACAAGTATATACGAAGATATACAAGCAGGTGACTATGGTCTCATTGAATCTTCAACACTTGAAAAGTATCGTCTCGAATGTAATCGTCATTGGCCACAAGCGAATCTATTTCAAGTAAACCCAACTTCAACGTTTGATCAATCATTGTTACCGCCGTCCTATTCATCACTATCAAATCCACCACCTCCATATTCATCTTGTGATAGTCAGACAAATGGGGATGCAACAGTATTACTCAAGCAGAATTAATTCATGTCCATTGTTTTCTTTTTGTTAATCAGTAGGAAAATGAAGAAACTTTTTTTTCATCTTGTTCGTCGATTATCCATTTTTTTCTTGTATGCAAAAAACAATGCGAAAAAGCCTTATGCATCTTTTGTTATGATTGTTAGACAACCTTTCTTTTTCATTTTCTTTTTTAAGACATATTACCAGTGTTGTAAGGTTTTACATTTTTTTTGTTAAAATAAAACAAAATTAAAAGAATTAACATTCAACCAAAAAAAAAGTTCCCCTCTTCTTTTTTATTCATTCATAGATTAATAATGTCTGATACATCGGGAAGAAAAATTCTTGTACTTGGAAGTCGTTGGAGTGGGAAAAGTTTTATAATAAAACGTTTAGAAGATATTTGTTCATTACCAAAAACAGCGGCCGATGAATTCGTTTATACAACACCAACGATTGGAAAAACATTAACTATGATGAAATATAAGCGTAGTCAAGCACTTGAATTGCATGAAATTGGTGCACAACTAGGCTGTTTATGGAAGCAATTTTATACGAGTACTCATTTCGATAAAATTATGTATGTTATTGATTCAACCCAACCATGGTCTATTTCATCGACACTCGAACAATTAAAAGAAATATATGAACAAATAACAATCAAACCAAAAAATGTTCTCTTAGTTTTCAATAAAACAAATGAAATGAATTCATTGAGTAGAATAGCTTTAAACGAATTACTAGATTTAGATTCGATTTGGAATGGAGAAGTTGAAATAATAGAAGCCAATGCCCGAACGGGTACAAATTTAACAGCGATACTCGAATGGTTAACACGATGAGAATAGTACTTTGTTTTATTTTATTTTTTAAAATGTTTAAATAATTGAATGTATGCTTAATTTTGTGTGTCGATGACACATTTTTAACGATTTTTTATTTTTTTCAGATGACAGAAATAGTATCACAAACGAATGAAAATGATGCATCAATATTTTCATCACTTCATTGTGTTCTTTCGCCAATATCAAAAGCAGCTGGTTCTGCAACGTTTACACTAAGTGATTCAATATGTACATGTCTTGTCAATGGACCTGGTGAATTACGACAACAACAAGATGCAACTAATCGTCTTCAAGTTGATATTACATTTCAAGCGCGTCCAGGTAGTAACAATACAAATGCAACAGCGACGAAAGATAAACTTATCGAGCAATGGCTTGAAACATTAATTCATTCCACTGTTTTAACTGAACATTATCCACGTTCACAAATAAATATTGTTATGTATGAAGAACAGAATCTATCGGGCGAAGCAACCATACTTGCATGTCTATGTAATACACTTTGTTTAACAATGCTGGATGCAAATTTACCAATGAAATATGCTTTCGCTGCTGTGCCCATTGTTCAACACCCAACAAAAGGTCTTTTATCATTACCAAATTCAAAAGATGAATTAGCATCAACAAGCTATTTTGTATTTGTATTTGAAATAACATTAAATGATATATTAGCGATGCATGCAAGTGGAAACTTTGATATGAAAACACTTGAACAAGCAACAATTATTGCTAAGCCAATAGCTAGACAAATATTTCAATTTTACAGACAAGAACTTGAAAAAAGATTGTCCTAGTAAATGAAAATTAATAAAAAAAATTGATTGTTATTTAGCTTCAAACCATTCGTTTTTCTATTCTCTATTATTTTCTTTGTTTAACTTGAATTTAATGATCGAAGATATTTTGTTTGTCATCGAGAGTGGTCATAACTATTCGTTAAGATTTGTTTCAAGTGACTGTAAACGAAACAGTTGTGTGAAAATTTTCAAGATCCTTTCACGTGACTACTGATATGACAGCAGAATATGAAAGCCCGTTGAATAATCCTAGTGAAAGATTTTTCAAAGAAAGAAAGATTCAAGATCTTCTGGTTAGAATTGAACATTTTACCAGAAAATCATCGTCCAGCTATGAATTTTTATTCTTTTAGAGAAGTTTTTCTAGGATGAATAACTCATTACTATATAGAATTTGATTAGTGAAATCTAATGAGTATATCGATTTTTTTTCTAGATGTTATACATGACTGAGATCTGAAAGAAGAAGAACCATGTTTAAAGCTTATGCTTCATCGGAATCATCAGTGAAGAATGAGGATGAAAAAGAGCACATAGTGACATCATTAGCAGCAGCTGCAGCAAATAGCAATAGTGCTAGTGGCAAGTAAAATACAATTCAATTTTCCATTAATATAGTTAGTCTCGTTGAATAGGAAGTACTTGGCTTGAGAATAGATCATTTTCTATTGAACCACCAACCATTCCTTTTCAACAGCAGTCAGTTATTTCAACAAAAATCAATCCACCTGCTGATTTTAAACCAAAAGAAGAAAAGAAACCAATTTCAAAACCAATTCAAAATATCATAACGAACAAAACTGAAACGAAAGAGTATGTATTCAAGTTTGTTTTTCTTCTATCAGGCCTGATGATTGGAAAATAGATACACAATCAGTATTGATTTACTGGATTTGAAGAAAATATTCTAATTGTAGAAAAATAAATGTGTCGTGTTTAATCAAAAATAATAGTTAATCAATTTCTTCTGTAGTTACTATTCGAAGAATGAAAAGCGAATATATATATATATATATTCTTTTTTCCTGTGACTGAAAGAAGGGTAGTATGTCGAGTGAGAAATCTTTGTTCGTTCGTTTTAGTAAAATACAAAACGAAGCCATTAATGTACTTTTGAGGCAAACAGCGACAAAGTCTTTATAACATATGTAAGCTATTACTTCGCAGCATGTTTCTCTGAAACTTATAGTTAAACCAGTAGCATTCATATTTGTTTTGGTATGTTTCATTTAAATGAAGTAATAATGGCCAGCTTAGGGCTACTTACAGTATTTATATTCTGTTTAAGATTTTTAGTCAAAATCATTTCTCATGTTTCCTTTTCTAGATACCAACTGACTGTTCAATAGAATTATATCATTACAATGAAGGAAAACCATTTAAATTTAATAAATTGCTTGGATAGATACTCATCATTGTTATGAGGAAAATACGTGATTTTAACAATAGTAATTACTAAATGAAAGGAGAACCTAGTATTTTAAGTTAATACTTGTTCATAATAATCAAAATTTCTCTACAGATTTTGCTGAGTCCGTCATCTTTCTTCTTCAAAGTACCGAGATACTCATAAAAATACATTTAATAGCGCAATTTGTAAAAAAAATGACTAGCTTTAACTTTAGAAAACAAGAAACATATCCCTAACAGATAGGAAGAGAAAGAAAATGTAGCGAATACTTATCGTAAATAGAGGCACTCTAAGGCCAAGGACTTTATCAAGTTAAATAGGGTTTTTAGTACATATAAATGAAGAAAGAAAATTCATATATTTTCTTTTAGTGGTGTATTCTATATTGATCGCCGACGTGATCGTGCCAATACTACTGTTCAATACACTCATGGTGTTCCTCGATATGGAGCTAAATTTTGTAATCAACGTCCATTAGGTTCTAAATTTACAAAGTTTCGTAAACAACGCCTGGTCCGTTATTTTCATCATAAAACCGAAGATACCGATAATCGACCGCCAGATTCGTTCGTTACAATAGACGATCATCTCAAACAATTGAATATTACCGTACGTGAACAACCACAGTCATTCGATGCTTGGAAAGAATTAATTGATTATCAATTTTATCTTTTTAAAACGAATGGACAAGAAGAAAAACTAACGGCCTTGTATAATAAACAATTATCAATAGTTGATCGAGCTTTGGAACTTAATGATAGTCGTTTACAATATCGTTTATTAAAATTAAATATTCGTTCACGTTCAAATCTATTTAATCATGATATACTTTTAAATGAATGGTTGTTATTAATAAAAGATTGTCAAAAATCAAGTGACGATCGAACTATCAATGAAACATGGTTTTCCTATATACAATTTATACTTAATCGTATTGAAATATTTTCAATAGACAAATTAAATGAAATGTTTACGCAATATTTTTCAACATATGCATATCATATACAAACACGTAGTGAAAAAGATCGAAAACATTTACTAAATCATATGATAGGTATGAATAGATATTATCAGCTGACTTTGATTTTTGTTATCGATAAATTTTGGAAGAACATAAAGTATAAAAATAGATTCCATAGAAGAATAAAAATTAAATTCGAGTTCGCCTAGGTACTCTTTCACTGGACACACATAACCCCTGTGGTTAATGTTCTTATCAATGATAAATAAACAAAGCCACAAATAGTACACGATATATAAAGAATAAAAAAGTACAACTATGAAAGGGCAAATTTATTCTTTTTAGAGATTTTTCAAATATGGACATGTACATTACGGGATGCTGGTTACTGCGAACAAGCACTTGCACTTTATCAAACTATGATTGAATTACATTTAGATTTAACAGCAGAAACAAAAATTAATTTTTCCAACCGCTTAGAAACTATTGAAAAAACATGGGATACAGATAAACGACGGTAAAAGAAAATTTCTATTCAATTTAAGTTGTTATTTGAACTATTTGAATTTAGTTTTGGAGAACATGTTGAAATAGAAAATCCAATAACATATATTGAAAATGAACTTTTATTGTTATCTACCAATGAAAATCGTTTATTTAATTCTACTTATCAATCATGGATTTTAATTGAACAAGCAAGAATAAATTTTTATCAATCGAAAATTCTCAATCATGGTATTCATTTTCATTCTAAACTTCTTCAATCATTATCAGATTCTAGTCAAATTGACAATGATATATCAAACATATTATTTCAACGTTCTATTCGTCCGTTTGTATTTGAATTAAATGATCAACGACAATTTCTACAAATTATTATTTATTATCTTTATTTTCTCAATGGTTTACCACAACTAACAATCTTACAAGAAGTATTAAATAAATTTAAGATTTCATTATCGCATCATTTACAAGAACAATTATTTATTGATAATGAATTTCTACAACTTTATCCATTGATACATTCAATATCAATTCTACGAACGGAAAGCAACTTTTCTATTGAATATATTTCCAAAGTTTACGAACAAATAATAGCAATACCATCGTTAAAATCCTATCAAATTGAATTTATTCTGCTTCATTGGTATTATCTAGCAGAAAATATCCGTGAACTTAAACAACAAAGTAAGTCATTTTTTTACAACGAAATATTACGAAAAATATCTCTAGGAGATTTTCAACAGAATAGTACTAGTGAAATTTTTGACAATAGATTTTTCTTAACTCTAAAAATATCATCCAATTAATTTTTTGTTTACTTCTTACAATGCGTTATACTATGGTGGAGACTATCTATGATCAACATTGTCACACAATCATAATTAGATGATGAAGAGAACGTGATGATCCGCAAAAAGATTGCAAGATGCAAAAATAAACAGAGGATAAATAGTATTGCACAAGACAGCACAACGACAATAATAATATTGTAAACTATGGACTATCTCTGATAGTAATACAGCGACCAGCTAATAGTACTATGTTTAGGTACATGTTATAGATCAAAATAGGCCATCAGTCTTTTTCTTTATACTAGAGTAGGAATAGAAGATTTGATTTAATCCTAGTTTTATTAAATGCTTAATAATTTTTATTTGATTCGAATCGATCTGTTTCTAGGTGTAGTGTAATAGAAAATCTAGTAAAGTTTCGTAGAAGAAAAAAAATAGCCTTGCATTCAAGGCTGGAATAAATATGTCTTTTCAAAGTCATTTATCGGTAAAAATCAAGAGTATATTTTTAATTGATAGAAATCTATCTCAAGTAAATATATAGACAGTTTGAGTAGTTCTAGACAATGAACATATCTTGTTGTTATGCTTCAAAAAATCCGTATGTCTTTGTAACTGTTTTTTATTATTATAGATCCATCATTAGCCAAAGCCCGTATAAAATCGTTGCAAACAATTATAAAGAAATATTTATCATTAGAAGAATATCGTACATGTCTTCGTCTCTATACACATTATGGCCGTGTTGAATATGAATATTTTCAACGTATCAATGAAAGTCGTCGTATATTTGATTTATGTTTTCAAACGATTCAAACAAATCCAACAAAATTTTCTTCGTTTGATTCATATAATGATGTATGTTATTGGCTGTCAACATCGCTTATATGTGAATTTAATTTAAATCATTTATTTGATAATATGTTAAAAATCATATTAGAAAATTCAAAATTGATTCCATTAGATAAACAAATTAATAATAAAGAAAAGCTATGTTCATCAATTAACTATGTTTTAAATAAATTATTTCCCAATACACAATTTAATGATATAATCATACTTGTTATTGATTGTTTAAAATCTCGAAAATTTTCAAAATGGGATCAAAAATCAGACGAAGACTGGTCAACATATTTAAGAAAAAATATCTATCTATCATTTGAATTATTATTTATTTTTCTAAATTATTCATATTTATTAAATGATCCATTTGATAAATTACATTCCATCATATTAAATTCAATTGTACCATTAATTAATGAACAACGTAACAAAACGAATCAAACAATCATTGATTATATTCTTCGATTTTATTTATCTATACTTTGGAATGAATTATTTACTGAACATCTTTTATTTAATCAATGTACAAATTATTTAAAACAACTATTAGAAAATATCAAATGGCCGTCAAATATTCTATTGAAGTTTATCTCAATTTACACATGTTTTCTACCATTATATGGTAGTTATGTTAATGAATATGAACAAAAAATATTGAGCTATGAATATACTCAAAAAATTGAATATCGCTTAATAACAAAAATGTTTGTTTTAGAAATGAATTTAATTAGACATTTAAAAATACAAAAAGCAAGTTCCGTCAATGAAAGAATTAATTCCGGTTATGAACATCGTGTTAGACATATTTTAAAACAATTGATTCAAGAATATCCATACTATGTACAAATATGGCTCTTCTATGAACATTTTGAAAAATATTCACCAAATAGTAATCGAATTAAATCGATTCTTTATGATGCGATGCAAAGTTGTCCATGGGCAAAGGTAAGTTATTTAATTCAATAAAAATATCGTTAGAAGATCCATCGTATTACCTTGGTAATTAAAGACAAAAAGAACTTTTTCAAGTTAATAATCACTTTTGAGTTGCATAGACTGCGTTCTAACATGCTAAATATCCCAAGGCATTTCTTACAGAGGTTCAACCGTTTTATTAAAATCCTAGCATATATCACTGTGGGTAATAAGGAACCAGATGATGATGATATTTCGGCCTCCAAATTTGCCAAGAGATATGCCTAACTGCAGCAATAGTATCATGCAATGTTCAAATTATTTTATGAAATATTCCACAAATGAGTTGAGAATGTAAATGTTGAAGCAAAGGCAAATCCAAATTTACATCTTCAAGTCAATTTTTCTATTATATTGTGAATGAACTTGTTTTTTTTGTTGTTATTTCTAGACTCTGTATATGAAATCAATTTCCAGCTCAAATAATGATAATGAATGGAAATTATTTCTTAATGTGATGTTAAAAAGCAATGTACACATTTTATTTTCTCTTGAAGAATTTGATATGCTTAAAGAATTGTGTGAAATGAAAACATAATAAAAATTCTTCGTGTTTATTTCAGATATATAGAAAATTATATTGGTGAAGTCTTTTTTTTATAACTGAGGAAAAAGAAACTTCTTCAACATGTATCGAGTTAATAATCTTCTTCAAACATCCTATTGTGTTCGTTCAACATTTGCTTCATGCAAACGTTTATTATCATCGAAAGCTAATGATAAAAAACAAGACAAAAAATATCAAGTTCGAAAGATTAATAAACTTCTTGTTGCAAATCGTGGTGAAATTGCAATTCGTGTATTTCGTGCTTGTACGGAAAATAATATTCGTACAGTTGCTATTTATTCAGCTGAAGACGAAGGACAATTGCATCGAATTAAAGCTGATGAGTCATTTAAAATTGGAAAAGGCTTAGCACCAATTGCAGCTTATTTAAATATTCCAGAAATCATTAAAGTTGCTGTAAAAAATGATGTTGATGCTATTCATCCAGGTTATGGTTTTCTATCAGAGAATGGAGATTTTGCTAAAGCATGTGTTGAAGCTGGCATTTCATTTGTCGGTCCAACGCATGATGTTATTTATCGAATGGGTGATAAGTTAAATGCACGACAAGCAGGTAAAAATAAAAGTCAATGAAATATGAAATAACCAGTTGAAATACTTTAATTTTTAAATTATTTAAGCTATTGATGCTAAAGTACCAGTCATTCCTGGTACAACTGAAGCTGTGGCCAATCTTGATGGTGTACGCGAATTTGTCAAAGAACATGGCTATCCAATAATGTTGAAAGCCGCACGCGGTGGCGGTGGTCGTGGTATGCGTGTAGCAAGAAGTGAAAGCGAATTAGAAGAAGCATTTCAACGTGCTTCATCGGAAGCTCTAGCAGCTGTTGGTGATGGACGTTTATTTGTTGAACGTCTAGTTTCACAAGCAAGACATATCGAAGTACAAATTATTGGTGATCATTTTGGACAAGTTGTACATTTATTTGAAAGAGATTGTTCGGTACAACGACGTCATCAAAAAGTTATTGAAGTCGCACCAGCAACTAATTTAGATCCAGTTATTCGAGATCGTATGACTGCCGATGCTGTACGCATAGCTAAATATGTTGGTTATCAAAATGCTGGAACAGTTGAATTTTTACTTGATAATCAAGGTCGACATTATTTCATAGAAGTTAATTGCCGTTTACAAGTAGAACATACATGTTCAGAAGAAATAACAGGCATTGATATTGTACAATCACAAATTAAAATTGCCGAAGGTAAACCATTAGCTGATTTGGGTCTTGAACAAGATAAAATTAAACTTATGGGTGCTGCTGTACAATGTCGAATGACAACAGAAGATCCAGCCAATAATTTTACACCTGATGTTGGAAGAATTGATGTTTTTCGTTCAGCTGAAGGATTTGGTTAGTATCGACATAGAATTCAGGTTTTTGTTTAACTGTTCATTTGTTTTTAGGTATTCGTATTGATAGTGCGTCGGCTTACACTGATGCTGTTATCAGTCCATTTTACGATTCACTCTTGGTTAAAGTTATTGCACATTCACGTAATCATCAAGAGGCATGTGCTAAAATGGTTCGTGCACTGAAGGAATTTCGTATTCGAGGTCAATAAAATCTTCAATATTACCTATTTATCAGATAATAATAATAATAATTTTCGTTTCAGGCGTTAAAACAAATATTCCTTTTTTACTCAACGTTCTTCAACATGAACAATTTCTTCAAGGCTCATTAACGACGAGTTTCATAGATGAAAATCCAAATCTATTTAAATTTTTACCAACACAAAATCGTGCACAAAAATTACTTAACTATATATCAGAAGTATTAGTTAATGGGCCATTAACACCTTTAGGTACAGATGTAAAACCAATGAAAATCAAACCTGAACTTCCACATGTTAAAAAGAAAGAAATTCCTAATGGTTGGCGTCAAGTTTTATTACAAGCAGGTCCAACAGGTTTTGCTAAGGCTGTTCGTAAACATCCACAGTAAGATTTCTACAAAAACAAGTTTCTTTGAAAACAAAGAAAACTGATTTTTTTTAATTTTCTAATTAGAGCTTTAATTATGGATACAACAATGCGTGATGCTCATCAAAGTTTATTAGCAACACGTGTACGAACACGCGATTTAAAAAAATCAGCGCCATTTGTTGCTAAAAATTTCTCAAAATTCTTTAGTGTAGAAAATTGGGGAGGTAAACAACATTTCTTTTTATTCTGATTTCACATGTTATATATTTCATTCATTTTTCAAAATCTAGGTGCTACATTTGATGTTGCTCTTCGTTTTCTTCATGAATGTCCATGGGATCGTTTAAGTGAATTACGAGAACTTATGCCTAATATTCCATTTCAAATGTTATTACGTGGTGCGAATGCTGTAGGCTATTCAAACTATCCCGATAATGTGATTGATTCATTTTGTCAAATGGCTGTTAATCATGGAATGGATATATTTCGCGTATTTGATTCATTGAACTATTTACCAAATATGAAAGTTGGCATTGAAGCTGTTGGAAAAGCTAATGGTGTTATATCAGCCGCTGTTTGTTATACAGGTGATGTTGCTGATACATCACGAACGAAATATAATTTAGATTATTATATGAAATATGTTGATGAACTTGTTAAAATGGGTACACATATCCTGTCGGTCAAAGGTAATCGATTTTATTTTAGTAATATGTTATTAAATATAAATGGACGATAAAATGACATTTTTAGATATGGCTGGCCTTCTTAAACCACGAGCAACTACAATGTTAATTGATGCTATTCGACAAAAATATCCAGATTTACCAATACATTTACATACACAGTAAGTTGATAGAAATATAGATAATATGTTCTGGTTGTCATATTCAGTGAACATTTTATTAGCATCGAACATTGTTGTTTAGAAGTTTAAAATAGTTCGCGAGTATCTCAACATTCTTCTTTCACTTTCGATTGCCTTTGCTTTTATGATATTTATTACTAATTTATAGATTACATCTTGAAAAACAATCCTCTGCCTTCTATTTACAAGTCTAGATTGCGATTATTAATTATTCAACAATAGGAGTATTCACAACTATGTAAATATTTGATTCAATGCTAATGACAATGACTAATCTTATTCTCAAATACTGTGTATTAGATTAATGTGAATTTTCACAAATTTTTATCTTTTCTGCATTTTCATCTCTAACAAATCAAATAGTAGCTGCTTGTTTGTTTGTCTATTTTTAACATTATTTTGCTACAGAATTTCGAACTCTGATCATTTCCGTGTTTTCTCAGTTCTAATTATAATTTCCTACTATTTTCTAGTGATACAGCTGGAACTGGTATTGCTAACTATATAGCTGCACTTGAAGCTGGCGTTGACGTTGTCGATGTAACTGTTGATTCATTGAGTGGTATGACATCACAACCAACTATGGGTGGCCTTGTTGCTGCATTACAAAATACAAAATATGATACTGGTATAAATTTGGAACGTGTGAATGAATATTCAGCATTTTGGGAACAAACACGTTTACTCTATGCTCCATTTGAATGTACAACAACGATGAAAAGTGGTAATGCTGATGTTTACAAAAACGAAATACCCGGTGGACAATATACAAATTTACAAGTAAAATGATCGCTGATCATAATTGATATTTATTGATAGATGTTTTATTTAGTTTCAAGCATTTAGTCTTGGTCTTGGTTCACAATTCGAAAATGTTAAACAATCATACATCGAAGCAAATCAACTTTTAGGTGATATTATTAAAGTAACACCGTCATCAAAAGTTGTTGGCGATCTTGCACAATTTATGGTACAAAATAATTTAACAGCTAAAGATGTACGTGAACGTGGTGATGAACTTTCATTTCCATCAAGTGTTGTAGAATTTATGCAAGGTCAACTTGGCCAAGTAAGCTTTCGACATTTTGTTTGCTCTATATGAACTAATAACTTGCTGTTGAATTCCAGCCTCATGGAGGATTTCCTGAACCACTTCGTACACAAATATTGAAAGGAAAGAAAAAAATCGATGGCCGCCCAGGTGCCGATTCAAAACCATTAGATTTCGATAAGATTGAACAAGAATTAAGAAAAAAATTTGGTGATGATATTATACGCAAATGTGATGTTATGTCATATGTTATGTTTCCAAAAGTACTTGAAGAATATATTGACTTTAAACAACAATATGGTCCTGTTGATCTTTATCCAACACGAATATTCTTTGTTGGACCTGAATTGAATGAAATGATAGAGTGAGCAAATCAGATGATGACATAGATAGAGAAATGTTGGTTTTCTGTTTGTATTAGTATTGAAATTGAACATGGAAAAGTTCTTCATATTGTTGTATTAGCTATAAGTGAATTAATGGTTGCAACAGGTGAACGTGAAGTATTCTTTCAAGTTAATGGGCAATTACGTTCGATGAAAGTCAAAGACAAAGCAGCTATTAAAGATCAAAAATTTCATCCAAAAGTTGATAAGAGTAAAGCGAATCAAATCGGTAAGTTGAATTGCTCAAAATCAATAAACAAACGAACTAAACAGGTGTAAAAGAAAGAATGAAATCATCTACGAAGAAGTTGTTTATGCGGATTTGTGTCATTTCCAAAAACGCTGAGAAAACTGAATTTCAAGCATAAAATTCTACTCTTGAAAAAAGGCTAGAATTCATCGAGTAAGATTCAGACTCGTATGAAAATTCAGTTGGTTCTCAGTGTGAGTTCAACATTCTCGATCCTGCTTACTTCAATAGAAACATGTATGCATGAAAGTATTCCGTTGTGAAACATTTGAAATCTTAGAACAATTTTTCCTCATGAATTTCTTTGAGTTTTAATTGAAATAGCTCATTATATTTATTCGTAGGTGCACCCATGCCAGGTCAAGTATTAGACGTTAAAATCAAGGAAGGTGATTCAATAAAGAAAGGTGACACAGTAGTTGTTCTAAGTGCTATGAAGGTACGAAAAGAAAAAGACATAACAAAAGAAAAAACAAAGTTCATTTTATTGTTCTTCATTTAGATGGAAACCGTAGTAAAGAGTGCAGTCGAAGGCAAAGTAAAGAAAATTCATGTTAGAGTTGGTCAACAAATACAAGGTGATGATTTAGTTGTCGAACTCGAGTAGATAACTATACAATGAATATGTAATCATTATCATTGTTACACAATCGAATCGAATTTTGATTCTATTTACACATAATATCTCATTACATGTATTTTTTTTTCTCATTAGATTTGTATTACATTTGTTTTTCTTTTATGTTTACTCATAGATTTGAAAGTAAAATTAGTACAGCGAAAGATATGACAAGTTTTGTGTTTGTGTATGAAAACATGCATAATAAAAGTCTTTTAGTCTTTCTTTAGATTTTGTTTTGCTATTTTAAACGTTCGCTTTCGTTATAAAATACTAAATAAATAAAAGCATATGGCAACATCAATGAATGATGAAAATCAAGAACAAACAAATTCAGGAAATAAAAGTCTCGAGGTAGAATGGAGAATTTGTTTTGTATTTTCGAAGTTAATAATAATCATTTATAGGCAGCCGTACATAATACAGCTATTCAAATGGGTTGTTGGACGGCTGCAGATGACTATCTATTGATCACTAGTATAATGCATCTATGTGATCTAGAACGCGTTCATCAACGAGTCAAATTTTCCATGCCATTTACATTAGAAAATATTCAAGATCGATGGCAATGTTTATTATACGATGCATCGATTTCAAAGTATAGAGGTTTTGTTTTATTTTTGAAACAAGTAATTAAGATGTTTGCTTTAGAATGATTGTATCAAAAGTACAACAATTATCTATGTCACAAATAGAAACTTTACATATACCATTAAATGAAGATGAAGAACAATTATTAGCATCAATTCCATCATCTGTAACTAAAGTTAAATTTATTGGTCTATAATAAATCTTGTTTTCTTTAGACCATTCCAACTCTCGTTGATGATGAAATCGATACGTGTTTAAGTAAAAATTCTCCAAAATTTTGGGCGAATCGAACTATTGATGAATTACGTGAATATTGGTTAGAAATGCGTCAGCAAGGTCTTCTTATTGATCAACAAGAGACAAGTTAGTCTGTACAAAAGAGATTTCATATTGAATTGTTTTTGTTTGTTTATTTTTAGATAATTCTGAAGAAACACAGACACTTCAAGGTTTATTATAAAAATTTATTTCTACTCATAAGAAAATAATTTTAATTTTTAATAGAGCTTGCTTTTTCAAGAAAATTAAGTCAGCTATTAGCACCATTTGAATTTGAACTATTATCTCGTAAGTTGATTGAGAGATACGAATAAAAAAAATTTCTTTTATCTTTAATTTCAATAGGTGATAAAGAACAATTTGCAAATAAAACTGATCCCCCACATGCAATTCTTTATGTTAATAATCGTCTTTATTGCATGTATACTGAAGAAGTATAATCAAAAAAAATTCCTATACGTGTAGAAGGAAAAAATATTTTTTACTCTATATTTAGTTGAAGTTTGGAACTAGTTTTCCTGATCGACAATTTGATATATCGTTTGATAATTCAACGAAAATCCATATTCAAGGACTGATAGTCTATAAATTGGAATCATTTTATATAATAAATAATGGTGATAATGCCTTTCGTGTCAATAATGCATTACTCAATCCAAATGAAGCAAGTCCATTAGGAACGCGTGCAGTTATAAATGTAAATTTTCGTTAATCAATTTGTTCATCGTACTATTTATTTATCTATTTTAGATACTCGAACATACGATGGTTTTTCAAGCGATTGAATTATCTTAAAATTATGTTTGCTTTTTTTTGTATTCATTCAAGTCTGTAAACATTGTATAGAAAAAAAAATAAAATAAAGGATTAAAATAAATGCTAGAGATATTTTGAATTCGATAGCACCTTTTTTTTTTATTTCAATATTAAAACATAATGAAATTAGCTGAGTTGTTTACAATTTACGAATTTCTACATATGGCTGGCTGCCTGACAAAAAAACAAGATCGATACAACAGATCAAAAACTCGCATCTTCTTTTTTTCGTTGAGAGAAAAATTTCGATCGAATTCAATATTGATAAAAATGTCAAGTTCAAGCGAGATTTTAATCAGAGCTTCAAGCGAACTATTTTATACTAGTATTTCATAAATGTTGGAGAACAAAATTAATTTACTGAAGCAAATTTTAGTTTTTATCAGAACATGAAAATAATTTTTCAAAAATCCTATGTTTTAGAATATGGATAGAAAGCGTGCACCATTACCACCACCATTACCATCATTTGTTCTTCGTTCTTTTGCATCTGGAGTGACATGTGTTAAATATGATTTAAGAGATTCATTACGTCTCTACGTAGCTGAACAAGAGGGTTCAGTTTACTTATATAATCTTCGTACACGTCAACCGATTCTTACATTGCCGGATGCTCACACATCAACAATACTTGGTTTAAGTCAATTGATTGATAGAAATAAATTAGTAACATTTAGTAAAGATGGTTTTGTTAAGATTTGGAATGATAATGGCCAATGCGAATGGAATTATCAAACACATCATTGTTCATTTTCAAACTGTGATATTATTTCACCGAATCTGATTCTTGCTCCAATTGGTAATAACAATTCAACAATTGCAGCATTTGATTATCAATGTGCTAATCCTATCGTTAAAAAATTTACTCCTCTATCAACAGATATTAATAATGGAATGGTAATGAAATTACGTGTCTACGATAATCGTTTACTTTTTGTTGTTTATGAAAGTGGTTCATTAAATGTCTTTGATATTCTAACGACGAAACAACTGGATGCATATCAAATAACATCGGATCACGAGCCAGTAACAGCTATGGATGTCGTTTGTGATACTTGCATATGTGGTACAACAAAATCAGATTTAATCTCAATTGATTTTTCATCATCATCATCAAAATTACAACCAACACCAACATTTCGTCATATAGATTTGCCAAACGCTGGCACAAGTTTTATACGATGTCGACCTGATGACGGAAAATTGATCGCTGCCGCTGGTTGGGATTCAAGAGTCAGATTATTTCGAAGAGAAACCGGAAAACAATTAGCTATGCTTGATCTACATCGACAACAAGTGAATTCAATTGATTTCGATTTTCATACAAGACAAATAGTTTGTGCAAGTGAAGATCGAACTGTATCGATTTGGGATGTTTATAATAGTAAACAAGATACGAAGTCATAGATGTTATGAAATTTTTTAACTTTTTGTTTTTGAAGATAATCGATGAATTATTTTTTAACGGTGACCAATATAAAGATTTTAAAGTTGACTTTAGATGAGAATTCTTTCGAAACTGTCGAATCATGTTCGTTTACTCTGATTTTGTTGGCACGAAATTTCGAACGTATGCTAACTGATTTTGTCATTATTTGAAAATCGAAACATCAAATCAATAACTATTTTCACTCAGTCGAATCATTTTATTGACAAAAACGTTATCTTTAATTTTTGCTTTCTTCTACATTAACTTGGTTCTTTTTTAAATAATAATATTAAACGTTGGAGTGATGTCTGTGGTATGAATACTGGTCAGTATCTCATTCTATTTTACTTAGTATTTTCCTATCATAATATTTCGTCGTCTTTTCACTTGTCTGTTTCATGGCGCATAGAAGCTATAATTTCTGTAATTCTATCAAAAGCTAGTGCATTCGACTCATGAATCGCATGTTATTGCTCAATAGCCATACAACAAAACATAAAGAAACATGTAAATCGGAAAGTTTTATCTACGTAACTTTCCTAGACTCGACTTACGGCAACCAATAGTAGACCTCAATTGAGTGAATCTGTAATTGAACTTATTAATCGTGTTAATTCATATTTTCCAAAGAATAATCCAACAAAATTCATCTATTTTTATCGAATGCATCACCTTTCAGTAATTTTTATCCATCACAAGTCAATGATAACGGCAGCGAATTTCACTGTACTGAACAATATATGATGTATCATAAAGCAAGCAAAGTAATGTTTTTCTTTTTTGTCTATTTTTAAACTAATATTTAAGATGAATTAGAATTATCTAATGATGATGAAACTGCTGAGAAAATTCTCGATGCTAAAAAACCAGCTCACTGTAAAGCTTTGGGAAGACACGTGGAACCGTTCAATGAAGAACCATGGATGGAGAATCGTACAGAGATTGTTTGAAATGGAAATTATCTGAAAGTAAGAATGAAAAAAATAATGAACTACAAAATTTAACATAATATGGAATTGTGTTACGCAACTTTTTTTTATTAAGAAAATTTTAAAATTTACCTTGAAAAACAGCTGCATAATTTTAGCATCATGTCGATTTAAAAAAAGTATAGATACAAAAGTCAACATCACGCGATTTACAGTCTTTCATTATTTATATCAAAATATTTTCTTTAAGTAATGATCGGTCATATATTTTAATTCATCTTGAGATTAGATTTTCCTTGATGCCGTACGTAATAATAGTAGAGACTTTGCATGTTATATGTAGTTCGAATTATTAAAATCTATAAATCTCAAGAATTATTTTCTTGCGCAACGATCATAAGTATGAAAAATAAATTGTTTCATTAATAGCTCAGTTCGTATTGCTACATTATTCGAATGAAATGTTTATTTTAAGCCAATCTTTGAGTTTTTAAAATAATTCCTTTCTCCACTCAATAATAAACTCATTGAGTACTACTCATTTGAAACTAAAAGCTACATTAATGAATTAGAAGTTATGAAAACTGCAGTTTTCGCCTTCAGACATAACAGAAAGTCGATAGCATAAGTTTTCTTTTTGCAGTCACTGTCCGTTGTCCTTGCATTTTATAGGAAAAATTTTGTGTGACTATAACGAGATTTTTTTCATAAATTATTTTCTTATTGTATCTAATTATGAATAATCAATTAATATAAAAGCATGGCATAAAAATCTTTCGCGAATAAACAAAATCTAAATTATCTTCTATTGGTTAATAATAATCATAGTTATTCCTATGCATTATGTTCACTATCCTTTTTCTTTCTTCAATAAACTTTTAGTTCACAAAAAATCAAGATTTGAAAGCTATTTTATTGCAACACAATGATGCATTATTAGTCAAAGCTGCACCAAATGATCGTATATGGGGCGCTGGTTTAGCTGAAAACAATCCATTAATTCAACGTAGGCCTTCGTGGAAAGAACTCAACCTATTGGGTTATATATTGACAGACATTACTTATCGCATAATTAAATCTAGCTGCCCAGTTAACATGCCGAATAATTTCCGATTTTTGACTATCCTGGTTGTTTGTGTGTAGATTGAGAACAGTAAATATAAAAAAATCTCGATTAAAACTTTCGATCACCCATATTTTCTGCGAAATTATATGTGAATTCTACAAAACACAAAGAAGTATGTCTGCTTGCCATTTTGAAAATTAAATAAATAGAGTATAGATTATTTTCAGCCAATACAAATATAGCACACATGATGTCATTCACTCCCCACGTTATTACACAATGAAATGAAAATATTGGTTTGCATTATGAATCCTTGTGACTGTTGTCAATAACTTTTGAATGAATATAAAGCATAATTCGTACCCCATCTATACACCAGTTTCACTATTTTACAAACGTGTTTTTCTTCATGGCATCTCCACAAGAATCATGTACACCTTCTGCGTTAACTACATCGGAAGTTGAACTTATTGATCGCGTTCATTCTCATTTTCAAAATAATGAACCAAATAAATTTCATTTTTTCTATCGGACAGCATCACCTTTTAGTAACTTTCATTTATGTAAGTTCTCAGAAAATGATATCGAATTTGATACAAGTGAAAAATATATCATGTATCATAAAGCAAGTAAATAACATTGTTTCTTCTTTATAGTCTTTTGACTTTTATACTAATAATTATTTTGAATTAGAATTATTTAATGATAATGAAACAGCTACATCAATTCTTCAAGTTCGACATCCAGCTGAGTGTAAAGCTTTTGGAAGAAGTGTAAAAAATTTTGATGAAAAATTATGGGTGCAAAATCGGGCACGTATTTTTTCGGATGGACTTTATTTAAAAGTACTGCATTAGTTTTTACATCAATTTTGACAATTAAAAAAAGAATTAAAACTTCTTCGTTTTAGTTTACCCAAGATGATCGAATGAAGCAAGCGCTATTAAAACATGAAGGAAGTTTATTAGTCGAAGCAGCAAAAGATGATTGTATATGGGGTGTTGGTTTAGACGAGAATAATCCGTTGATTAAAGACCGATCCAATTGGAAAGGACTTAATCTGTTAGGTTATGTATTAACTGATGTCTTATATCGTATTCTTGATGGAAAATAAAGCAAGCGTGTTTTTTTCTTCTTCTTCTGGGCTATTATCTGACAAGAATAAAATAAGCTAGATAGAACAATTAATGAAATGGATTAACCGTGTTTCTATACATTCCTTCTTTCATAAGAAAATGTATAAATTCATCTTTAGTAACACGTCCATCTTTTGTTAAGTCTAATTTGTTCATTAAATCTTTGGCGGCAATCTCTGGCGGATAGTCTGCGGAATGTTTTATGCCTAGTAAAGTATACATTCCTCGAAGGACAGGTTCAATTTCATCTAAAATAAATATAAATATTTATTTATTTATTGTTAGTTTTTTTCTCCCAGCTAAATTTTACCTTCTGTAATAAAACCATTTGAATCTAAGTCATAACATTCAAATGCATAGTCTAATCGCGATCGAAGATCACCACGTGAACATATAGCAAAGCCAAGTAAAAATTCACCGAATTCAACAAAACCATTACCATCAACATCGAATGCACGAAATACATGATCGCATATATTGTCTAAACTGTCAGGAGATTCTTGACGAAGTATACGAAATATTTTACGAAATTCATCTCGATCAAGACGACCATCGGGATTATCATGAAAAAATTTTTCGTGCCATGTACGAATTTCATTTTCTGGTAAACCTTTAGAAAAATAAATAGAATAATCGATTTTAAATGCGCTATTAGGACAAATATGCGAAAACAAATATGATGATTAATGAGAAATATATTATGAAACATTTTTTTTTCTCAAGGACAAGATAAATAATTATAATATAACCTTACACGAACGTGACAGTTCATTTCACTGGCTTTCTTTTAGTAAATACTAAATAATTCTTACAAACTTGTTTATTATCATTACGATCTATCAACAACAAAAAAGTCTACTTTATATTGTACTTGTCAAACTAATTCAAGGTGAACCATTTGACTTCGACCTATATAAAAATGTATTGTAACAAGAAGATGATATAATTACTCAAGAATAAAAATGCATGAGAAAATGTAGACAAATTTCACTTGTCTCGTTTGATTTAGCACCGTAGATGTGTAACTCATCACGTTCTTTAAGTCAATTGAAACTTTACTCATAGAAAATCTACTCAATTATCTTCATAAATGATATCCACTCTTGGTTAAATACAAAATTTAATCAAGTTAATATAAAATAGACATTTTCTCTCACCAGTCTGTGAACAAAGAAATTTAATATCACGTTCTGATAATACCCATTTTGCTGCTTTGTCATCTACTTTAGTTGGATTAATCGATGGATTTCCACCTTGTTCAGTTCGTTTCTTGGCAACAGTACTGACTCCTACTTTATTCGATGCATGATTTGTGTTACCCATAATAGTATCTAAAAGGACAAATATTGATCTCTTCTTTATACAATCAAAAGAAATGATTCAAAATAATTTTTTTCTTTGTAAAAAATGTACAAAGAAAAAAAATATATATATATACGCCTATTGAGATATGTTTTATGTGAAGTTGATTCTCTATGTACATGTGCCTATTTACTTTGTTACAAATGATGAGAAGGATTATTCTTTTGTTTGCGTAAAAAATATTGACTTCCTACTTGTCAACGCCTTTAGTTTTGAAAAAAGATATCGATATAGAAACTAACAGCGGATAAAAATAATAGAAATGACAGGTTTAAAATGATGGTTTTTTTTTTATTGCGCACATTGGCTTTTCTTTTGCTGTCGTCAATCATCAATTACATCACTCATGAGTACATCGATATTTTTCTTCTTCTTCTTCTATGGTCAATAACTCATAATAAAAGAAGCTTCCATGGGCATCAAAACAGAGCTATTTTTCAATTGAATGAAACTGAGAAAGATGATGAAACTTCTACTCTCGTACCAGCCTGAAAATTATACCGTTAGTTTTGGAACACTTATTTAGATGTCGCCGGTGAACGATTGTTCACTGTTAACTTCTTTATTAGTGTTTTATTATTGGCTGATTCAATCAACGCTGTTTAATCTCCTTGGCGAGGAAACTCTGCATCACGCCAGTGAATTGATTATTTTCACCCACGATCATTTCTTTTTCATGATATTAATTATTATTGAAGAAAATTAATTATAAAACGAAAAGATGAGATCACCACAAATAGAAACGCAGCAACAGCAACTTTCGACAATGATTCCAACTCGTTATCGAATTTTGCTTTATTTAAATATATTTCTGATTGTAGTTGACATATGTATCAATACATTCAGTGAATTTCTTGCACCAAATAAATTTGGCCAACTTATTATCTTTATGTAAATATTAATTTTATATTTCAACTATTGATTTTATAAAAATTCTAAACGATCAAAATTAAAGAAAGTTAAACTTTGCTTTCAAAAACAAATAATATTGATTTAAAATCGAGTACGAGTTCAATTCGATATGGTTCATGAAACACAGGATATTTGACAAAGAATAAAAGCTACACCATCATTTTTTCTTCTTCTCTTATTTAGTATTCAAGATGTATGCATTTTACTCTCAATTACATTACTCATTGTTATGGTTTTAACAACATACGTTGCTCAAGCTGGTTTACTTTTTCTTCTTCTTCGCATGTTCCGTTTTTCACTTTTTGTGACATGTATTTATTTAGTATTTTGTGCTACTATTCAAGGACTGTTACTCGTAGGTTTCTACAGAAGATTTTGTTGTTTTTATTTTTCCTATTTAAAAATGATACTGTTTTCTTTGATAGGGTTATCGTTTTCCACAAACCGAATTTGTCACAAGTGCCTTTGGAAAACCAGAAATATTAGCGCTTTATGTAGTTCAACGAACAAGTATGATTTACGTCTTCTTGTTACGACTATTGATTTATTTTTTTGTAAAAAATTTAGTTTCTCCTTTATATTATTATGCAATGAAACGTGCTGCATATCGTTTAAGTGATCCTCACTTTTATCAATCATCAAAATGGTTACAAGACCTCTGGTAAAATGATAGACAACTGACATATTCATATTCATATTCATTTTCTTCTAGGGAAAAACGTCGCAACGAAGCTACTAGTGCTGCTATGCGTACAGCTGCAACAGCAAGACCTTCAGGAACTGCAACTGGTTGTTGCAGTTGTACAATTATGTAGAATGAATTCCATTTTTTGTTTAATGTTTTCGAATCCGTCCATTGCTTGTGTTTGCTGTTTTTTTTCTATCCTAACTTTTATAAATGTTTTGCGTCAGATTTGTCGACATATGATTGTGTGTGTCTCGTATTATTTTAACACATTTTTTAGTTCGATATAAAATATTAAAAAGATAAGAAAATATGAATGATTTGTTGGGAAGAAAATAAGAGTAGTAGTATTGTCGAAAGATGAACATTGATTGAAATGGTTTCATGAAAACAAAAATAAACAATGAAACATCAATATTGAAATAAAATTTCTAGTTTCAGATTTTTACTTTCCATGTCGGTATCAAAACTCGATAAATTAGTACCGACGAAATATGGTTGGTGTGTACGTTTTGATAAAGAATTTGATCCAACATGGAAACCATTTACACGACCACGACTACGCCAATCACTTGAATATATACCTCTATTTATGAGGTGATTTTAAACGAACAAAAAAAAAACAGAAAGAAAAATTGTCATATTTTTATTGCATTAGATACCTACGAGTATGGTGGAGACTAAGAAAAGCAAAACGACGAGTACATATGGATTTTCTTAATCCAGTTCCATTGCAACAAATTTATGGTAAATAAAAGAAAAGCTTTTTGTTATGTTTTTCTTCGTAGCAGGAAAAAAGTAAAAATGAATTTCGTTTGATCTAGGTGCGCCGCTTGGTGGTTTAGGTTGTGGAACAATTGGCCGAGGATTCCGTGGAGAATTTTGTCGCTATCAACTTGTGCCTGGCCTTTATGAATTTCAAACTGTTGAAACGAATACAGTTTGTTTATTTCGTTTGAAATATTTTCTAAAATTTACTGTTCTTTATGTCACTGATTAGTTTACTGTTTGTATTCGTCGTCGACATACAACAACTTATTGTCAAGTCTTAACACCGTATCGATTAAGAAAAAAAGGTTTACGTTCATGGAATGGTGCATTTCCAAAAGAAAATGGTCAATATCAAGCCCTTTATCCTCAATCATGGACAACGTACGATTTACCAGGTCAAAATGTACGACTACTGTGCAAACAACTCTCGCCATTTATTCCACATAATTATAAAGTATATTAAAAATAAATACAATACTATTTATTATGATTCTCTTGTCAAAGGATTCATCTCTACCAGTTGGTTCTTTTCTGTGGTATATTGAGAATTTAAATAATGAACCTGTCGAAGTTAGTCTCATGTTTACATGGCAAGCTGGTTCAGGTAGGTCTTCCAATATGATTTACTGCTTGCTTCTACATAGATAATGTTTTGATTTTTATAGCTTCTCATGAATTTTCATGTCGCGATGTATCACACGAATGTATTGAAGTTTCTGATGATGGAATTTCAGCTCGTGGAGTATCAATTCGACAGACATTACGTGGTATGAAACTTGAATATTGTATAATGGGAAAAAAAGAGGTTTGTTTGTATTTTGTTTTGTTGTAATGACTGTTTACAATAAATTAATAAATATTATAGTTAGACAATACAATCACTATGCGAACAAATTTCAATGTTAATTCTAATACATCTGGACGTGACGTTTGGCTTGATCTAGTTAACGATGGTCGATTAACAGGTACATTCCTTTTTTAAAGTGCCTCTGAAACTTAGCTACGGGTGTGTAAATGCAGAGTTGTTCATCAATGTAACGACTGGGTCAACTAGTGATTTATTATTTTTATTGCTGTATGCCAATGAAAACTAAATATCAAGAAATATGTCTTTCAAAAATTTGCTAGATCTTTATCGAGTGTAAAAATTGAGAATTCAATCAGAGCTGTGCAGAAGGATAATGCATGACGTTCACCGATTTAGATGAAATCGAAAGGTTTTACGTAAACTATTCATCATTTCGACGAATAAAATTTTAAAAACTTTCACACTTCTATCTTTGCTGAATGTCACTCACTAATTTTATTATTTTCCTTATCATTAGAACCAGTGGCTACATCAGCGGCAAATTCTCACACAGCTAGTTGTGTATGTATCACAACTACGGTTGAACCGAATTCTATCAAAACATCTGAATTTGCCCTTGCTTGGCACATGCCGCTAATTAACTTTGGTCTCGCAGCAAAAACATATCGAAGGTTAATTGAACATTGTTGTTTTATTCTGTTTGATTCTATTCGTTTTTTATTATGTTGTTAGATGGTATACAAAACATTTTGATCAAGAAACTCTTACTGGATCAACTCTATGTATGTACACAATCAAAAATCGTACACAATGGGAAGAAGATATTGCAAAATGGCAACAACCAATTCTAGATGATCCGTAAATGAATTATTTACAATTCAAAAAGATATCGATATGTTCTTACTTCTTTTTTTTTGATTAGAGCATTACCAGACTGGTATAAGAGTGCATTATTTAATGAATCTTATTTTGTTGCCGATGGTGGAACTATCTGGGTTGATGTGAGTGACGATACTACGCTATCTGACCATGTTAGAAAGTGGGGCCGATATGGTTATTTAGAAGGTGAAGATCTTTATGTTTTGTTTTTGTTCGATAGCATTCTTTTCTAGGTCATGAATATCGAATGATGAATACATACGATGTTCATTTCTATGCATCATTTGCTCTAGTACAGTTGTGGCCTCAATTAGAATTGAGTATTCAATATGATTTCGGTTAGTTATTCTACTGTAGAATAGAATGAATGACATAAAGATATTTGTTTTCAGCTAGTTCGATAATGTATGAGAAACGTGAATGTCGTACTTATTTATTTCATGGTCGATCAGCTCATTGGAAAACATTACATACCGTTCCTCATGATCTTGGCGATCCTGGTAAATTATTAGTTACTTTTTTATTTTCAACTTTCAAAAATTATACTTTCGTTCAGATGAAGAACCATGGATATCAATTAATGCTTATATTTCTCATGATACTGCCCATTGGAAAGATTTAGGTTTAAAATATCTACTTCAAATTTATCGAGATTTTGTTTACACTCAAGATAAACAATTTCTTGATACTGTATGGCCAACAGTCAAAGTAAACGATACAAATTTTCTTTGATAAAAATGTTTATTTCTATGCGAATAAAGTTTGTTACTGATCGTGTAAGACAACAAGATACCGATGGAGATGGCCTTATCGATAATGGTGGTTTTGCTGATCAAACATATGATGCATGGCCAGCAACTGGTGCAAGGTAAATACTCTTGTTGTTGAAAATTTTCGATATTCTTTGATTTTTAATTTAGTGCATATTGTGGCAATCTTAATGTTGCTGCTCTTCGTGCCTGTATTGAAATGGCACGATTGATGGATGATAGGAATGCTTTACAAGATTATGATACATGGCTTAAATTAGCTAAAACGTCCTATTCAAATAAATTATGGAATGGAAAATACTATAATTACGATTCAAGTGCATCACGCCATCATGATTGTATCATGTCTGATCAATTAGCTGGCTTTTGGTATTTACGTTTATCCGGTCATAAATATGATGTAAAAACTTATTTATAGAAAAAGATAAAATAATTCATTTGATACTAATAGGATTTTGAAAAAGATCGTATTGATAGTGTGCTTAATACAATATTTAATATGAATGTTATGGCATTTGGCGATGGAAAACTTGGTGCTGTTAATGGAATGACAAGTACAGGACAATTAGAAATTGCTAGTATGCAATCAGAAGAAATATGGACTGGTGTGACATATGGATTGTCATCGACAATGATTATGGAGGTAAAATTTTATTATGAAAAATTTAGAATATTATAGAAATTCGAGAGTAATAAAGACTAAATATAATATATAGAGATGAACTTTTGTAAAACATAACCGAAAAGCAATGTTTTATAGTATAGAGGTAAACATTCGCACCGCTACGATAGTCGCCAGATATTATTGTTATAAGCTCAAAGTCGATTGTCTTGACTAAATAATGGCTGATATTAATTAGAACTATTCATTATAGTTCTATTTCATTTACCTTTTTTTATATTTTCCGTTAAATAGAACATGATATCTCAAGGATTTCTTACATCGGAAGGCGTTTATAATACATGCTATAATGTTGCTGGCTTAGCTTTTCAAACACCTGAAGCATTGATGCAAGATGGTCATTTTCGTTCTGTAAGTCTTTTCGTTTTTCTTATGGCGAAAAATAATTATTACTTTATATTTATATTTAGTGCGGATATATGCGTCCACTAGCTATTTGGGCAATTCAAAAAGCGATTGAACTATCACGGACAGAATCAACCGCTAACAGTAATTCTTAAGATGAACATTAGCCCATTTATTTTTATTTCAAAATCAATTGTGATTGTTTTATTTATTTAATGAAGCTATTTTCTTGTGAATCAAATTTTTTCTCTCTTATCTCTTTTGTCTTGTCACAGAGTTTTGCAGTAACAAAATACGAACGCATGTGAAAAAAAGAATCTTTTGAATATTTATTTTGAAAAGTAGATTCTCGTTAGAGATGTAGTTTATTCTGTAGTCAAACTTATCTATTTGGTTATATTTTATTGATATATTTATGTTATTGCTATTTCGTTTGCTTTCCATAGTGCGATCATCTAATTTTCGTTGCAATTGTCAAAAGATTGGAGTTAATATTTACCAATGTTGTAAAGAGGAATGAGGTCTAATATTTGAAATAAAATAGAGCTTTTCTACAAATCAAAGGAGATCACTTTCGATTACACAATTTTCGTGTGATCAATGACTTTCGAAATATTTGCATAGAAACTCAACATTTTTGAAGGTTCAAGCTTTCAGAATTAGATTTCTAAGAAATAAAAATTTAAACTTTTCAAGAATAAAATTTTGCGAAAAAGTTGTCGAGCTAAAACATTTAGTCTTATAATCAACGTTATTTTTTTTTTGAAACTATTATTGATACCAAGATGATTAACAAAATATTTTTGTAAATAAAGTTGCGTAGGGTTCGAAAGGTCTCAACGTATTTAAGGAAAACGTCTTTTAGTGCCAGAGAAGAAATCATTTAAAACTTCTTCTTATGTCTGACTAGACAATGTTAAAATATCTAACCGTAAGTACTTGTTAAAGATGTTTAATTCTTAGAAAAAATACGCGCGTAGAATATCATCATACATTATCAAAAGGCATCACTATTGAAAGAAAAAATGAAGACACTACATGATACAAACAACAATTATGGTCATACTGCAAGTAATACAACTCAAAAGCAATTTTCTACTTCTAATCTATTAACCAATACTCGACAAAATTCAAATCTAATGAATGGATCATTACGCTTGAATTCAGCCGCCATAGATTCCAATCCTAATACTTATCCTTCATTGTTAACTCAAAATCATCATCAACAACAAACCATTTCTCGAACTAATAATGGTATGACTAATACACAGTCAAATAATGCATAGCCAATAGACTGATCAGATCACTATAAACTTCATTTATTCTCATAGATACAAGAAAAAGAGTATATTGTTTAGATAAACCATCATCGAATTCTGCTACTCGACCAACAACATCTAGTTCAACGTTTTCAACACAAAATATCTACACAAATTCTGTTCAATCACCAGCGAATCCATTTCTTTCTATGTTTAATGTTGATCAAAATCAATTGTCATCTATGATTCAAGCCAATTTAACTAAATTTGGTGGTAATCAAATGCTTCTACCAGGTACAAATAATTCACTATTCTATTTACAATTGATGAATGCTAACAATATGCTTATGCAACAATTATTAACGAATGAAAATAATAATCTATGTTCAACTTCGTCAAAAAATCAACCTATGTCAACATCACATGTTGATTTACCAAAAGATACAATGCATTCAGGAAGAAATTCTCACATATTACAAGCTGATTCAAATATATTTGTACCAAAAACGCGTCCGATGACACACGATGAAATAGCGGAACACGCACAATTAGTTTATCAAAGAGCTCTACAGCGAAATCAATTACAACAACATAATGATCTTATGAAACATTTCTATGAGTCATCGACGAGTTCAAATACAATCAATAGTACCATAAAATCTATCAATAATAACCAAGTACCAAGTGTACCGTCTGTTGGTAATATTGGTAAGATACCACCATGCAATTATAGAAAAAGTCATATGAAACCTTTTCGTTGTTTTATTATTTAGCTGTAAATAGGAAATTCGATATGTTTGATACAATGATTACATCACCATCATCATGCCTTTCAATTCAAGAACCTAGCGTAAATGCAGCGCTCTCATCATTATCACTAGTGTCAGTTGACGATGTTAAAATAATGAGTAGTATTAGCTCAACTCTTGATCCAAGCGCTCCAGCCTTCATTCCACGCCGTAGTCAATCAAAACTTCATCATGATGATGACATTGAAACAGTAAACTATTCAGAAAAGGAGAAATTTATTATGTTGAATTTGTCTTTCGTTAAGTCATCTTCATCGTCCGATTCTGATTTCAATGATTTTAATTATTTGGATCAATTTCTCGAAGAATTTTATAATTTAGATAATCAAGATGATAATCATTTAATTATTCAAAAATCTCCGGCATTTGGTACAACGAATATCGGCGATGAATTTTCAAATAATAGCAACAGCAATAATAATATTAATAAACATAATATCCATAGTGATATACTGGGTCAAGGTGATACTATTGAGCAATTAGCTTGTGAGGCAACCAATGCAATGACTGAACAATCCTCATCAATAAAGGTTGAAAAATCAGAATGTCAATATTCAATTTATGAATTACTTAATCGGTATAAAAAGAAATTCTCGCTAGGAAAGAGTATAGTCTTAAGTACAAAGTTGCATGTATGTACTTGATTTGCAACACGTATCGCACAGTGAAACATAACTTGTAAATTTATACAAAACTAAACCAACGTAGCATAACCATCAAACTATTTGCGTTACGAAACCACAGGTTTCATAAAAATAATAACCACGTATTCAAAGTTTTATCTAGTTTTTCTCATAGTTTTATTTTTAAAAAACAAGCTTTTTCAGAGGGTTCATTAAATATGAATCGCACATCTCAAATGAGAACATATTAACTGCGTATTAGTTGTGCACGTATCGTGATGTAAGTTGTTAAATCAAATAATAATGTCATCTTATCCTCATGTATTGTTAAAAAATCGGTGGAAAATAATTTCCTCTTTCTCCATGAACGAAGGTTTTCTTTTGAATATCTGTGACTTGTAAAAAAATTTTTGTGCCTTCCGGAAATATTGAGATTAAATACTTTTAAATTGCTTTTTCTAAAAGGAATATTATCAGTATCGGGTGAAAACGTTTTGTCACTTAACAGTACAAAAAAAGGCTTATGTGGATCTTTGATATCATCAATATTTTGTAAATTTAGATATCGTAATCCTCGTTGCCATTTGGTTTTACCTGAGTGGTCGCGGCTATCATTAATTCTTCCAACTGTATGTTCTATGCGTGCTCAATCCTACAAAATTAAAAGATACTTTGCTTATCGCCGTCGATTAAATGAAAATCAAGAATTGATTAAAGATCTTTCAGTTTCAGTAACAGCAAATATTCCTGCGCAATCATAAATTAACTCGACATAAATAACTGTCAACATTTTATTTCACAGTTGCTCAAATATAAATATATATTTATTGTGTTTTAAATTTATTCAACAAAAAATATAAATATGACATGGTGTGACTCACTGAAAAATAAACAATAAAATTCACTGAATTACACAAACAGAACTTCTTTGAATTGCTGTTCGGCGTTTCGGATTATGTGCTACACCAACACCCAGAGAATGATGCCTTTCACGTTGTTTACAACCTATTCAAATACGTAAAGATGCTCTAGACCGTTGAATCAAAAAAAAAACAAGACATACCACTTTTGTAAACTTCATGATTAAATTGTCCATACGAAAGATTTCCTCTAGGAAAAAAAGCACGTTTTCATATAATCATACACTGAACTACGTATGAACTCACGTGTGTAAACCGGGTTTGAGTTTAACACGAAAATGTGCAAGAACAGGTTTATGATCTGAATGTTTTACACCTGCCACGGATTTATATTGTGTACATTCAATCAATGATGTTGGCTTATCGCGATAGAGAATACGATCCTAAACAGATAAATAAAACAATCATTATCTTTTCACATAAATTGTTCTTTCGTCGAAGCAAAATCTGTGAATTCTTTCGCATTTAGATTTGTTGAATAGATAGAATGAAAACAATTCTAATAATGACGAAAATAAGTTGCCTATCAAGATGAACTCACAAGTGTAATCAGAATAATTATTTTTCATGGTTATTCTTGCTGATAGCAATCTGTCGTTTAGTACAACATCGATTCCATTATCAGAGAAGTTTCATCATAAATCATTCTACACGAATAATCATAATTCAAAGGAAAAATAAATCCGATTAGTTTCACTCGAATGAAAATGTTACACAAAAATTTGTTTTGAGATTAAACTAGTCTTTTTTTTTATTTATAATACAGTATAAAATCAATGAGAATTTATTTTCTTTCATTAAATAACATCTTGATTTTTTTGTATCCATATTTTTTTTGCCAAAAATCTGAAATAATTTTTCAAAAAGATCCAAGACAAATGTATTGAAGCCTGAGTGACAAAACAAACCAGTTCACACTTTGTTAGTAAGAAAGGAGAAATCAATCTTGTCAATATACTTCGTAGACGAATGCAGCAGATTGTTTTCGAATTCGTCATATCTATTATTTAACGAAATAAATTATAAATATCAATTTAATATCGATTTCTTCTCATATCGGTGCTGTTTTCTATTACCAATTTCCAACGCTTAGTTTTTAATTGAGGCTTTTATTCAAATGTTTATCCTTACTGTATATGAAGGTGTCCTGTGTTTGGCATAAATATCATCATCATCATATCGTAAATCAAATTTGTAGGTTGGAGGAAATTCAATATCAGCTTCTTTGAAAGCAGCATAGATATCGTCTATATAATTGAGAAAAAAAATAGAACACATGTAAGACAATTTTCAATGTATTTCGAAACGAAAAATTCTTTACTTGGATTTGTCTGTGACAAACGGAATTCATCTTTAACTAAAATTTCTTTATAATTTTGTTCTTTACAAAGTTCTAATACTTGATCATGTGAAATATCAATTCGAAAATTCATATCACCTGCCCAAAAAACACAATCGCATGATTTTGTTATGTCTAGATAAAGAAATTATGTTTTTATGCTTGATAAGAATAGAAATTATAAATTATAGATCAAACGTACCGAGATCTGCACGCGACGTAGAACTCACTGATGAATTCGATTCCGTATTTTGTGAAGCATAAGGTTCGACTAAAGCTGTTATACGTTTAGTTTTTTGAACAGTTCTTTGAATAAATTCATGTGGTATTGTTAATTTTGTTGTTGTATTATAGAAATTTAATCGTCTATTTGCACGACCTTCAGTACCATGACCGGCTAAGATGACGAACAGAAGATTTAATAAATATATATATCTCGCATTAAACAAACCTTCAAAATGTGAATTAATAATCATAAATGATGTTCCAAATAAATTGAATGTTATTACTAATGAACCTTTAGTACGAACAGGACCTACGACTCGAAATTTAATAATATCTTCTTCGGGTTCTAAATTGAAAAGAAAAGAAATGTTTTAGTGGATAATCTTTTGCTTTTCAGAAGGAGATACCAGTACAAAACCATATTAAATCACGTCGTAAAAATATACATAATGATAATGTACCGAAATGTATTGAATGAAATAGCACGTGCGCTGGTCCAATAACTTCTTGAAGTAAAATTTCCCAGTCAATTCTATATAGAGAAATAGAAAGTATTAATTTAAAAATTTATTCTTAACAAGGTGTATACCGTTTTTTTGCAACAGACATCTCTTGAGTACAGACAATAATCAAATCCGAAACATAATCAATAAATGTCGGTAGCAATATATCAGACATATCATCGAGCATACGCTCTTTTGGTTGTATAGTTTGTCGCGCTGTTGGAGTATAATTTTGTTCATATAATTTTGATGCTTCACCTGTATTCCATGTGACCATCATGATTGTCAATACTCGTCCCGACGGAAAAACTGAATTAATGTCATTTGCTGTATTTTCTGGTACTTGTCTAGATGCTCCCACTAGAAAATTTCTAATTATAACAAGAAGAGCAATTTTCACAATTTCTAAAATAAACAAAACCATGATGCTTACCGTTTTCGAGCATCATTCGTTGAAAGTAAATGACGTGTATTACCAAGAGCTTGAATAATTGATACACTACTACTACGACGACGTACAGTTTGCGGACTGCTCTCTCTCGAATGATGAATAGTATTTGAATCAACTAATGAACTCCCATTGACAAGAGCAGATATGGTTTCAGTAGTAGTAGTGGGTTCTATTATTATTGGTGGTTCCCCGTTAAAACTTGAACTACTTTCATCTGACTTTTCTTCGATAGGTTCGGTCATATTGTCTTATTTTGATATGTAACACAGGTTCGAATGAAAACCTTGGTCGCCATTTTTTTATATTTTCATTGAGAACAGAACCATATGTGCGTGGAAAAGTTAAAGATAATATTTCCTTCTCTTTTTTTTCCTCGATAAAACAATTAGTGACTATTACAAATAATTTGTCGAAACTCTTGATGTTTCCATAGAAACAATAACTGTTAGTACGATAAAATATTGTTAACAAATAGCAGATTTTAATAAATTGAAATTTTTTAAGCATTAAAAAATGTTATTTAACTTTCGAACAATTATTTGATGAAATATTTTATTCACGCTTATTAGCGTCATCTATCGAATGTCAAGATAGGATAGGGTATTCTTTTCAAACTTGTGAATTCCACATTTGAATTAACTTTAACTTTCTTTACTTCATCAGCAGTATAGCTGCTCATAAAAATCGATTTCAATAGCCTATTCGTTTACCATTCAATACTACGGATACAATATTATTGATAAAAAAAAGTTCTTATCTAATCGTTTTTGTCCTATTCGAATCATATTAATGTCAATAAATAACTGATTTTTCAATCAATCTCGTTATTTCTCTCATATCTTCATATATCTAATCTTGTTGTACAGACAAAAATTTATCTGACATATTATTTTTCCTAATTCTGCTAATCTTACATAAAGGTTACGTTTATACATATTCTCTTTGCTTCCAATGATGTATTTAATTCTTGATTAGAATAGAATAGATAATAGATTGGTAAACAATTTAACAAATAGATGAAAACCTATTATGGTACTAATGCCAATTCAATACAATCCCATAAAAGACCATATTTCCATTCACGATTATCCCAATTTCGTATTGCGACTAGAACAGTTGATGGTTCATAGATAATTGTTTGACCCATTTTAATTATCGACCAACAATCTTGATGTTGAAATAGGAGATTATAAAAATCATCTTCATGCATTCTATAATTTAGTAATTTTCCATGTTGTGGTACTACAATAAATTCTGTTATGCCGCATATATTAATACCATATACATCAGCTTTCATTCGCCAACTAACTTCATATTTTCCTGGCATAATTATATGTTCAAAGCGGCCACTTATGTCAAGAGAACGTTCACTGTGTAAATGAATAATACGACCGATTAAACTATCTGAATGAAGTTCTTCGACAATACTATATCTATCGAGATGAGCAACATTCATATTAGCTGCTGCACATCGTTTACGATCAATCAAATAAAAGTAGATTAATTTATTGAATGGAATTTGCAAAGATTTATTGAATTGTTTAAATTGAAAAAATTCTACATTGTTTACAAAATTATCTTTTGAAACATACATTTTTGCATGACGTTCATTGATAACTTCATCGTTATAGTGAGTAGCTGAATTAATGGCAAGAATATCGATTTGATCATTTTGTCGAAGATGAAGAAAATCTGGTTGACGAATTTCATTATGAGTTTCTACTATTTCAGGTTTTTGAAATAGATCGATAGTATAAAATTGTGCAATCGATTTCGGGAAGTCACGATATATAAGATAATTCCAAAATTTATCATTATTAAGAAGCGTATAAAATTTTGAACATGTTTGACTCAATAAATTTATATCTTTTTCATTTAAAAAATTAAGAATCATCTCAAAAATCTCATGTGGAAGACAAACAAACCAACATATTTCATCCGACGATGAATCAATAGACGATTGCAATGACATTTTATCTTTATCATTTGTTGTCAACATGTTTCTGTTTTCTATAAATATTCTTTAATTGAAAAATTAAAAAACAATTAATAGCTAGATTAACTGTATTTTGTTGAATTTATTCTACTTATATTGTATGACATTGAAAATTATTTTTAAAACAAAAAAAAAACTAAACTTATAAAAATGAATCAACAGATAGAAGCGCACATAAACACACTGTCATTTCCTGATTTTGTTAAACATTTCATTCAATATCTAGGCCTTCGTTTTGTTCGATATAAAATCTAAGACAGTAAGATGAAACACAACACATACAATCAAATAGGGGGAGCAAAAAGAAGCATTATTGTCTTCATATCACAACTAACGAACACTGAATATCACTATTGCGAGTGTTAATGATATTGATAAACTACTATCGTTGATAGTATAAATATATAAATGTGTCTTCATCGAGATTTAATTTTTCGATCGTTGCTCGTTTATAGGACGATAATCTATTCTTTATAATCAGACGACATTTTTCTTTTAATAAAAATGGATTACGGGCACGCCATGATAGATACATATCTATAGGTTGCATTCGTTGAACATGCTCACATTCAAGTAATTTAAGAATAACCGAACTATCCGTTAGAACAATATGACCCATTAATATAAGATTTTCATAAAAACGAACAATATATTCGTAAACTTGATTAACACCTTCGCCTTAAAATAAAATTATATTGGCTTTAATATAAAAATAATATTGTTTTTTTTTTTGAATATTTACCTGTACTTTCAACATTATCATAAATAGCACGAAAATAAGCATCTAATACATCCAAATACTTAGTAAAATCAAATGTTTCATGATATTTCAATATAGTAAATAATAGTGATGTACGTAAATAAAGCATATTAATTCTATCATCGTTAATTGTTACGAATTGGGCTTGTAGAATATGCAAAAATCGTCTTAGTAAATCACCGACGTCATACATTTTCAATTTTGCTGATGGTATTGCTTCTAGTATAGTTTCTAATACATCAAATGCTTTATCCGAAAGAATTTTATTTTTCAACATAAGATTGTTTAATACGGTAAACATAAAGTCACTATCAAGTTCTTCCCATATATGAGGAACAAAGATTCTTAATGCATCTATTTGATCATTAATGAGACATTGACGAAGAATATCACCTCTCTTTTGCATCAATAATGTTTCATCATCATTAGGACATGTCTTAGTGTTTTTAAGTTTATTAATGAAAACAGCTAGTGTTCGATTACGATTAAGTCGAATAGCGTCTTGTAATGAAGATTTTTCAAATTCATCATTTTCGTTCATTATTTCACTGCCATATTCGACAAGTTCAATAGCAATATCTTCAAAACCATATTTAACTGCAAGTGAAAGTGCACTATCACCATAGGTGTAATTAATTCGGGATAGACGATGATTTCCTCGTGTAGCTAATAGATTCAATTCACGCCTGACATGAACATCAGCACCATGCGCTAATAAATGACGTACTACTTCGAGATGACCTTTGTGACTAGAAAGGTTGAAGAAGACAAGTGTTTGCATGATATCATCAAATATAAAGCAAGAAGCTAATAACACATGACTTCTTATCATAAATGATAAATATGTATATATATATATATATATATATATTTATTTATTTATTTGTATTCTTATTAATTGAATGACTTACCTAGCAATACATAATGCAAAATCATTATTGAATGGTTCATTTACATTTATACGTTTTTCTTCAATACATCGTTTGACAAGTTCTAAATGATTATATTTGCATGCATTATAAAATAATTCTAAAAGATTTTCGCTTGAATTAAGTGCATCGTCAATAGTTAAACCCAAGAAAAAAGCTTGTTCAAATGTTGATGTTTGTGACCTTGGTGATATATTCGTTTCATTGCGTGACATATCTGTAACTATTGAAGTTGTTGTATTCGACGTAGATAACGATGTTTTATCCTCGTGTCGAACATTTCCATTTTGTTTTGATGGTGGTACCTTTTTTTCTCTCATTCTTACTTCACCATCTTTGTTAGCTGGTGGTGGTGCTATTGCTGTTGTTGTCGTCGGTGTCGATGTTTGAGTCGCCATGTCTTGATTGATCGATTGTTTAATAGAATACGACGTTAAGAAGAAAAAAAGTTAGATTTTTGTTCGGTGATCAAATATGTAATGTCGTCGGCTGCTGAAGTCAAGCAATAAACGGAGAAGGTAGACAATCGTAAATAAGACTTGATGATGGCGAAAAAGAACAACAACACCTATCAACTGTCTATAAGTAACAAAAGAAAAAACCTTAAGAGAAAAACAGAAAAGAAATAGAGATGAGTAATGCCATATTGTTGGATTAGGGGACAAACTACAATGAAACAGCAAAAGACAGAAAGAGAGTGTGAGAGAGAGAGAGAGAGAGAATATGAGAATGGTAATTGAATGTCTTTGATAATACGAAAGAGAATGACATCGTTTTTATACTATTCTCTTTTCTCTTTGTCTAGTTATTTCTCATGTTCTTTGTCCAGACGTCGCATTCATGTACACTCGAAACAGCTGTGTTCAAGACAAAGCGAAAGAGAAATTCAAAGTGAGACAAAGGCAAGTCGAGATTTATATACACATTTACATGAGTGAAGTAGGCGCAAGATGACTATTTGCACAAATAGAACGTTCGTTTGCTTGCTTTGAAAAAAGTACTATGAATAAATTGAAGGTCAAATGTAACACAATGACTTTGAAATGCTCCTACACGAGGCTCACTTAAATAACAAAAAGAAAAATAATATTTTTGTTGCCAATTTTCTGAGCCATAAGAACACCTACGATTGTTGAATCGTTCGATTATTGTGCTCTTTATCAATAAATATGATAGGATGTCTTTTGTTCTCTAAAGAATTATTACTATGAAAAAGAAAAATGCAATTCAAATCGATGTCTAAAATTTTTTAAAAGCATTTGAATCCCTATGTAAATAAAAACAGAAAAAGAAGAAGTAGAAGAAAAAAATTTAAGTTTATTAGTACGCCTATATCTATATAACAGTCAGCAAAATAATGCTCATGATAAACAAAACAAAAAAAGGACAAGAGAAAAGACATGCATATGCTTATAAGAATGTAATCGAATAAACAGACATGACCCTCCCTTCTCTTATTCTCTTTTTTGCTACCATCATACATACACATAAATGCCATCAGGCAACCACAATAACAGCCTATAACTGCTGCTGCCAGCCATTATCAATCATCGAGCATACAATCAATGTAGCTTAAAATAGAATAACAATGCCAATATAAATACATATATATATATATATATTATTTCCAGATCGAATAACGATGACAAGAACAGTATGTTAAAACATTATTCATCATATTTGTAAATTCAGGTGAACAAGCCAATTGTTTTTCATTTTATTCATGCTATTTGATTTCTTTCATCTTTCTCTTTTTTCTCTCGGTCTCTCCTCTTTCAATTCTTAATCCAGCGCGCTTGGTCTAATGTTTCGAGTAAAAATAAGAAGAAAAATCGATTATAAAGAATAAAACTGTAAGTACAGACAGAAAATTTTCTATCGCCGTCATTACCCATAATAAGCACGAGAAAATGTAGGATTTTGTTACAAATCGTTTCAATCATTTAGTAGCCTGTCAACTATTCCTATCCAACGCATGCACGAAGATTTTCATCATTTATCATGAATCTCGGTTATACAGGCATGTATGCTCGCGCAAATAAATACATGCTTAAAGACAATAAATCATTCTCATTGATTGAAGAAATCATAGGTTATTTGTATTATTGTCTTGGCCAAAACAAATTAATAATAGAACTTTTTTTTCCATTAACAGATGTAACTCACGGGGGTCAAGTCATAAAAAAAAATAGAATTGATTATTATAAGATAGGACGACGAAAAAAAATTAGAATCGAGGTTCACTACCAAAATAAAGAAAATAAAGGAGAACTAAAGGATAAAATAATCTATTGTGATTGATCAACTTCATCGATATTCGATTCGACAACTTCGCCAACGTAAACAGTTTCATGTTTAGCTAAAATACGAAGTAATGGTCGAAGTTTCAGCCACCATTGTTCAAGAGGCATTCGATGTCTAAATAGAAATTCGAAAATAAAATATTTTTCATCTGATTGAAAAACCAAAGAATGTAAAATAAATTACTCCATGTCAGTTTTTGTCTTGAGAATTTCTATCGGTGTAAATTCATTTTGTCGTTTAAGTAAACCTAATACAACAGCACTTTCTGCTGTATTACAAATAACTTTTCCATCGCCTGTTGCTGACTTTTCAATAAGTGACACAACATAGGATACGGCTTTACATCCTAATTTCGTTGCAAATGCACGATCAAATGGCGATGGTAAGCCACCCTATAAACATAAGGAAAGCCGAATAATATTTACATAAATGAATTAAAATTAAGCTTGTTGTTATTTTACTTGTTGCATATGACCAAGAACGTTGCTTCTTGCACTGAATACTCCTTTGCCTTCTTCTTGCAATAACTTCGTAATGAAATCTGTTGTATAATGTTCATTGGCCATTTCATTTCGAAGTAGAAGACCACGTTTTAGATTTCCTTCCATTTTTTTACGTAAATGATCAACATCATCAATGAGATCTTTGATTGTAAATGGTTCTTCATAGATGTATGCTTGATCAGCTCCGCTAGCCAGTGCAGCCATAGTAGCTAAATAGCCGCAATAGCCGCCCATGGTTTCAATGATAAATATACGCCGTTTGGACCCTTGAGCAGATTGTTTTATTTTGTCGCAAATCTAAAGATTACAAAAAACAGATTATTTATTCAGGTCTTATTTATTAGGTTTCTAAACAAACTTTGACTATTTCATTCAATGATGTATCAGCTCCAATACTAAATTCAGTACCGGGTACATTATTTGATATAGTAGCTGGGATACAAATCAATGGAATTTGAAATTCAATATGTTTACTTCGTGTATCATACATTTGAAGAATCGATAAATAGGCCTGAAAGATAATTTTTTTAAATGAATTTTGTTTTGTCTTCAATTTTAAAATTTACCTCATATCCGCCAATGATTATAATAGCATGAATGTTATGTTCACGAAGTTTTTCGGCTACTTTCATCAGACCAACTTTAGCTGCTGTAGCTCTAAATTATAATGAAAATAAACCCGAATGAATCTTTTTTGAATCATATTTATTTTATATTTGATTTACTTTTGAGAACCAAGTATCGATCCACCAATACCACTCCATCCATTTACCGATGTCCATTGTAAATTTTTAACCTATAATTCATTTACCATTGTTGGTTATTGTTTTCCAAAAAAAACTTTTCCTACTTGATTATTTACTAAACCTTCAAATCCATCGAATATAGCAAACATATTAAGCCCTTCACATATACCGGATCGTACAATTGAGCGAATAGCGGCATTTACACCACCAGCGGGTGAACCAACATTAATTATGGCCACATTATATGAGTGCTACAACAAATAATTTCAAGATTTTTTTTCTTCCATCGCAAAACAAAATGAATAAATAAAAATCTTAGACATTATTAGCTTATATTGATAATAATCTGTTTATCTTTTGTTGATCAAATTAAAACTAAATCAACATTTCTCGACATATAAAGTATGACATTTAAAATAATAGTAATCTATGAAAATAATATAATTCAAATATGCAAATTAATCTACAGAAGAATACTCGTTAATTTGAATCTTGTTTGTTTTAGGTATATTCGAAAGACTAATAAGATTTGCTTACTTGTTTATTCGACAATAATTTTGGTCTTAATTTACTTAGACGAATATAAGTTTCAAGATTACTTTTAAAACTTCTTCCACGTAAATCTTGAGCTTCTTTAAATCTTTTATCAGCCATGGCTTGCGCGACAGCAGTTGTTTTTTCTACACAATGCATCAATGGTACACGTACTGTTTGATTACCACTAAGAGCAATAACAACAGGTTGCGATGTTGGTGTTGCTTCCATTAGGGCTAACACAGCTTCAGTGCCCATTCGAGTACCCTGAAACACAACAGAAACGATGAAAATATTTAAAAGATCTGATTTCATTTTTGTTTTTGAAAACATACAAGAACCCGATCAAATGCTGACGGGCAACCACCACGTTGAACATGACCAAGAATAGTTACACGCGTATCATATTTTAGTCGGTTTGCAATAAGCTTAAATATTAAAAGAAAAGAAAAATTGTTAAAAACAAAAAATTGAAAATAAATGCATATTACAGCTCGAACGTCATCACATTTTATTGGTCGACCTTCAGAATCGGTGGCACCTTCAGCAATAACAACTATATTCAAACGTTGACCCATTTCTCGTGTCTAAGAAAAATCTTTAATTGCATATAACTTAATATCATATGGAACAACTTACATTTTTAAGTTTTTTACATAATTGATCTTCCCATCCAGGTTCAGGTGGTGATTCAGGTATAAATACCCAATCAGCATCAGCACTGAGAGCAGTTACTAATGCTAGATAACCACAATGGCGACCCATTACTTCGAGAACGAAACAACGTTGATGACTATTGTAAAACAAAAGCATCATTTATTGGAAATTTAATGGATTAACTTAATAGTATTTAATTACCTTGATGCTGTTGTTGTGATACAATCAATAGCTTCCATAACACGATGTAAAGCTGAGTCAGCTCCAATTGTCATGTCAGTACCACAAAAATCATTGTCAATCGATCCAACAAGACCAACGATATTTAAATTTTTATATTTTTCAGCATTTTCACTCGTAATTTGTTCTTTTTAAATACAAAACGAAAAATAAATATTCATCTTTGAATTTGATTATATGAGACTTACCTGTATCGACAAGTTCTGCTAAAAGACTTTCCCACTCTTTACGAAATAGATTTGCTCCAGTCAGTGATCCATCACCACCAATACAAACAATATTATTAATACCATGATCAATAAGATTTTTTGCAGCACGTAATCGGCCAGGTCTTTCACGAAATTCTTTACAACGTGCACTACCAATAATGGTTCCACCCTAACAATTAAAAATCTATATGTTGAAAACTATTACTAGCTAAATATGATTTACATCATCGAGAATGCCAGATACAGATGCCCATGTTGCTTGACGAATACTATTACCACCATCAACTAATCCTTGATAACCCTAGTAAGAAAAAAGATTTAAATTCTATTTATGTCAAATCGATTTTTATTTATGAACCTCGTGTATAAAATAAACTTTACAACCAAGATAAATACCCATACGAACAATGGCTCGAACAGCCGGATTCATTCCTAAAAAATAGTTTACATTCATTTATATCAATTAAAATAAATTTTATAGAAAGCAATAAGCATCAAGACAATATTAAAAGCACGGTAAATATAATTATTTTGTACCCTGTGCATCACCACCACTAGTAAACACTGCAAGACTATGGCCATCAAATTTATTTTTTTCAATAGAATGACCTTCTTTGCCACTTTCCATTAAATAATCATGTTGTTGCGAATCGGTCGATCTTCTATGATGCATATTTATGTGAGGAATTTGACATCCATTCATAGACACAGCAGTTGATACGGCGTTACTGGTAGGCTAGGTAAAGAAAGGGTACAACATGCGAAGCATATAAACAAAATATAGTATGCATACAACATATAAGCAATGTGACAGAAGGTTTCAAAATAGTAAAATAAATTATTTCGCACTACCTTGTGCATCACCCCCACTTGTAAATACAGCCATAGCTCGATCTGGATATTGATCTTTTCCAAGAACATGGAGATTTTTTTCAAAGCCTTCTGTCCAAGCAATTGAACCTCGAAATTTATGAGATGAAGAACGAGACAATGGTGATGAAATATCAGTAGTCATCGCATTGAAGTCTGTACGAAGTTCACCAACTGTATCGGTCTATGGAAGAAGAACAAAAGAAAAATGTGTAGTAATAATAATAATATCGATAAAATCAATCACGTAAAACGCCGATATTAGACAGAATAATTTCAAGCAAAACAGAAAAAACATGAATAGAAAAGGAGAAAAATATCGATGTTCAATAATATTATTTCTCTACCTTAACATATTGTATCGTGTCGTTCGTATCTTTAATCTGATTCTGTTCAATGAACTGATTCATACGATTAGAACTTTCTTCCTGTTGTATACTACAAATATGTGATGTGGTTTGAGGACCCATCGTATTCTCTTTCATAGTACTTGCATCATTGCCCATGATAAATAGTTTTTCATAAGTAAATAGAAAGATGGGTGATCCACATAATGAGTTGTAATATCAGTAATTTATACGTAAATAACTTAACAAGAACGAAATGTGCAAATGAGTTACTAAGTGACAGATAGATATTAATTTGTTTTTACATAGAAAAACAAATTCAGTGTTTTCACACAATGTAGATTGTTCACGTGAATAGTTCAAGAAAAAGAACAATATCAAACACAAATGTAAAGAACCTACATAAGCTATTATATTTTTTTTCACTACACTACATATAACTTACATCTCGGTAATTTACGTCGTCATCATGCTACAAAATAAGGTTTTTTTTAAAACAAATTAAAAAAATAGTAAAATGTTTAAAGGACAAGTTTATAGCGTTTCCTTATAATAGAAAACATCTTTTTTTTTCCGAAAAATCAAGGAAATCTAAACACAGTCGACAATAATTGCCCTTTTCTTTTCATTGAAAGCGATCTCTTTACCTCTTCAAGCTTTTCAGCATTTTGATGTGACGCTCCATCAATTTGCTTTTCGACGGTCGGTTGAACGGCAACAGATGCTGTTCCTGTTTCTGCCATTATTCAAATGAAATATATAAAAATCTGCAATAAACAAAAAACAATACTTAACGAGACGTGTACGTCAATGAAAACTATCAATATATGGTTCTTTTGTTGTTTTAATCACAAAACAAAAATGTATAAAGCAATAATATGAGTTGACCCAAAACCATACAAAGAAGAACAAACGGAGTTATTTGATAGTAGATGATCACTGCATTTTGAGAGCATCACACCAATGAAACGAATCTAAATTGGAATAATTGCTTGTATATCATAAAATTGTTATTGCAAAGGTGAGATTTTCAGTGGCACGAGTATTTTTGATTCCATTTTACGAACTAATGGCACTGTAAATTCAACACTAAAATGGAAGAAAATATTAATTGCAAAACAAAATTGAATGAAATAAAAAGTTGATATTCATACTTCTCTGACCAGCCAGGTTTAGCCCATGCATTAGTACGCATTTGTTTTCTATGTTGAAAATTTTTATATGACCACATATGATGAACATTATAAAGATCACCAATCTGTGAAAAAACACCAAGAACTTTTGCATCTGGTCGATATTGCACGCCTTTATGCCATAAATTTCCCCATTCAATTAATGTACCTGGTTTAAGCCAATATGATCGCATTTCATATATGTATGGATTTGTTTCATCGTCTGATTTTGCACGTGGTTGAGGAATGCCTACACAAAATAATATAAACATCTTTTCTTTTCTCTCTTAGGAAACAAAGATGCCGAACCAAAATAAGAAAATGAAAGACATATCTGATTGGAACGTTCGATAACATATTGATTTAATTTATCATTAATGGAATTGTTCTCAGCATTATTCACAAATTGATCCAAATGAGTAAAATTTTTATACATCCATATATGAACAAATTGATTCTGAACATTGCCAATATGTACTCTCCATGAGCCAGTATGAACAAGACCTTTTGAAGAATATTTATCTAGGATTTGTGACGCATAATCACAATACATGGATTCATAGTCATTCTAAAATTAGACATAAACTAAATTGTTTTTTTATTTTATCCTAAGAGCAACTAAAACTTTCTTATGTCTCGATTCTAATTAGAATGTTATAGAAAAAAATGAAGCATAAGGAAACACTTGACAAAGAAAAAAGAATATTTCAATTAAAAAAGAAAACTAGAGTAGAAAAAGTTCACTTAGAGAAAATGAAGGCACGGAAGATTTATTTTAAAGTAAATGAAAGCAATGCGTGATTAGTTTTTCTTTTTACTTCCAGCGAAAGAAAATTTATCGAGATTTTATTTCGTTTTTTTTTCTTTCTATTGACTTACCAAAAAACTTTAATGAACTATCTCCGTATACTTGCAAACGGAAAATAGGTGTCTCATTTCAGTCCTACGGTGTGAATATACTATTTCATCATTAGCAAATTAGAGCCGATCTAGACCATAAAAAAAACCTAATTATAACGGATGCCTATGAATAATTTAAACGACAAAAATGACACTTGCTGCCGCTAGTAACTATTGGATAAAACGTTTTTGCTTGTTCTTAGTGTTCTAACGACAGATTTTTCTCTCTCTCTCTCTCTAGTAGATTATTCCAGATCGATTCTTGTGATACTGAAAGGTTTTTTCTTTTCTGTCAGATAGAATAAGACTATGAGTCTTGTTTTTTTGCAGGCCGTCCTGCTTATTGTATTTGATATTTCTCAGCGGGAGCTATTTATGTCTAGCAACCAAACACAAGAACGTTGTTTTCCTTCTATTGATTATTTTGATGAATTTCTCACGACTATTTAGTACCATAAATAGCTAACGTCATAACCAGTTTTTATAAGAAATTTTTCATATTGCACATAGATTTGAAACTTCTCTTCTTCAAACGAATAAACCTTTTAGATATACTCAGAAACCGAAAAGTACTATGAACTGAAATTTTGATTTTGTGAAATAATTTTGATTAAACCAAAAAAAACAATTTTTTTTCAAGCAACTTATTTCAGTGACGTTAATGACTCTTTTTCTCATGGTTAATAAAAGAAAAAAGAGCTATTAATTTAATCTCTCAGGGCAACCAATGGCGTGATCAAACTCCGGAAAACTTCGAGAGAATAGTGCGTTTATTTGAATAATAATAATTATTGGACTTAAAAAAGCTTTAAAAATTTATTTTACCATTGCACTTGGTTTAACAGTATGATGTTGAAGTTCGAATACATTTTCTGTATCAGTAAGTAAATTTGAATGAGCATCTTTCGCTTTTTCAATTTGTTTGGTTGTGAATGTATTGAATAAAGTTCGATTAATAGTTTTACGCATAGTGGATTGAACTATACTTATTAATCTTAATGTATTAGTTGTTGAAGAATGCATATTAGTTAATCTCGAAAAAAGAATAAAAAAATCAACAGCTGTCTTTTATTTTTCAAAAGATAAATTAGTTATTCATTAATAATGAATAGCATTAAATGAAGTTATTGATTTGCTAAATTTTTAACTAGATAGTTAAATTTAAAAGTAAGACTGCAAATGACTGCAACCAGCCAAATAGACTTATCTGCGAGAAAATCAGTGATTTTGATGTAAGAGTATCAAGTTTCAGATCTTCTTTTCATGAATTATGAATAAAGCATTAATGCAAGTTCGATCAACACATTTGATCATACAATGACATTTTTTTTTCTCTTCTATTCCGTTTTATCTATGCGATTAGAGGGAACTAACCGTTTAATATTTAAAACATACGTTCTTCATCAATTATTCTTGAAATGAATAGGAATAGAGATTATCTAAAATTTACTAAAAATATTACTTCTTCTTTATTTTCATTAAATGATTTTCTATTCTTAAACAAATGAGTTTTTGAAAAACTTTTTTTTTTATTATCACCATATTACATTTGTTTTTTAACAAGGGTAATTTTTTACTTTATGCACATATTCCCAGTTGGATTTCTTTTCATGTTTTCTATACACTATTAACAAAACCGCAACTTATCATACAACAAAAAACGTTAACAGGAAAAAAAACATTATCGTTCACGAATTCGTTTTTCTGCTACAGCTGTTGAAATATCGCGAACACTTATTGCAAATGTTTGTATAGCTTGACGAAACATTGTTGTACTTTGCTCATCCCAGCCAATTAATTGTTGATCTTGTTCATTATTGGATAATGCTCGTCGACTACTAATATCAAGATCACGTAATAAAACACCAAACTTAGAGAAGGCTTCTCCAACTGATGTACATAAATCAATCAGATTTTCTTTTTGTGAAGATGTTGACAATTGATTCGGAGTTGTTATTGGCATTGTTTTCAAAAGCTATATGATCATATCATATAAAACATGCATGCGACTTATTGTTTATCATCTATGTAACTCTTGAAATGCACCAATGGAAAATTCAATCAAAAAAAAGTCTTTCAAATAGATGTCAGTACGAATGGCGTCGGTGTTTTTTTCTTTCTGCAATTCTTAATCAAACAGAAAAACAAAATGAGAACCTCTTACCCCGGTATTTTTTGTTGATTTAAAATATTTTAGGCATTATTATTCCAAATCAGTTTGTATACTTTTTTATAGATATTTTTCGCATTAGAAAAAAAATTAAACAAAATGGATATTCATTATGAAAAAATGCCAAATATTGAAAGTAAATATAAAATTAAAAACAAAAATAAGTTCTTCTTTTTAATATTTTTATTTCAATAGATTCATCATCATCAGGTGTTTACCTTGATGAACCGATTCGCGTTCAAGAGACACCTGCTCGTATTCGTCATTATTTTGTATTTTCACTATTTTCGGCTATTTGCTTATGTCCAGCAACAGGTAATTTAAGTAATAGATAAAATTGTGTATTTTTCTTTTGTTTTTCTCTTCAGGTCTTGTTGCATTGGCTTATTCATTAAAAAGCTCAGCTAAAGCTGATGTGAAATTTCATGATAAAGCTCGACTTTATTCTCGTCGTGCACTACTTTGGAATTTAATTTCTATTATTGTTGCAACTGCTTCAATTTTTCTGGTAACTACATTATTTGTACTCTAAAAATTAAGTTTATTTTCTTTTTAGGTTTTGGCTTTTTTCTATTATGTGAATGCAATCGTACAAATGGGCAGCGTTACAGACTTTGATGTTTATCAAAAACAACGTGCACAGGAAATAAATAATGAAATCAATAGAATGGTTCAATCGTTCTCAAACGAGAAATAAAACCAAACAACAAAAAATAAGAAAAATGAACATAACATATATATATATATATATATACATATTGTCGCTTATGTTAAGTAATTACATATTCGTTGCTTTAGTTAGATCCTAGTTTGTTTACGGGATGTGTGAGATGAGAAAAAGGAGTGATGAATTGTGACAGTATTTCGTTTCCTTTCTATGTCGTTTAGTCTGTGTTGCATGTGTGTAAACAAAACATTAAAATCTCATACTAAATTTTTGCAAAATAAAAATTATATCTACCATCATAAAAAATCCAATTTATTTTAGCAAAAGAAGAAAGAAAAAAGGCAATAATTGGAGGATTTGATGAACTGTGATAAACATGAGTATTATATTCTAGCTTTTCATTCGTTAAAATGATAATAATCGCCGGAAATAGAAAAACGTATGTGATACTTGAAAGTAGAGTTGGGGGGTTCCAGATATTATCCGGTTCCGGTTAACAAAGCTGAAAAAACGGTTCTACGGTCGGACCCTAGAATGTATGTTGGGAACCATCGGGAACCGTTGATCTGGTGATACATTACATAATAATTTGTATTAGACTTTTTCAAAAATATCTATATTTATTTTCATTGTTCATGCTTATTAATCGATTGAAAAGCAATTCTGTCAAGAGATACAAAAACAGAAAAACCGTAGAAAGTCCATATAATATGACATGTTCATACACAATTATTACTATATAAATAAATTCTAAAAAAACTCAACTTCATTTTCTTCATCATCCTCGCAAAAAATAGTATCCTCTTCTTCATTCAACTTCAGTTTCTTGGTAGATGTAATAGCTATTAATTCTTCTTGATTGTCACATGAGCTTGTGCAGAATGATTGTACTGTCAAGAAAAAAAATTTCGATTCCAACGGATCCGGTTCGAAATCCATGTCTGAGAAACTGGAAAATTTCGAATCCAGTTCGGTTGTCGGTTCCAATTATTTTGGAACCGCCGGTCTCTACTTGAAAGTCTTTTATATTTAGAAGAAAACATCGCTCACTGTACTCAAGTGAAAGAAACAACAACATTATCTATTTGTATGTCGTTCTATTGCCATAAGCCTAACTTGAAAACTATTTGTTAACAAATATATTACACTGTTTACATACTTTCTGTATAAATTAGTACTGATACTACTAGAACCTAAATATATTTAGCTCATTCTATAAATATTCGAGCAGAATTGAGTTCATCTATTTGTGCTAACGAAATTCCATCAATAAGTCGAATTTTGCCGAAGTATTAAAGAATCGATCTTATAAAAAAATTAGCCTATCAATTCGTCAACAGGTCATTTTCGATAAAGAGAAATTGTGTAAAATAATAATCGAATAACAATAACAAGGTTGTTGTCTGTCATTTGCGTCATTAATTACAAAATAACTGATTCAAATTCCAGCTGCTAATCGAGATCAAGAGAATGGCATTCGTTGTGACCGGACATTAAGTTCCGGCGCGACTGAGAACAAATGTGATGGCATGTACAATAATTTTCCAAATACTAATCAGTTTAAGAAATTAGCTATTGAAGATTTTATTAGCACTGAAAGTAGCACGCCACTAAATGCTTTTTAAATAAATAAAAAACTAGAGATGTATTCTATAGGATTGAATCGCCCAACCCATGCTGATTTTCACGACCAAATAATGCAATAAGAATTTCCCATTAAAGGGATTTCACAATTTCAAGTGTTTCAGTTTGCATCATATTATTTGAGTATATCGTTGCGTTGGTCAATTCTTTTGAAGATTATATAATAGAATACAAGACTTAATCAACCAGTAACCTGCATGCATTACACACACGTATATAAAGACCAGCCTACGATTGTATAAGATCTTAAATGAGATGTTTGAATTTCTTACAAGACATTCAGGGTGATTTGATTCATCAGATATATTTTATTGGTTCAATATAATTGATTGGCTATTTTCTTTTCAATAACTCTCGTTCGTGCTCCAGTTGGTACGCTTACGAATATTTTAAGTATCAGATCACATTCTATGTAATTGTACGGAAATATGATTGAAAACTTTAATCCACATCGACATAGTACATATATGTTCAATTACATATTAGATTTAACGTTTTTTGGAATAATATATATTGTCTGTAGCGAAAAATATAACAGACAATGTACATACTTATAATAATTGATTTTGTTTCATTCAAGTATATAATTAATGTGTCTTGAGTGATCCATTAATTGGTCGCTCAATAACTAGTGATATTATTTAAACATTTGCTTTGACCATATGGACAACATTTTTCATAGGTTCGACGACTGCGAAAGTTAATCAATCTTTTCCCTTTTGCTTTGTCTGAAATATGACCGTAGCGAAGAAACTTGGATATCACTGTAAACAGTTGATTGTGATCACGTTTATAGATTCATCAATTCTAATGATTACGATGAATTCTTTCTACATATGTATGTGTAGCTTTTACTAAAATAGATAATATGTTGCATTCACATGTATTTACGTGCTCAGTTATGATGGTTCATCATCTTTATCAGATAATAGGAAGTAATATGGCTAAAAAATTATATGAGAACTCTTCGCATAAATAGGTGTTGAAGCTATAGATCTGAAGAAAAAAATAGCGAAACCTTAATGCTCTTCTCTGTAAACAATCCCAACAATGAAAGCATTAATTCCTCTGAACCAATGCTATTCTTATGTATCAATATGATGAAGTGATATCTTGAAAGTATGTCTTTCATTTTTTTTACATAAATTCAGTCATTATTGTTTTTCTAGTTATTTTTTATAGCAAAGCTATCAATTCTAAAGCAACTGCTTATTGGCATAGCAAAGACAGCCAATTCCGAAAATCTTTTATTTTATTCTGACACAGAAATAAAAAGTCATAGCTTCTTGCTTACAAATATATACCTCCATAGTGTTTTCCCCGTCGTAAACGAGCATAGAAACCTATCTGTATATATTTGACGACGTGACTTGTTAATAGTACGACAACAAAATAATTAGATTTTCACTCATTTCTTGTTCCTGCTGACTTTTTATTATTATAAATGTGCTGATAATCGGAGCATAGTTTTCAAACCAGTAGTGTGAACAAATTGTAATTGTCAAATCAGATAAATCAACTTATTTCTTCTTGGGTTCTACTATTAATAGTTGTTATTGTTTACAGCCTTTTCAATTGGCAAATTTTGCTCATTATAATAATAATAATAAACAATAAATCATTGATTATTCCTCAAAATACTCATTCAAACAAGAGTATTTTAGCAGTTTTCCCCCAAACTCTGGATACTGTTATGGAAGTCGTGCAGAATCGAAATTCAAACATTGTATTTGAAAGATTTTGAAATGAAAAAGCTCTTGAATCTAACACGTAATTTAACTGAATGAAAAAAACCTACTGTTGGATTCTTATTACCTTTTGATTGTACAGAAAAATCACTAGTAATTTATAAAAAAATAATACTGATAAGATTTTTAAAAAAAATTCAAGGTATTGCGTGATAGAAAAATAGATAATTCAAAAAATTGTATTGAATTAAAATTCATATATGGTCTAACAGTTTGTTTTGATAAAACAAGAAAACAAAAAATTAAATTAGTTTCTACATTTTCTATATTGTAAAATCTATAATTGCTTTATTCATGACCTGATACAACGGCTAAACTACATCGAATCAGTACAATATTTAGCTGCGATGTTTCGGATGTGTGAGAGAAACATGAATGATCGTTGAAGAACACTTTTTGTAATGTCTATCTTGAGTGCTAGGAACTGTTTCGTTCAATAGCAATAGATATGAGTTTCCAGAATAGATTAGTATGAAGCGCCACCTTTTCGTTAATATGTTGTATGCTAAAGGCAAGATGCACTTTCAAAAGAATGGCGTTATGTTACATATGTGACATAGCATACGACTAACATTCACTATTGATATTTTCTACTATTCGAGTTCCAGCCATGATCGGTCAGATAGTGCTCTATACATTATTAGCAATTCTTTCATTGATAGTTATCATTATCTATTTCAAATTGGTTCGACCCGAGAAAAAATTATATGATGCATTAATCGCACAGGGTGTAAGCGGGGAACCATTTATCCCATTAGTTGGTCAGCTTCCTCAATTTCTTCGATATCAAAAAATTGATAAGTTGATGGAATTTCTACAAGATCTGAGTCAAAAGCATGGCCATGTTTTTTTATATGGTTTCGGTCCACTCACTCGTATTACGATTAATGACCCTACTTTACTTGCTGATGTACTTAGTCGAAACAATGCACAAAATTATATTAAACCACCTCTTTTTAATACGATATTTATACCACTAATTGGTCGTCATAATTTGTTAGTTGCTGAAGGTGCTGAACATGAACGAGCTCGTCGAATGATTAATCCAGCATTTCATCATATTAGTCTAAAATCCATGGTTTCAATCATATCCAATCAAACAGCTAAAGCAATCGAGGCGCTACTTTCAAAATGTAATTCAGATAAACAAAAACACGAACCAGTTGATTTTCAAATTGAATTAAATGCTCTTGCATTATCTATTATTGCATCAAGTGCATTCGGATCTGGGTTTGAAACAATTACTAATGCAAAAGATATCATTGGTCGAATATTTATTGAAATACTTGATGCTATTGCTTATCGTTCAATGATTATGGTGAATCAAATACATTTTCTTTCACGATTACCGTTTTGGAAAAAGGATGTAGTCGATAAAGGAGTACGAATGGTTGGTAAATTAGTTGATCAAATTATCGCTGATCGTCGACAAGGACGATCATCTAGTATGTCTACTGGTGCTGATCTTCTGGATTTATTGTTATCAGCTGTCGATGATGAAGGAGTGCCATTCACTGATCAAGAAATTAAAGAGGAATCACTCACCTTTGTAATTGCGGGAAGTGAAACAACTGGAAATCTAATGACATGGATGTTGTATGTTTTAATGACCAATGAAAATGTTTTAGAAGCTTGTCGAGAAGAAGTCGATCGAGTTTTACCCAATGGAATAGAGCCTACGAATGAACATTTAGCTGATCTTGTAGTATGCGAAGCAGTTATTAGTGAAACACTTCGTCTTTATCCACCGGCCGTATTATTCTTACGCCATTGTGTACGTGAACATACTATTGGCACTACTGAACGTAAAATACAAATACCCGAGGGAACAACAATCATTGTCAACAACTTCGTGCTTCATCGTCGAAGTGATCTATGGTCTCGCCCACTTGAATTCGATTATACTCGTTGGATGCGTGATCCTACAACGAATCAAAAACCGAAACTAGCTCATCCATATGCTTATCTTCCTTTTGCAGCTGGACCACGTAATTGTATCGGACAAAACTTCGCATTATTAGAAGCTAAGATAATGTTAGCAACGTTTGTACAAAGATGTAATTTTGAGATGGTACCAGGACAAAAGATTGTACCTGATATTAAAATCACTATGCGAACGAAGTATGGATTGTTGGCTAATATTAGTCAACGTAAAATATAATTGTATAGCTATTGACTTAGACAAGTTGTGACGTACCTTTTTTTAATTTTACATTTCTTATAACTAATGGTTGATAGATGAGAGCGTAAACTGATTAATTTTGTTTCTTTTCAACCTGCAATAACAATGTTTCATCAATTAGGAAGAATAGCAATCATTGATACAATTAATTTTCAAAAAATATCTTCAACATAAAAAGAATACAGCTCTTATAACACAGAGTAATTACTCTTTTCTATCATTTTATATTTATGATTGAGTATTCATTGTATCCAAGCGCATGAAAATCGAATGCTTGATTCGCACGTGACTTAGAGCCATGAAAGAATGTTACACGCAGTACAGTAATCACGATGGTTAGCGCTCGCTCTCTCTCTCTCTTTTCACATATTTGATAATGTATTAAATTCTAAAAGTACAGTAATATTATCATAGGCGACTATTCTCGAGTCTCTAGTTTTGCTGCTGTTCACTCGTACTAAATCACATACTGAGAATCAATAAAATTTTATATTCCTTCATCAATCAGTATATGAATTGTTTTCCACTACAACTGAACTGCAATTTCTATTATTTTTTTTTTCATATGAATACAAACATTGAGATATTTCCCGTATTTTTAATATTGTAAAGTTTCATACTATCCGCTTTTTGTGCTATATATTGAAATAAAAGTCAGAAACAATATTATCTATATCCTCTCATATGTCAAGTATCAAATATAGGGAACGCTGCATTGCGCGTCAGAAGTCCACAAATGTTTCAAGCGTTCAGTAAAATAGGCATATTATAAAGATTGTGATGCTATTATAGTTTTCATTATCTGTTAGCATCGAAATGCTTTTTAAATAACTATTTCAACAATTTACACGATAATTATTTAGCTATGTTTTGTATTCAATATCGAATGAAACCTATACATGATATATGTTTATATAGGATTGAAAACAATATTAAAGGTAGCAACACCTTATTCCTTTGTCTGTCTTCTGCGCGCCCTCTTTAGAAACATTATCGCTCAGACAAACAGCAGAAACAACTCTCACTAGATGCCGCGACACCATCCATGATTGGTGCCTTGCTGATGTATGTTATTGCATGTCTGCCAAGTCTACTCTTCATACAGCATTTTCACGGCCCCCATACAATGCTACTACTCTTTGTATTATGTTCAATCGTACTTTTCATTTTTATTGCGATTGCCATTATTTATTTCAAATTAATCTATCCCCAAAAACAATTATACAATAAATTTCGTGCTCAAGGTATAAGTATGGAACCATTCGTACCCTTAGTCGGCCAACTGCCTGAAATTAGAAAAAAGCGAAACAAGGATGAACAGATGACTTATCAAGAAGAACTAGTAGCGAAACACGGAAATGTATACGTATTTGGTTTCGGCCCATTAACACGTTTGGTTCTTGTTGAACCTAATCTACTTGCTGATGTACTTAGTCGAAATAATGCAACAAACTATGAGAAACCTAGTGACTTTGTTACAGCATTCATACCCATCATTGGTTCTCATAATTTATTAACTAGTGGAGGTAGTGAACATGAACGAGCTCGTCGAATGCTCAACCCAGCATTTCATCATATCAGTCTTAAATCCATGATTTCTATTATTACTGATTGTACGAGCAAATCAATCGAATCAATACTATCAAAAGAAGAAAACACAAAACCGGTTGATTTACAAATTTTGTTTAATCGACTCACATTGTCCATCATCGCCTCAAGTGCATTTGGTGCTGATTTTGAAACTAATGCTCATTCAAAAGATGATATTTGTCGAATATTTGGTGAAATGCTCGAAATCACCGAGTATAGAGGAATGCGTATGATAAATCAAATCTCTTTTCTTTCACGATTACCTTTTTGGCATAAGAACGAACTTGATGCAGCAAACAAGAAAGTGTCTGAATTCGTCGATCAAATCATAAGTGATCGCCGTCAAGGACGATCATCTAGTATGTCTACTGGTGTTGATCTTCTTGATTTATTGATATCGGCTGTTGATGATGAAGGAGTGCCATTCACTGACCAAGAAATTAAAGAAGAATCACTCACCTTTGTAATTGCGGGAAGTGAAACAACTGGAAATCTAATGACATGGATGTTGTATGTTTTAATGACGAATGAAAATGTTTTAGAAGCTTGTCGAGAAGAAGTCGATCGAGTTTTACCCAATGGTATTGAACCTACAAATGAACATTTAGCTGATCTTGTAGTATGCGAAGCAGTTATTAGTGAAACACTTCGTCTTTATCCACCAGCGCCATTTTTCTTACGTGAATGCACGCATGAACACACTATTGGTACTGAACATCCAATAAGAATACCAAAGGGTGCAAGTATTCTAGTTGATGCTTACACCTTACATCGTCGAAGTGATCTGTGGCCTCGTCCTCTTGAATTCGACTATACTCGTTGGATGCGTGATCCTAAAACGAATCTGAAACCGAAACTAGCTCATTCATTTGCTTTTCTTCCTTTTGCAGCTGGACCACGTAGTTGTATTGGACAAAATTTCGCATTATTAGAAGCAAAAATAATGTTAGCAATGTTTGTAGAAAAATGTAATTTTAATATGATACCAGGACAGAAGATTACACCTGATGTTAAAATCACAATGCGGCCGAAGTATGGGTTATTGGCGAAGATTAGCAGACGTGAAACATAAACTCCTATTAATGTAGGAAGAAACATGCATAGTAATTACTAAATGACCAAATTTCTTATTTTAAGTAGCCGTCCAAAATCTATATAAGTTGTTCATATATTTATCTTGTAATAATTTATGAGTCAGTCGCAGACTTGACGTGTGAAAAAAGAATTTAATTTTTTGAATGGTCGAACGTTCTCTGCGGTGTCCGTAGAGCATTGCATTTTATACTTCTCGTCGTTTGTGTTCCATCTGTGTCTTTATTCTTCGTTTAGTTTCTATCTCATAAAATCGACATACGGTCCAATTAATGAATTTCGAGCAACTGCGTCTTCATCGTAGAAATACGGAATCTAACAATGAAAATTATTTTCAAGCATACAATACAGTACAAATAAATGAAAAAATTTCGGAGATTCATATGTATGCTTTTCCTTAGTTCATTTTACTACCGATTTTATATTTTTCATTGTTTACAATAGTATCTGGCTATTCGTTTTTCTTCTTCTATTGTCTATAATTGAGAGATGGATGATGAAAACGTGTAAATCTAATCGACCAGTGTTAGCATCTCGTCATTCCGTTCTACTCTTATAGATACTAGAAAAAGAAACAAGAATAATCAGATACTTGTACAAGCAGTAAAACATATAACACCAAGAGTAACATGAACGGAAGAAGGAGATGAAGACAAGGGGGAACACAGACTTCTATACTTCTGAAGTACGCTTTTCTCCCTCGCAAATACGTATACCGAAGGGCGTAAGTGTTCTAATTAATACCTATGTTTTTCATCGCCGAAGTGATTCATGATCTGGCCCTCTTAACTTTGTTTATTCTCGCTGGATGCGTGAACCTAAAACGAATCAAATAGTGGCGGCACCATGGAGGAAGCTGACCTTCCACTCCAAATTTTTGTGAATGGCATATCCGCATACTGCCATTCTCGTGGCAAACAATCAAGCATTTGCTAAATTATTATATAAGTTCGATAAGGATATGATCTGTGAGAAAGATAAACGGTATGGGGAGAGTGCTATATTGAATTTTTTGTTAGGTTTAGTTTTTCTATGAAATAAATCTATTTTTGTTTTTATTACTATTATGCGTATTTTTGTTACCGAGAAGTATTCCAAAGTGTTTAAAATGAATACTTTCGAAATTTATTTTCCAGAACTCTGTTCGCAAGAAAACGCTGGATTCTGCTACGTACGCCATTCTATTTTAATACTAAATAGATTTTTAACAGCCGTTGAGAATATTTGAAAGTTTACATCATCGTCAGTACAAAAAAGAAAGACAATGACGGTTAGTATATGTCCCCATTGAAATTTAAATGTAAGACCAAGAAAAACTTCAACGAATGATCTTTAACGCTACCGAGTTAGCTACTAACAAAAGTTAAACATTGATTTTAATATAGAAGTTTTCGTAATAGAAGTTGAAACTACTTCGCAATTTTATGAACTTCACAAATACATCACCATGCTGTTCAAGTAAATATTATCTGTGTCTTAATTGAAAAGTTTTTATCATGCAAACGTAGCGCTTCATTTTATGACCATTGCTAACGATAGTTTGTACACGAGAAATTTTACATGTTAAAATATCTTTGGTACAGTCGAGAGCTTTGAATTCATTTACTGTGATAATTACATGTTAACTGGCGCCGATACATACTTCGTGAAAATCGACATAAACATAAAAGATCTATACATGATTTCAACGCCTACGCAATCATCATTGTCTCCTAAACTTAATCAAATAGAAACTTCTATTAGTTCTCAAAACAATAGAAGTATTGAAAGTTTATCTCGATCTGATTTAAATACTGAATATACATGCCAAGACAAAATCAAATCAGGAATGGAATGGATATTAGAGCCATTTCAAGAATGTTGTTCATCCAATACAAAAATTTATCAAATATCAAACTATCGAGTTGATTCGGAATGTTTAAAATCTGAAGTTAATCGAGTTAATGGTCTATTGAAATATTTTACTTTCGGTGTTATGTTTACCAATGGCTTGTGAGCACTGATCGATTCGCTCTTTTTTCATAAAAAGAATTTTCTAGATTAGGCTTTATTTTATTTTTTATTGGCCTATGGAGTTCATTTGAACATCGTAAAATTAATCAGATGCCAACATTAAATACAAAAGAAACAACATCATTAAATCCATTTAATTTAATTGGCATTACTCTTTGCATATTTGGTCTATTATTTTTCATTTTATGTGTAATAAGCTGTTTAGGTATTAATCGTGAAAATCTAAATCTTCTTCGTATTTCACTTATGGGTCAATTTTTAACATTAATTAGTTTTGTTATATTTTCCATTATGATATTGGTATGGGGCGGAAAAATTCGGTATACAATAGCTAAAGCAATGATGATTGGATTGAAACAGTATTATCATATAGATAAAACATGGACAATATTTTTTGATAAACTTCATTTAAATTATTTTTGTTGTGGTACGTAATGTGATCTAACAGAACTAAGTAGTATCCATTAGTTTAAGAATATTTTGTTGTTCACGATCTACTCAAATATAGCTTTTCAGTATTATTATGCACTCTAATGAAGTATTTATATATTGAATAATTGAAAGGCTGAAAAAGAAGCTATCGAATTTAATATCATTTAGTATCAACCTGTTCGAGTAAGAATTTCAAAAAAAAACAAAAATTAGCAAACTTGTCCCATTTGAAATAAATAAAAATGTAGAATAACCTTTCTCATATGATAATCTACACAAGATAATTCACTAAGTGGTGTGTCATTGTGGTCACTTACTGAGAATTTTCATATATTCAATTGTAATCAATATATGATAATCTCATCGAAAAGCAGTTTGCCTTCATTTCGTATGCAATACAAATCTAAGTCCTTGACGGTCATAGCATATTTAATTCTTCTATTTTTTAACTATTTGTACACATTAACTATTCAGGTGTTTATTCATTTAACGATTGGAATGACAATCCAAATTATGCATGTGAATCTTCGAATATTGTTCAAAGTTTTGGTAGAAATTTTTCTTAGAAATGAATTTATATTTAACTAATCGCATTTAGATGCTTGTTCGGTGCCTTTTACATGTTGTAAAACAGAACAAAAGTATGTAAGTAAATTTTTCATAAAATATTCACAATGGCACAAAGAAGTTTAGAATGACAAAAGTGATCGTATAAAATCTCTTGCTTATACTTGTGGTATGATCATTTACCTTGTAGAATATGAATTCGTTTATTTTATCAATTACCAATAGGAATAAATGCTCTACCATCAAACAATATAACAATCAATATGAATGAAATACAAGAACGTATCAATATTAATGGATGTTTTGATGAGATTTTACCTATCATTCAACAATTAATTATTACAGCTGGTATATTTATGATTTTGATCTGTGTGATTATATGTGTTACCGTGTTCCTCACATGTTTATTAACATTTGAGATTCGTCTAACTTTATCGAATGTGAAGCAACATTGTCAAAAGAGAAAGCATAGCAATGAAGAGAATCATTCTGAAAAAGAAGAACAATTATTTTAATATACTTTTTTTCTCAATGTAATAAATGGTCGATGTAACTAACTGAGAAAAATGAAACGTCATTTTGATTTCAGTCATATCGTTCTCATAGTATCGATAAGTATTTCATTGGACAGTTCTAGCACTGCAAAATGAGAATTCACTGCACATGTCTCTTTAGTTTTTGTATCATTTAGACTAAAAATTTTAACATTCAGCCATGTCGTCATCTAGATAATGCAGTCTTGTCAGATGGCGATGCAGCGCATTTTATATCATCAGTTAGCTTTTATTTATTCCATCTATCATAGCTTTACATTAGCCTACGACATACCATTCATATTCGATATGTTTCTTTTTCTTTTTCTATCATTGTAGTCAGTAATTTGAAAGATTTTATAGACAAAATCCAGTTGATAAAATATTAATATCTTATAAATATCACTGTAAATATTGAAAAAAAAACATAGAGTTATGTGTCTACTTAAATATTATTCTGCGCATTACTTGAACTTCATAAAATATAGATCAAAACTTTCATCTTCATGAATAATATTGACGAATTTTTCTTTTTGTTATCCTTATTGAAAGTTAAAATATCTTCCTATTGAAATTTGCATTGTTGCATTTTCTTCTCATATCTTTCAAAGTATAAACACAGTACGATAAGATTACACAAATGTATAATCAATTCTCTTTATATAAAATATAAATGTATAGAATTTTTTTTTTGATTTATTCAGTTATTCTTACACAAATATCACTTAACGCATATGGACAGGTATTGAGAACAGTCACTTATTCAAATTTTGGATATAATGTTGATGATGTCGGTGCTTGATTATATACACTTTCCGTATAGGACGGAGGAGGAGGTGCTGTCGGTTGTTGTGCGTACATCGATGTTTGAGGTGGCTTGGATCCAGTGACACCATTGGGTGGGAATCCGCCATATGGATTCATATTATATTGTTGATAAGGTTGTGATTGATATGGATACATTGGTTGTTGATTATTTACCTACAAAAATATATAAATAAAATCAAAAGAATCAACTAACTTTACTTACTACAGGAACAACTGAAAATTGTGCATCAATAGTTTTTTCTTTAGTATGCGCTGTTTTCAGATTGCCATCAGGTAAAATTGAAATAAAATGATTTTTACATGCACAAGATTCAAACGCTACCAACTCTCTAGTGCCAAGTATATCATGTATACGAAAATCAATACTAAGATTATTTTTAACACCAGGTGGCTAAAAGATAAAAAGAAACACAAATATTTTCTTTTTGTTCAAATTACAATAGGAAGACATACAAATGACATCACACAAGATTTTTTGCCTTCGAATGCTAAATAATTGCAATTATTATGAAATCGAACGCGTCCTTGTTCACTTTGTTCAACAACAAAATAAGCTAAAAAAATATAGGAAAAGAAACGTGTTTATTTATGATGAATTCAAAACCATAATAGAAACAGGCCATGTTTTTCGTGAATAAAAAAAACTTTCCCCTCTAAATGAGTCATTGACGCTCAATTTATTACTAGATTAGCATCTGTGCATTCTTTTTTCCAGAAGCTATTCAGATATTTTCATTTAGCAACATTATTAATGATCTGGTTAACTGTTGAAAACAACTATCCAAGAATTATAAATCGAATAATCACAATATTTTTACAATAAAGTTTTCAAAATTCTTACTATTAAATCCATTAGCAACACCATTGCCATCAAATGTGAGAATACCATTTGGAGACATTAGAACTTGAAGTAAATGACCTGAATTTTTCGAAACTAATTGAACTGTCGCGGAATTTTGAAGGAAATCCTTTAAAAGAAAAATACGATCAATTCTATTAGTCAACAGTTTTTTTTTCTAATCATACTCGTGCACTGCGTCCACTAGTAATCACACTATTTATTGAATGTGTTGCTGCCGCAATAGTATCGTGACCAACAACATTTCCAAGCAAATTTGTTGCAAACGATTCAGTTTGTTCAATTATACTCTAAGAAAATTTTAAAACAAAAATAAAACAAATAAAAATAAATATAAATTTCTCTAAAAACCATTCTTTCTGATCCGTGATTATTTTCTGGTAATGTAGGATACGCATTTCGTTGTGAGTACCCTGCTGTTGAATTTGCTGTATGAGAATAAGAACTTGTTGTCGAAGAATTTGAAGGTGGCTGATGATAATATGCTGGTGCAGCAGCAGCAGCAGATGGTACTTGTTGAGATCTTGGATCTGTTTTCCCTTTCACGAAAACACTGACTTCATCACGAACCTTTTGAACAGCTTGGTTATAAAGAGAATTTTTCATTGTTCCCTATTTACTAATCTAAAACAAACGTGCCGCTATATCTAAGATTTGACTCATAAAGTTACCTGCTTTGTTCTGCTACTTTTTTTCCAAAAATTACATTTTATGTAGATGGCGCTAATGTGGAACCCTCTATTTGTTGCTTTCTAATTATGAAAATATTCATTTGTTTTTTTTCTCAATTAATTAAGGTCATTCTTTTGTCTTCGTCTTAATAGATTTGAAATCTTCGTTTTATTGGCGAGAAAATCTTTCTTTTCTGTCCTTCCGTCGTCGTCTCTCTTTTTTCTTTCTTTCTTCTTCTTCTCCTCCTGTCTGTCTTTCTCTCTTTCGTTCTTTCATTACGTTGATTCTTTCGTCTTCATCTTTTACAACTAAACAATGCAAAACTATCATCAATAGCAGTAGTACAATCTTAATTATTTGTTCCGTTAACGATCCTTTATAACTTTGAATTCTACATATGAAGATATGTGTTTGTTCTTTGATTCTAAATATATCGCGCACCGCCAGGTTCGTCCGCAATCCTCTTCCGTTCCCCGTTCTCATTCTTTCTTTTTCTATCGATAAATATATATCGTATAAGTCGTAGAGGCAACAATGAACAGTTTTGCATATCTCTCTCTCTTATTTGAATATTTGGTTAGCCGGCCATCAACTCCTCTTTCTCTTAAAACCGTCGATCGATGTCCCTTTGATTCGACATTCTCGAACCTTCTATATTCTCATCTTACCGACATTAGTTCGAAGACAACAGCATTAAATGCAAGCATCACCATCCACCATTCTCCCAATAGTCGAGCCTCACAAACTTCTTGCATACGAATTCATTGGTGGAGGAGGTTCGAGCTTGTATGTCTGTCTGTTGCACTATATATACCACTGCAAAACGCTCATTCTCATTGCATTATCCTGGTTGACGAGCAGCACACACGCATACTACCGCCGACGACTCGACTCTACCCTCATAACAACATCAAGTAAGTAAGCCGTCGAATGGGCACACATACAAATGAGTGCGTAACAGCAGAAGAGTACAAAATAAATTTAATTCGTTTTTATGACGACAGACTGTGAAGTGTAAAATTTCAAGAAGAGTGAGAAAAAAAATTTTTTTTTCAGAATCTTGTTCAAATTTAAAAAAAAACAAAATGACTAACTTGTTTTTCTCTTTTTGTCTTAAAACAAAGAAAGAAAAACATCGATTCGTTTTGTTACACTTACGTTAACAAGAGATAAAATTTACAAATAAAAATTACTTTCTCTATTTTTATCTTGGAGACTAATCATGATGCAGTTTAAATTTCCAACGAGAAATAAATAATGCAAGAAAAAAAAACATACCAACAGTTAAAATAGACATAGAATGAACTTATTCATTTTTCTTTCGTTCTGTAGAGTATTACTCGGTTGCCTAAGAAAGGAGAGGGATGTCAAAAAGTGGGTATATAAGAGGAAGAAAGAAAAATAGTTGTTATATTGAGAAATATAGTAAAAGATGGCGCTTCTAATCCATACTAATAACTTTATATTTCAGATATAAATAACATACAATGGCACGTACCAAACAAACAGCACGTAAATCAACTGGTGGAAAAGCTCCACGTAAACAATTAGCTACTAAAGCTGCGCGAAAATCGGCACCATCAACAGGTGGTATTAAAAAACCACATCGTTTTCGTCCAGGTACAGTTGCATTACGTGAAATCCGTCGCTATCAAAAGTCAACGGAATTACTTATTCGAAAATTACCATTTCAACGACTTGTTCGTGAAATTGCACAAGACTTCAAAACGGATTTACGTTTTCAATCGGCAGCTATTGGTGCACTTCAAGAAGCAAGTGAAGCTTATTTAGTTTCACTTTTTGAAGATACCAATTTATGCGCTATTCATGCCAAACGGGTCACGGTAAGAAAAAAAGAATTTCAATTTCATTCTATTTTAAAAAATCAATTATTTTAGATCATGCCAAAAGATATTCAATTGGCTCGACGTATTCGCGGTGAACGCGCTTAAATCGTATAATACCAGCAGCAAACTGACTGTTTATTTGTAAATGTGTTTTTTTTGTGTGTATTCTAGATTTCGTTCTTTATGTCGTTGTTTTTCCTTTTATATACATAGATTTATGTATGGATCAGATTTGATTCGCACAATAAATATACTCATTATCATTGAAAAAAGGACTGTAACCTGTGTGAATCTTTTACTTACTATTCAGTATGAATTGAAAAAGTTGATAACATGGAAGAGATTTTTTCCCCCAGTGATGAACAACTAATTAATATTAATCTCTAGTTCAATGATGACATACACCATGCACTCCAACTTCGTAGCAGGCTTATTTTCATCATATTTTTGATAAGCTGAATATTCTTGTGAAAATAGTCCGATATTCTTTTGACAGTATGCCTTTCTTGTATTGTAAACATTATCATTACCAGATTGGTAAACATTCTCAACTTCGCTTACTAATCTCTTTGGCATAAGAAGAAACGTTAATGCGAATATATTTATTTTGGCTGAAACTGGAATTTACTCACGCTTGTTGTTTGTCGTGCCAAAATACGAGAGGGTCCTTATGTGACATATAAGTTTTTTTAAAATCAAAATTTTGAGTTTTACTGTTTTTTATTCGTTTTTTTCCCTGAGTCGGAGAAGCTAATGAAGAATAGAAAATTTTCTCTCAAAAACTTGTTTAAAGTATTTTACATAAGATTGTAGGCGAGACCGGAGCCAAGCTCAGATTCACACCTATTTGTACCTTATTTTTTCTAAATGTCATATTTTTGCTGTTCACAAAAAATAGTTCTGCTTGTGAGTGAACTTTTATTTTAAGTGCTAATTATAATGATATGTGCACAAAGTATAGCTTGTATTTTTTATAGAAAAAAATCACATATTTTAATTCTAGCCTGTTTAGATTCATGTAGAAGTGTACGCGTATACAAGTTTAAATTAAATCAAATGTGAATAGATACTGTTTCACTTTAGAAGAAAAAATATTTCATTTCACTTTTTTTCACCAATGGAGAATACTTTTTTATTTAGTTCACCCGGTGAACTGTCTATAATTTGCAATTTTCTTATATCTTGACCAAAGGTCTCTAAAGACTGTTAGTGGAAATCAATATTCCATGTATTTCCTATTTTTGCGAAAAATATTGCAGTAAAGCCATCGGGAGCTTTACATATTTGATTATCAAAGCAAAAACATCCAACTTAATAATTTGTTTCTTATCGTTTTATTCATGTTTCCAGAACTCTAATGAAGATGTTTTATCTTAAATATGTAGAAGACCAAATATTTATTGATTCTACTCTTGATATTCTACATTTTTAATCACGCTATGCTATGTTTTACTATCTTTAATAATATATTAATATGAAAATAACAGATTAATTTATGAGTTACTAAAAACTTCACTAACAGACATCACACAGTGCAGTCTCTCTTGTGAAACTCACGAATTCTGTATGTTACATTTTTATTCTATTTTGTCAAAATTTTTGCATGAATATCAAATATGACAGACACACTGGAAAATTTTATAATTTTCAAACGGTATCCTTAGTTTGCTTGATCAGTTCGATTGGTAAGTTAGACTGCTGAACAAACTTTCGTAATTATTGAGCAATAATACAGTGCATGTAATCATTTCTCTCTCTCTCTCTCTCTCTGGGTTTAGACTTATAGTACTCAATATTATCTAAGTTTATCATGGATTTAGTTCATACTTTTCGATGTTTTGTCTTATTCTGATTGTACTAGATCAAAAAGATGACTACTTCATTGGCTGACATCCTACATACGATTATTTTCTTGCATTAGAAGCCAAAAGGAGACATTACATTCACTACTATTTTCTGCGAAAATATATCTGACCTAATGAAGTATTTATATTTCATAGAGCATGTAATTGTGCTCTAGGTTTTAGTATGCGGATAATTTTTTTTTATGGATGACAAAGTAGCCGATTTGTCTACGAAATGCAAAGACAAAAACAAATAGTTAAATTATTTATTAATTATAGAAGTTGTGATTTGTGTCAGACATCGAATTTAACATGAATGGCATTGCTTTGAGTAGAGAGAATGAGAAAGCAAAATAGAATGAAGTAATAGTTTTTGTAACTTGACAAACGATTAAATATTCACACATCAGCCTACTACTGATATATTAAAATAATATTTATGACTGATCAATTTTGAAGTGAAAATATAGCTCATGGCATTATCTGTCAATAATATACGTGTATCAATTGGATATGAACGCGTAATATATTTCTTCAAGCATCTAGAGGAAAACTTTACATGATATGTGAGATGAAAAATGACACTTCTCTTTGTCAATTGATCAAATACCTCAATACACTGAAGATTGAATTTCATATTGAAGAATTCACTTCTTTAGACTTCAAAAAATGAGAGATTGCCGTGTTAAAATTGCAGTTGAATCTTTAAAAAGTGAAACTATCGATATCAATGTTTTAGGAGAATCATCTTGATTATGTACTCCATTTTATCGTTAGACAGAAAATGTCTACAGAGAAAATTATTCTAATTGAATAATCAAGCGCATCATAGTAACGTGTTATTCTCAATTTGAATACCAAAAACAAAATTTACTGTTTTTTTTATGATTCACATAAAACATTTACATGTAAATACAACTGAATAAAATAATCAATAATCAAGGACTATTACTTCAATTCACTTGACAGACTATCGTTATTTTTAGGTTTTTTGATAACATATTAGATATCTCAAAGACTATCTCAAATCGCGTCAAAACATATTTTCCTGCCTTCTTCAATTCAGTCGAACTACCTTGATATGTATAAGGCACATGTTGATACATAATCATTTAGAAAAAAAATACCTAATGAAAGTCTTCGTTTCTTTTTTTTCCTCGATCCTTCAGCCTTTAAAATCGTACTACAAGTAAATTCTTAAAAATACTGATCGCCCTCGCAGATCATGAGATGGCATAAAACGTCTAAACAGTTTTTTCTTTTGAACTCATCCTGTACAGAAAGAAAAAAATAACTCTTTCAATCGTATGTATGATAATTAGTAACAATTTTATTTAATAAATTCAAACTAGCAATCATGAAATTATTTATATTTTTTTGAAACTTTTGTATAAGAAAAAGAGTCTTTCTAAATTAAATATGTCGCTTCAGTAAAATTCTCATATTGAAATAATCAAATAATATAACACGTTCATAAAGTTCTTGTTGCAAGATAAAGAAAAAACGAACAAACGAATAAACAAGTACATTAAAAATCCAAATGAATAAAATAAAGATAAATGAGTCTGCTTAATTTCTTTAAGAATCAAACAACAACAACAACAACAACAAAAACAAAGCAGATAATCACACACATATATATATATGTATATATAAATTTTTTTATACGAAAAAAAGAAAAAGCCACAAATATCTAATAAGACAAGCAACAATAAAGAATAAATATTATATAGTTCAAGGAAAAACAATAACATCAACAACTATACACGGTCAGTTCTTCTTTCTTCCTTTGTGTTATTCATTTACTGTACGATGTGATAGTTTCAAGGTATCATTACCAATAGCGGGTGTTGTACGTTCAACACGGATTATTTTTAATGGTTTGCTTTCCAAGGTTGATGAATCATGGTCAAGTTTTTCATTTGAATTTTCTATAACAACAAATTTTTCATTAATACGATAATGAGATGTATGATTTGGTCGAATCGTTTTATATGCCGCATCACTTGATAGAATTATTGATGGTGGACATTCAGCAGCTAATGGCCGTTTCAAGCAGCCGGATGATAATCTTTGTGTTGAATAATCTATTAATGGAAACAATAGTTTTAGTCATATTTACAAAAATAAAAATTACTTTTTTTCTCTTCTTGTTCTTCTTCTTCTTGTGCTAGTTTAAATCTTTTATTCATATATTTTTCAACTGAACTTGAATAAGTATATCCTGGCGCAGCTGGCTTTTGTTGCGATGATAATTTATGTTTATTATTTGCTGGTAAATAAGGCCCATGATAATGATTGTCATGCTCGTCAAATGATAGAAGTACACGTGATTTATAATTATTTGGAATATAATTTGAATATGTTGGCTCTTGTTTAATTAAATCTTGTTGTTCAAGTAATGATTTTGCTGTTGTCGTGGAACGCATATTACTTGATGAATCACCATTATTTGATGATGATAAAGATTTTTGTTGTGAAGATGATCCATCATTTGATGAACGCATAAAATCATCTACTGATTGTTTATTATTTATCGGCGACCATATACCAAATAGAACAGCAAAAAATAAGCAGAGAACCTAAAAGAAATGTCATGTCAAAGTCAAATTAATGATAAAAGAAAGTTTAAAAAAAGTTACCATTAAAACTTTGCCTGTTGTCGGCGTGCCTTTACCAACCATTGTTCGAAGTGATTGAAGTTCTTGCATTAATGATCTAGAAAAGTTTTATATGAGAATTTTTCAATTTCAATGATATAGGAAAGATCTTGTTTTCATTTTTTGACAATTAATTTTCTAAAATTAGATATTAATCGTTAACAAACACTCAAGATGCAAATAGTTCTTTAGAGAGTAAACAAAAATTACTACCATGAAAAGCTTTTTCTTTTTCTAATAAAAAAAAATTAGATAGAGTCGTAGAATATGTTGAACATTAATTCGAAATTGTATGTTTACTTTTTTAATATCGAGCAAAAATTTGAAGTATTCTCAACCGATGAAATTGAATATCTATTCCCTAGATATTATTATACTTCAAACCCACAACATTATAATCTCAAAGGAACCACCCGCTAGGTTTTCTCTTAGGAACATCCACACTTCAAAATATCGAAATTGATCAAAGAAAGCCTTACAATAATATAATTTTTATTTCTCTTCTTATGTTGTTATACAATCAATAGAATTTCGTATCTTATCTGTGATATATTAAAATTTCTTAGATGAACATTGATGATAAGATTGCTCACAGAACACTATCAGACTCCATTCTCTATGACCTTCATTCAACAATTTGAAGGTATTATTGTACTGAAAAGAAAAGAATTTCTTCACGACTTTCGTGATGTTTTTAACATGTTGAAGCGAAGATCAGAGAAAACGTATTGACTCTTCATTCTTGCGCTCATGAAAATAACCTTTTCTCTGATCTGAAAAACGATCATGCCTGATTTTTAGAAGCTTTATCAACAAAGGTCATCAATGAAAGTTTGATATAAATTGTATCAGATAAAAACAAAAGTACTCCATTATCATATGTCTGTCTAAATCATCAAATGTTTGATAAATTGAACTAATTACTTAATGCCTTTACTTCGAAGTCTTCAAATTATTCTATTTTAATCTTATGAATGTCTATCAATCAAGATTTCTGTTTGTGTGTATTATTTCATTATATTTTCTTAGTTTTAATGGAGTTGGGTTATAAAAAGAACTTTCTAATTCAATAAATTGTTGTTTATGTTTACCTTTGATTTTTCTCCATTGTTGATACACGTTCCTTAAGTGCACCGTTTTCATCCATATATTTGGCAATTTGCCGTTCGAGTGTATCAACATATTCTTTTTTCTTTCGACGACTTTCTTGAGCTGAAATCTAAAAAAAGTAAACATTAAATATTTGTAGAAACAAAATGAAATTGTTTACTTTATTTTTTATTTTTCTACGAATCTTTTTTAAGACTTTTTCTTCAGTTTTATTTAGTGGTAATTTTGTTGGAATTTGATAACCTTCTTGTTTTATCAATTTTAATTCTTCGTCTGTTAACATTAACGGGCCAGATGTTGGTAGTTTCTAAATGAAATAGAATAAAAATTAGTTTGAAAAAAAAGACGAATGAAAATTTACTTCAAGATTTGTCAACATTGTCGATGAACTTTTATTTGAATTAAAGCCTTGATGGCGATGTAAACGATTTTTACTGTAATTATTATCATGAGTTATATCAGGTGAGCCTGTTGTTCGTTCATCTGGTGATTCACTTGATGTCGATGGAGTCATTGGAAGATGATCAAGATCGTTATCTAAAAAAGAAAAAAAAATGAATTGAAATTAAAAAGAAAATCAACAACGCATTGATTTTTATTTCTCTTACACTCCATATCATCCATAGGTAAATCATCAATTGATGCTGATGGTGTATTTATTGATGCATTTGTTTCTTCATTCACTGTCGGTGTCGGTAAGGTATTAATTAATATTGTTGGTAGACAATTAGTTAGTTGAATAAAATTTGTTTGAGATTTATTTGAATTATTAGGTGCTTGAATATAAACAACATTTCCTTTTGTTAATTGCACGACTTTTGGTAAGTGTTGGTTGGTGATTTTAGTTGTATTTATAATAACCGGTAGTTTTCTAGGAGGTGCAGGTGGTGGTAGAAGTATCGGTTGAATTTTTTCTATGTTAATGTCATTTTGTAATGGTGAAAATGGAAAATCGTCTAAGATGTCAATTGCTGAATTATCATTTGGTGGCGAGGAGGAATCTGGTGATGGGAAATTCGCTAGGAAATTTTTTAATTCATTTTCGAATTCTATAAAAGAAAAGAGATCAACTTTCAATATTAGAAAATGTAAAAAGACTAGTTTTGCTTTACCAGGATTATCCGTCATATTAGATATAGTTTCTTGTTCGAATTTAATCGGACTTTGGACTGGTAAATCAAGATCGATGCCCCCAAGGTTATCATCGTTGGAAAATAATAAACTATCTGGTATTGATGGAATTTGACCATCATTGTATAAATTAAGAAATGGATCTGCTATAGAATCCATCATCATTTTAGATTTCTAATCCCTAAAACAAGAACAAGCGGAATAGAATATATACAAAGAACTTCCGTATTTTTTGTTTCTTTTCCTCTATGAGTCATGAAAAACAAAATGCATTTATCCAATAGAAATAAGACAAGAGGACGCTGCAAAAGAGTGATCTAGATAAATAAACATATAAACATGGGAAATTTACTTTGATTTGTCATACGTATCTCGAACGGGATAAACCCACAAGCAGTGGACATCAATCTTTTTTTTCGTCTGTAATTTAATGTTGAATATCTTATATTACCTTTTCTTACGAAGAAAAACAATGTCCTTGGGCAAGCTTATTGTCATATCTTTACTACGTTAAGAAAAAACGCATCTGTGGCGCGCTCAGTGTTTCTATATTTTATGACTTACATCTACGAATTACGAATTTCAAATAACCTTCATTGCATCTGACTCTGACTATCATTTTTCTCTTACACAGAATGTGTACGTTTTTCATAGCCACAAAAAAAATTGATAATTCTTTTTTGTCGCTTTTTTTTTATTTTCAAACGAAGTGCTTACCGTTTTGCAAGGAGAAAAGAAACAGCTGCAGTCTGTGTCGGGGATCAAATGCGTAAGACGTCATCAAGTGATGATGGCTCTTTTTTTAATGTATAGACGTTCTTCTTTTTTTTTCCTGCCATGCTAACTGCTAGTCAACCGAGAGGGAGAGACAAAGAGAAACGATGAATCAAATTTGTGTATTATCTAAGTCTTTTTTAAAAATATATTTACCTTAAAATGCGAATCAATACTATTCAATAAGAAAAAACTCACTACTTCATCCATTTCACTCCCTACTCTCAATAGAAACCTATTTTTTCCATCGCATGATCAATATAAAAATACAATATTATGATTATTACTTTTATTTGTCGGTTTCTATTTTTACTATTAGCATAGGCATGAAAAAACAGAGAGCAAAAAAAACCTGACGAAAAGAAATAAAAACTGCCGAGCAAAAAGAAACGTCCATGATAAACGAGGAGCAACATGATTCGTGAAATGCATGCATTAAAGCGACACATTGCTATTAAAAATACCACACAAAAAAAAAATAGAATGCGTAATTTAATGAAAGATTTTCAACGATAAAATTTTTTTAAATCTAAAATTAAAACTAAAAAATACGACATACTCGTTCTCATTGTATATGTGTGTTTGTTGTATGATCATTTTTTAGATTGTGCGATTGAGTTTATTTGATTAAGCTCATTCTCATTGCGTTGGTTGAACGTGACCCGCTCATACTTGTCATAGACAATGTGTTTTAAATAAACATAACCTTTATACTCAATGTGATCTGTTTTTGTTTAGATTTCTTTTTTCGCTTCGTACTCTTATATTATGGTGTTTTGGGATTTAAATGATAGTCAGCGTATGGGTGCTGGATTAATCGGTTTTGCCTTTTTTTTTATTCTACTTGGATTTGCTCTATTCTTCGATAGAGCCCTATTAGCCCTTGGTAATATATTTCTAATTGTTGGTGTTATACTTCTTTTGGTATGTAATACTATTTGAAGAACAGACAAAAAAAAAAGAATTTGGCGTTTTATTTTTGTCTTGAAATAGGGACTTAGTCGAGCACGAACATTTTTCGTGCAACCAGATCGTTTAACTGGCTCAGCTTGTTTTTTTGCTGGTATTGGTTTATTACTTCTTCGTTGGCCTATTGTTGGTGTTATACTTGAAATAATTGGATTTTACAAATTATTTGGTGGATTTATACCTGCTATTATATCGGTGATTCGATCTATTCCTGGTTTTGGTTTTGTACTTTCTTTGCCATATATTTCGGCATTGATTAAAAAATTAGAAGGTATCGATGATAGAAAATCAACGATAAAAAAACCTGTTGTAACAACAAATTCAGTTAAAATTGTTAATATTGGCCAAGAAATTAGTCAGAGAAACATTAAATAGAAATTCGATTGTTAAACTATTTTTTCTTGTTTTTCTTTCGGGAAGGTTATTTTTTGAAAAATAAATGTTGTAGTCAAGAAAAAAGTGAATTTGAAAATAAAATGAAACAAAATTCTGGAATATATATACAAGTATATCTTGTTTATACGTAGGTGGAAAACGATTAATTATAATTTTTGCTTTACATAAAATATTACATGTTTTGATTATAAGCTTTGATTAATGTAGGACGGAGAGAACACAGAGGTAAAATAGTATGAAGCGATACAGCCGGCAACAATTGAAAATAATTTTTTTTGTTTTTATAGAACAAATAAGAGTTTTTTTGAACTTTTTCAATCAACGTGACGTATTTTCTTTCAGCCTTGGGATTTTTACGGAATTTCTGATTCGAATACAAAAATACACGTGTCTAAAAAAAATGAAGCTGAAGTCGAAAATATTCAGTTTTTCTCGGATAGATTCCTTCTTTAGAAATGATTCGCACAGAAATAACAAGAAAAAATAATTTTTATTTTCTATACTTCCTCGTATATTCTAGATTAACATAGTTCATTGCTGAGACAATAACATCAATATTCTGATATTCGGCTATTAGATATTATCTGATGCGTTAATTATCATATTGGTAACCGATTCATCACGACTCATTAAGCACGATACAAGTTATTGTCATCGAAAAAGAGGACAAAACCTGCATGATTCAAAATAGCCTCATTATCCAATATTATTCTATTGAGAAATAAAGCTAAGAGATAGATTGAAGTTTTGATTTATGATTATCTGTATACCAATATATTTAACATGAAAGAAAAACAGAAACAAAACAATGCAGATAAATGAAATATTTCATTATTTTGATATTGGATTCGTCTTATAATAGCTTTTGTAGTAAGATAAAAAAAATCTAACTATGCAAATAAAAATCATGTAAATAATTTTATGGAAAACACCTTATCGGCGCCATCGTCGATGAAATTCAATGATATAAAAGCGAAAAAAGTTACTTTTCATAATTCAAAGTGCCTCTTGAAGTGTCACAATGACATGTTGTTGTTTTATTTTTCGTTAACCAATTCCAATCATAATAATCCATTATAATTCAAATTTGTGATAGCTACATTAAATCAATGATCATCTAATGTATTCGAGAAGAATTATTTCTCATCAATCTATTAAGATATAATTCGAATCGAGCGATATTTTCATCTACCATGATGACTCAAATATATCTTTTGGAGTTCGTTTGTCTCGTGAATAACTATATCTTATCTTTGTTTTGTTTTTTTGGTAAAAATAATGTATTCGAGCATAATGTATTGATATACACTACACTAAAGTAACATTAATATCAGCATTCTAAGTGTAGTAAAATTATAATATGACCGATGAAAACAATGCTAAAATACCATTACTGCCACCAACTCTACCCCGTTGGTGGCGTGTATTACCATCACTTATTCTCCTAATAACGATTGCTAACATTGATAATTTAATTCTAAATGATTTCGTTGAGGATCGTTATACAAAGTACTATGAGTTGAATACTTCATCAACACAAAATGATCATGAATTATGCTTAAATGCTAGTCGAACATCGCATAACTCAACGCCATCATTTTTAACAACAACATCAAAATATCCTATATCAACGACAATACCAATCGATAAACAAATTCAAGCATCAACTGCTCGCTTAAATGTTTTCCTATCACTTGCTGCTACATTACCTGCCATTTTAACATCAATTTTTCTTGGTGCTAATTGCGATCGCATTGGACGAAGACCTCTTATTGCCTTGCCATACATTGGCAAAGTTATACGTTATGCGATTTTAACAGCTGTCGCTTATTATAATCTATCAAATATATGGATCATTATATTAACTATGCTTGATGGTCTTTCTGGAACAGCAGCTTTAAGTATCTTAAGTTCATTTGCTTATGTAACTGATTGCACAAATAAGAAAAGTCGTACGTCCGCTATTGTAATTACAGATGTTTGTCTCAGTTGTAGTCGATTAATACCATCACTTACTATGGGATTCTATCTACAACATCCACATTATGTTCAAGCCATGATATTCACATTCGTCTTAAGTGTACTTGGTCTTATTTTTTCTATTTTTCTACAACCAGAATCAAATTTAACTGTTCAACATTTAAATATTTTTCAACAATTAAAAAGAAGTGAATTTCGGCCAATAGTAAAATGTTTCCAAGTTTTCTTTGCTAAGCGTCAAGATCATAAACAAAGATCATTACTGATGTTAGTTGCTATACATTTATTGATCATTGTTATGTTATGTGGAAATTTAGCTATGTTCTATATTTATTTGTATGGAGCACCATTTTGTTTGGATTCATTTGGTGTTAGTCTAAATACTGCATCACAAGTATCTGCTACTATTATATTAACAATACCATTTACATTAACTATTGCTAAACATAATGATCACTTAGGAATAGTAGTGCTCGGTTGTTTAGCGTTTATGACACAATTCGTTTTATTAGGCACTGCTAAGCATATTTGGGCACTTTATTTAGCTTTTAGTATTGGTGGAGTATTTTATGTTTTAACGCCCATCATACGTGCACGTATTACAAAATTAGTTGAACCTGAGGAATATGCTGTAGTTTTTATTCTTGCAAGTGTATTTGAATCAGGTGGCTATTACGCAATTAGTGCACTGACAAATGAAATCTATGACTTAACAATATCATTTTATCAAGGTCTTGTGTACTTTTTTCTTGCACTTGTTGGTGCTATAACAATTGTTGTCATATCGTATGTGTAGAAAATTTTATTTATAGACAAAAATAATCTCGATTTTCTTCTTTTTTTTCTAGGATTTTGTACTTTTTGGAACATCGACCAACGACGACGACGAAATCTTCAGCTTTAAATGAATGATTTACAGGAAACAAGTGATATTTTTTTGTGTTAAACTGTGAATAAATAACACGAAAATAAGGTGTGTGAATACTCCTCTGTTGTTGTGTATCATAAAAATATGAATCACAGATACTTTACCTTCTACTAATGGTTCTTATCGTGGATTCTGATAAACAAAAACCTTTGTCATTCGTGATGAGGCTGCTTTTTTGTTTTAACGAGCTGAATTTTACAGAACAATTATTCTTCATTGAATATATTCAAATATTAATTGATTAAACTCAGTGTCTCAGAAACTGAACAAATACTATCCATTGTCATCGATATTATAGAAATTAAGACAAATAAGGTTCGCGGAAGGCGAACTTCGAGTAAAATTTTTAATTTTCGTCTTTTATACCTCATCTGATAGAGAATTTTACGCCGATCACGAATATATGTTTTTTAAGTTATTTCTATGCTTCCTTCAGTTCGAAAAATTGAATTTTTGGAGTTTTGAATCTACTTAGATACCCGAAAGGGACATATTCTTGTTCTTGTTCATCTTGAAAAACTGAATCAGAAAATATCTTAAAACTTGTTTTTGACCTAAAGCGTTGTCCCTCAAGGTCTCTAGAAGCGCGATTTTCAAAGCCGAGAAACTAATTTTTAAAAACCTTTAAAAACCTTTTCCTGATGTGTTAAAATCGATTTTATTGCTTGGTTCGATTCGACAGATGCTCCTCTTGAAAAGAATACGAGTAGTTTTTCGAAATTATGTTTCATCGTGGAGAAAATTGGGTTTTACCTAGAACTATGCGGAAACCTAAAAATCCTTTTTCAGGATTTTTGAAAGTTTCACCAATGATACAATCAAAACAACATACAGAAGGTTAAAAACGATGGGGAATTCGATGGAGACACTATCGAGATCTTCAGGTGGTTTCTAAAGGGTCTCCAAAGGATTTTCAGGTATCCATATGAGAGAAATGACTCATGAGTGTGATTTTTTTATGTGAGGTTTACTATTCTTAGGAAAATTAGAAGTTTTTTGTTAGCTTTAATATGTATAGAATGAAAAGGATACAAAAGGAATGAAATAGAGATATATTAAGACCGAAAGAGACAAGCAGTGTCACTGATGTTATGTGACAGAACGAAGAAAAAGGGAACTTCGTGGGACTCGAATCCACGCCTTCCGCTATCCGGACAGATGTCCTAACCAGTTTGACTAGAAGAACATCTTAATCTTCGTGTAGCATTAGTAATAGAGACGGCGCCAGGAATTCCCGTGTAGGGAGGCTCAGCCCCTTAACTCTCAAAGTGTCAAAAGGTATAGTGGACATTTTTTCGAAAATTTTCCTCCATTAAAAATGTTGCTTAGCTCATGTATGAGTATATAAAAAATCCACTCTTATTTGTAGATAAGTCAGCTACTTTTATTTATAAAATCTAAAAATAAAACTTAACGCAATAAAATTCTGCAGCTCTTGTGGTTACTTGAAAATTTATCTATTACTCGTTCATAATTTGTATCAAAATCACGTTCAACTGCTAGTATTGCCAAGTCACTTAAACGTGTATCAGTTATTGAATTTCGCAGATAGTTTTTGATTATCTTCATCTTCGAAAAAGATCTTTCACCAGTAACTTGAGAAATTGGCATTGTTATGGCACCTTTAATCATTTCTAATGTTTGTGGAAACGCGTTTGAAAATGGAAGTAATTCATTTAGGAATTCAATCACGTGATTGATTTTTTAGATTGAAGCATGGATTTGATAACAGCAAATTCATTTTTTAATGCACTTCGATGCATGAAGGAATATGTTGCGACATCACACGCCGAAAAGATTATCAATTTTTTAAAACCTTTAAAAAGTTCTGGGGAGGCTCAGCCCCCTGTAGCCTCTCCTTGGCGCCGCCACTAGTTAGTAAGTTACATCATTAACGCTAACATTCTTTTTTATCTTTTCCTCTGCATCAATGCTGCCACAACTAAATCAACATTTAATAGATGGTAACGATTAAAAAATAACAAAAAATAACTTTTAGAATAGCCGAAATTAAGCATCGAAGCTACTGTTACTGACACGCGTATGAGTCTTAGCTGCTCTTAAACACGTGGAACTGAAAAACATGTTCATAACTTTGACGTATGACTGTCCATTTTTGTAAGCTTGCAAACATCTCCAAAATATGCGTTGAAGTTTCAGATGAATCTCTTTTTGTCGAAAGTTTGATTCAGCTGAGTTCAGTAGGAAAATCCCCTAAACCCTTCAAAATTCGTTTGGGAACCTTTAAGAAACCACCTGAAGATCTCGATAGTGTCTCCATCGAATTCCCCCATTGTTTTTAACCTTCTGTATGTTGTTTTGATTGTATCATTGGTGAAGCTTTCAAAAATCCTGAAAAAGGATTTTTAGGTTTCCGCATAGTTCTAGGTAAAACCCAATTTTCTCCACGATGAAACATAATTTCGAAAAACTACTCGTATTCTTTTCAAGAGGAGCATCTGTCGAATCGAACCAAGCAATAAAATCGATTTTAACACATCAGGAAAAGGTTTTTAAAGGTTTTTAAAAATTAGTTTCTCGGCTTTGAAAATCGCGCTTCTAGAGACCTTGAGGGACAACGCTTTAGGTCAAAAACAAGTTTTAAGATATTTTCTGATTCAGTTTTTCAAGATGAACAAGAATAAGAATATGTCCCTTTCGGGTATCTAAGTAGATTCAAAACTCCAGAAATTCAATTTTTCGAACTGAAGGAAGCATAGAAATAACTTAAAAAACATATATTCGTGATCGGCGTAAAATTCTCTATCAGATGAGGTTTAAAAGACGAAAATTAAAAATTTTACTCTTAGTTCGCCTTGCGCGAACTTTACATATGAGGATAACCCGAGGTCTGATCTTTCATAAATGATATGGCTTTTTATTTGACAGCTCCTTTTTCTTTGCGTAAGCTTGGAATACTTTTTTGTCATCATCTAACTGAAAAGTGGGTAGCTTTTTGAAAAAAGAATCAGATTGTTTTTAATCGTGAATGCTAGAGCTTCCTAGGAAAACTGCACTCTAGTGTATGGTTGACTTCTTTCATTACGAGGTATATGACTGAGTACAGGGTTTAACAAGAGATTTCCTTAGTGTTGCGAAAAATTTTATTTTTGTAATTGGAACCTGAGATACACAACTTCACCGTGTCTCGCTCCATCTCCATACAACACCACTCCAATGTTTTTAAATTCCCACTTTCATTCCTGCTCCGCCGAAAAAAATGATAACTCGTATTTGAAGTTGCCTATTTCTAATTAGAGCCCTGCGTTTTGAAAGTTTCTCAGTAGTCGAACTTGTCATATATGTTCTTCTCTTGAAAAGTGTCATTTAAAAGACAGATTTTGTCGTGATCTACACTCTGGATTGTTTATAAAAGAAATAGAAAATCTAAATATTAAGTATATAGAATGAATAACTGCAAATAATTTTGGGTTATCAAATAGGTTATTGTTAATCGCATTGTTTTGTTTCTGAGCATCGATCAGAAAAACATCTTTGTATAGATCTGTAAATTTTACAATACATCAAGCACTACAATCAAAACAAGATGAAAATTTCATATGATCTGAATATGTTTAATGTAAAATAGACTTTTGCCGAGAGAGACAGAGTTCAATTCCAATTCATGATTAATCAAACCTTTGTGAAGGAAACCTATGTGATGAAAAGAACTGAACTAGGAACTTATAGTTGTAAATTACAAATATTGATTACACAGATACATATTCTAAATAAGAATACATTTGACAAAACTAAAACTTATGTCAATACTTCAGTAAAGTAATACAATTGATTTCAGAAGCATTCATCATTGTATCAATATAAAATGATTTATTGTAAACTTCCTGATTTTCAAGTTCACATTACTAAATAGATATAACTATTGTTTGTGACATTAACTAGTAATAGTTGACAGCTATGAAACATTGACCATATCATATTTAATTGAGTCTATGCATCTGTGAATTTATAAAATCTCATATTTTCTCAAATAGAACAAAAAAGTAAAACAAAAACGGGCAAGAGAAGTGTAGAAAATTCTTCATATTTATTCGATCTAAATAATAATAGATTTTCTATGCAAAATCTTAAATGGAAATTTGATATATGTTCATAAAGAATAGAAAGAAAAGAAAGTTTTATTCACTAATCTCTCATTAATATAAAACTACTTTACCTTGGGCTTCATCATCGGAAGAAGGAAACGTTGTAAAGATCCTTACGGCTATCTACTATAAGAATTGATTGTTAATCATAGTAGATAGAACATTTTTTTCTTTCCTATTTATTTAGCTTTATCAAATGTTCATGATTCAGTTCTTATCAATTTTTAATTCAGAATCAACCAAGTCTTGAAAGCTTCCTATTGGAAACCGATTTTCTTTCTTATATATAATCAAGATGACAACAAGATAGTTCATAATAGAATGTAAGTTGATCTTCTAAATAAAATATTTATTCTAGACTATAGAATTTCACTAATAATTTGTTGATAATTCTATAAAATCTGACTAGAGAATTTCAATTGAAAACTAAATCATGCAGAACGGATTGAAATGATTATTATCTAACACTTAATCAATAGTTAGCCGGAATGACATGATGGAAGTTTAATAAAGCAAAACTTCTTCCGCATTTCTTTTGTTATTCACCTATTATTAACAAGTGAAGCATTTTTTCTCTCCTATTCTTTCATTTCTATTGATGATCACAAAAAAATGTTTGAGAACACCCGTCTTTCCTAGCCACATCGCCTTCGGTTTTTCCTTTTTATTTTTATTTTTTTATATTCATTCATGGATAGAGTTGGTGCTTTTGTATGTTGCAAAGAAAGGCATGCTTCGCACGGATATTACTTTTCTCTTCTTCTTCGTCGTCGTCCTTATTCGTCTTTCTTCGCAGAATAATAATCTTATATCTTATTTCCATTAGAATGAGTAATATTTCAATCAATATAACGGCAAAAACAACGAAGATGGCTTATTTTTATCTTAGTTGTCAATATGACTGAATTCTTTCGTCAAGAATCTTTTCTTTTTTTGCGAAGATAAATATCTATCATCATCAATGTTAGATATAACTATATCTAATCTTTCAATAACATATACTCAATTTATAAATAATTTCTTTTTTTATTTGTGTTAAGGTAAATAATTATTGATGCCATCGAGTAACTCTCCTATTTTTTTAATGCAATATAGCTCTCATGTGAGAATTCAAGTATTCACAGAAAGATAAGTTGTGTTTTATGATGCAAAACAATTATTTAGTCAAAGTATGCCTAGCTATGATGATGAAGGTATCTAGTGTAATCATCTTAGAAGAGTTCTATTATGGAATAAATAACAAAAAAAAGACAAAGAAAAAAGGCGTCAATCTATTTGTTGTTCACACATTTTTTGTTCGCATTTGAGTGTGGAAGCAACCAAGCGCCGATATATATGTGTGTGTATGTTGACATCAAACGTAATTGCTTTAGTCTGTATGTTTGTTACGAACGAAAGCCCGCATCATCACCATCATCATCGCCATCATTCGGCTTCTTTTATCTCTTTAATTCATCGTTCTGCTAGTTATTGTCTCTAGTAGATTTTGAACAAAAATCAAAAATTTTCCATTATTATCTTTCTATGCTAGTTTACTAGCAGTATTCGTTTCTATGACATTGTAAATCCTGTTGTGTTCTCATATCATTATTGATCTGCTATTTCCGATTGAAATGTGTTTGAGTATACTTGATCATTTTCTTATGATGCAAGAGTTGTGGACTATCACTACGCTTGAGGATGAATACGCGTAGGATCATATCTTGTCATACAATCAACTTCCGTTTTTGTGTTCGATAGAACACTGAACTTGAAAACACTTTAAGCGATACACGAATGAGAAAAAAAGAGAATCGTCGGAATTTGCCTATGTCAAGCAGAACGAGCGCTTGCAAGCTTCCTATTACTCTGTCGCGCTCAATTATATGCAACGCAATGTGCAGATGTATAAATAGTAGAGAGAAAAAGAAAAGAAAAGACACAATAAAAAAGAAAAATGAGAGAAACCGTTTCTATCGCGTAACACTAATTATTAATGTGGATGACAGACAGTATAGAGTCGGAACAACCACTATGGAGAAGAAAATCAAAGAAGAGGAAGAAGAAAATGTAATAGATTTTTAGTAAGCAAAAGAACAAGAAAAATCTCGTCGAATGCAAGTAACGGAATAGAAGTATTGATGGTCTCATCCATCGCATTTGTTGGCTATTTAGACGATCAACTTCGGTGTGTATCAGAAAGAATGAAGAAAAGAGAGAGAGAGAGAGAGAGACAGAGAGAAAGCGAACATATGGAGAAGAAAGGCTATTGCACATTCTGTATCCGCAATGGCAGAATCTCAGGTCGTAATCAATTCTGATCTGATATAGACAACGATAGAAGGAATCTCTTTCTCTAAAAGTATTCAGCGCGTGCGCCCTCGTTGTTCATACGCAATTTGTACCTACGCATTTTCTTCTCGACTGTTTCTTGCCTTCTCTCTTCTCTATCTATCTCTTTGCATCTATGTGCCGTGGTCGGAGACGCATCGCATCCTATTGTGTCTATTTTTCATATATAAAGCAACTATCATAGAAAGTTTTTTTTCTCCTTTTCTACTAGTCCGTGCAGTTCGATATATTAATATCGATGTATAAAGATCAACTTGTTGTCCTCAATGACTGAATGACTACGAGTATATCTACAAACAATGTTATACACAGGTATACAACAACAAAAATAGATTTACTAGACAGTTATAGAACTCTTATATTTGTGTAAAATGGCACATACTCGATCATTTTTTTCTCATGGAGTTATTCTATTTCTTTTTCTGTTTGACGACGTCTAAAAAGAAATCATTTGCTTATGATAGTACTATCGATATATGTCAACCTTCAACTACATATCTGTCTCATTAGAAAGATCAAACGAGGTGGAAAAGAAAGAAAAAGGAGAATGAAAAATGCAATTATGTATTGTAAACTGATTTTCATCTATCACCTTATTCAGCTTCTATATGTAATAACCTCTGCTAGTTTTTTTTAATCTAGTTAATCAATAGGATCAGTTGTCAAAGCATTCTTCGGTCGTTCTTCATTCCTTCTTTTGTTGTGTTAGTTCTAGTACTACTAAACATAAGCCACAAGTGATGGCATCAACAACAACAACAACAACAACAACAACAACAGCAACAGCAACAGCAACAGCAACAGCAACAGCAACAACAACAACAACAACAACAGCAGCAGCAGCAGCAACATCGGGAAAGAAAGATTCGTCACCAACAACATCGACTGCTAATACTTATGTTCGATGTCTTCCACATCCGCCAACGTATCGTTTAACGATAGCTGACTTATTTGATACTTCAACTGGTGGTGGTAAACCTCGACTTAATCGTCTTCGTGAACATCTATTTGCTGAAGGACGTCTCGAAGAAGATGCTGCATTAATGATTATTGAATGTGGTGAACATTTATTACGTTCTGAAAATACACTAATCGAATTAGAAGCTCCCATAACTGGTAAAAACTTGGTTCAAAAAGTAATTTACTTTCTATTAGTTGATGCTTTTCGTTTAGTTTGTGGTGATATTCATGGACAATTTTATGATCTTATGAAATTAATTGAAGTAGGAGGTGAGTCAATCTATTTTGAAAGTTGATGCCAATTGAATTAGATAAAGGAAAAATTCTTATTTTCCGGATAATGCTAAACTGCCAAAAATAATTTATCTATTAAAAAGATTTTTATATTCTTTTCTTTTCTTTTCTTTTCTTTCTATCAAGGCTCACCAGCTACCACACGTTACCTATTTATGGGTGATTATGTCGATCGAGGCTATTTTTCAATTGAATGTGTTCTTTATTTATGGGCTCTAAAAATTCAATACCCTACATCATTTTTTCTTCTTCGTGGAAATCATGAATGCAGACATTTAACTGAGTATTTTACTTTTAAAACAGAATGTAAGTATTTAATTGAAATGAACAATTTTTTTTTAATAATTAAAATTCGAATTGCTCTTTTAAAGGTAAAATTAAATATACAGAACGAGTCTATGATGCATGCATGCGTGCATTCGATTGTTTACCATTAGCTGCACTCATAGATAAACAATTCTTTTGTGTTCATGGTAAGTTTTCTGAAATAAAAACCTTTTCTTCTTCTTCGTCCGCTTTTATTTAAATAAAATAAATAAACTTTTTTTTTTGTCACAGGTGGTCTTTCACCGGAAGTTCATACATTAGACGATATAAAAAAATTAGATCGCTTCAAAGAACCACCACCATACGGCCCCATGTGTGATTTATTGTGGAGTGATCCCATTGAAGATTATGGACATGAAAAATCTCACGATGAAAAATATTTATTTAATGCAACACGTGGTTGCTCTTATTTTTATACATTCAAAGCTGTTAATGATTTTCTTGTTAGAAATTGTTTATTAACTGTTATACGTGCACATGAAGCACAGGATGTTGGTTATCGTATGTATCGTAAATGTCCACAAAGCGGTTTTCCATCATTAATGACAATATTTTCTGCACCGAATTATCTTGATGTTTACCAAAATAAAGCAGCTATACTTAAATATGATACAAACATAGTTAATATAAGACAATTTAATGCTTCCCCACATCCATATTGGTTGCCAAATTTTATGAATGTTTTTACATGGTCGTTGCCATTTGTTGGTGAAAAAATTACAGAAATGTTAATTAATATATTAAATATATGTAGCGAAGAAGAACTTATAACAGATCTATCAAATGATCAACAAAATGATAATGAAAATCAATTTCGTCGCGATGCTATACGTTCAAAAATACGAGCTGTCGGGAAAATGGCTAAAGTTTATGCTTCGTTACGTGAAGCTAGTGAGAATGTTTTAAATTTGAAAGGTCTTGCACCTGTATCTCCAGCTTCATCAACAACAAATATCAATGAACTTATTGATGACGAAGGCGAAGTAGCTGAACATCGAAAAGCACCAACAGATTTTTCATTTTCTACAGCAAAAACATTTGATCAAATTAATGAACGCATGCCACCATGGTCCGATGCTGAACGAAGACAACGTTTGATGAATAAAAATCAATCAACCAACGATGATTCAATTATACATAATGTTGATAGTGATAATGAACGAACAGAATCAACAGCAAACAAGAGAGACTCGACACATCATACACCTACTGTTGTTATATTAAAAGAAGATGAAAAAATTTACAATGGAATCGATAAGTAATGAGGTTTATTTCATTTTATTTCTTTAATTACGGGAAAAAAAGAATTAACTATTTTTTGATTGAATAAAATAATATAGATATTTTTTTTCAATTATATCTTTTTCTGCAGTAAAAATAAGTGCAAATATTCTAGATAACTTTTCTTTCTAGTAGATAATTGTCGATAGAACAACAGCATAAGAGAGACGCAAGAATAACCATATGAGAAAGCCCGAGTAGCTATTGTCTAATTGTTTTCATGTGTATCTCAGAACGAACAGAAACAACATATTTCACTTAAATAGAACGTTGTTACTTATTGATTATCTTTAACAATGCTTGAAACATTGAACGATACTTATTCATAATTGTTTTCTCTTTTAGTGAATAATAAAAACAAAACTTAAAAGATTTTTTTCTATATATTATTTAGTATTCAAAACAAAACGTCACACGAGTCGTCTCTTTCGAAATCAAAACAAAAATCTATTTCATCTTCAACCGGTGATCAACATACTGATCTTGAACATGTTCAAATAAATTTTGATAAAAATCATGATAAACATTCATCTAATCAAAAACATTCCACCAATAACACGAATGGCTCAATAGCAAGCGGGAGTGGCAGTGGTGGGTTTTCAATAAAAAATCCTGTTAGTTCATTTCGATCATGGGTATCTCATAAACGATCTTCGAAAGAAGATCAAATTGTAAACACAAATGATCGTTCTATAACAAAATATGGAAAAATCGATACATCTCCAACACCACGTAAAGCATCAGTCAGTTCAGATACATCAAAACGAACTCGAACGAACTCAGCATCAGCCACAACAACAACATCTGTAATTAATAATAATAATAATCAACAGCAGCAGCAGCAGCAGCCGCAACAACAACAACAGACTCAATCAAATTCTTCTACTGTTACATCAGCAACACGTGCAAAAAAGAAATCATCGTTTGCATTACGTAATACAAATCCAATTGCATTGCTTAAACGAACACCGGAAACAAATCATAATCAAACAGATTTATCATCAACCGAACAAACAGGAGCCGGAGGAGGAGGAGGAGGAGGCCCGTTTGGTTATTTGAAACATCTTGTGCGAGGCGACAGTAGTAGCAGTGAAAAAAAGCAGTAGTTCACTGTATGTTTGTGTGTGTGCGTGTGTGTTTTGCTTTTCCTTTCTTTTCTTTTTCTTTTTTTTTATTTGTTTGTTTCGCTGTTGTTCGTTCTTTCTTTTGTATATAAGAAACATACTTGTTTAAATCCGAAGATATTTAATGATTAAAAGACAGACATAAACAGCTGTTGAAAGTCGATCTACATACACTTGTGTTCATCTAACCTTTGATCTCATTGATCATTAACATTTAAAAGATCAAATGTTCATATAAACATCGAGAACTATTTGTAATAATAATCATTGACATTTTCCTAGATTCATATGTTTACTGTAAAAAAAAACCGAGTGTCATATGTTATTTAATCTAATTAAATCAAACAAAAATTCTAGATGGAACTTGTCATTTTAGAAGATAGATATATTGTTGTTTCAAAGAAACTAAGATACATGATGAAACTGATTTAGTGTCATTGGAGTTCGTATAGAAATATGACAATGATAAGTAGCTATATATATATACTTGTTTTTGTTGATATAAATATCTATGTATATACACACATCGACAAGCGATAAATATTATTTTGTTTTTCTACTCGTGTAAAAAACCAAAAAAAAAGCCGTTAAAAGGATTTATTCTTTTGTCCATTATTATAAATATGATATGAAATTTCACAGGAAAAGAAACTAATATTTATTTAATTCCATCTTTCAAAATGATTTGCATGGAAAACAAAATGGGTCGTCTTATATTTTGTTTTTCGCCCATGCCTTGAATGTTGTCGATGCTTGTTGCATATTCATCATTTAATAGATTAGCCATGAGCTGTCTTTTTTTTCTTCTTCTAAGTATGTTCCTTAATGTCATTTTTTTTGAAAAAAAAAACTTCTTCGCCATTAATGACTTCATGTTGTTTCCTTTTTTTCTTAATAGAATTTGTAGTAAAAGATGATGTTTCGATAGAAATTAGATTAGTAGATGGCAGAAAAATATTTCTAATCAAATAAGAAAAATGTCTATCTTTGTAATCTCACTTTATTTTATTCATTTACAAATATTTTTATTAAAATCTCTTGGCTCACGAGATATAATAAAAAAAATATTCATTTAATAATTCATTTTTTTTCTTGCTTTCGTCTTTGAATTTTCCACGTCATCGATTAGTTTCACAATTCTTTCATAATATCTTTCTTTAGCTAATTGCCGTCCATTTCGCTTGAAACTAACATGTACATTAATATGTTTATAACCATGGTCAACAAGCCATTTTAATCTTTTATAATTTCCATTGTTAATTAAACGTACTATATAGGAATCAAGTTCAGTTTTAGCTCTTATACGATTTGTTAATACACAGTATTCTCGTAAACTTAATTTTGTATAATCGGGATGTTTAGCTGTTAAATCAACATTTTTATCAAGTAGTAAACGTATTAAATCGTTACTTGATTGATAGTGAAATGCAGTAACAAGTGCATTATCATATTGCCCTTTTACACTGGGGTCGGCATGACGAAATAATAAAAATTTTGCGGCTTCGCTTTGATTATATGTTATAGCTGTTAATAAAGGTGTTGTTATGAAATGGTCATTACTTGACTGTTGTGTATTAATATCGATTTTCCAATGTGTTAAAAAATAGTCTAATAGACGTATGGAACCGATTTGTGCTGCAAAAAATAGACCATCTTTAGCTAAACTGCGTTGTCTAGTTTCATTGCGAAGACGCTGTATAAATGTATCACAACGGCGAACATCATTGCATTGCAACATACGAGCAAACCGTTGTTTCAATGATGGAAGTCTTGATCGTTGACGAATAATATCTGCTAAATTATTACGCTTTAATTCACGAGCATATTCACAAGCATTAAAAGCTTTTTGAGTTAATTGAGTCGGCGATGTAGAAGCTGCTGGTACCATGATCCAAAAGAAAATAATAAATATTAGATTTTAGCTTTTTTTATATACATAAAAGTTCATGTCTTTTCTTTTTTTACTAAAGTAATATATTCTAGACATCTACATATTCAGCGAAAATCGAAGATATTTTACATTAAATATTCATCTATTTTGAATCAGTTATTCTTTAGAGAAGTGTGTCATTTTTTGCGGTTCAATGACGAAAATTTCAATCATTATTATTATCAAGTTATTAACCTTGCCGTCGGATACGACTATGTTAGGAATGTGTATCGGTCTAAAAATATGTCTGTCTTTTTTTCTTTTTAACAAACTATTTATGAATGTTTACAACTATGACAATCATGAAATTCTTATATGCATCCGGATCGAGTAATTATAATTATATTTTGAAAGAATTTTTTTTTAATAATGAACTTTTACTATTGTCTGCCATAGAAAATTGATTCAATTTACTCCTATTACCCTTTCTAGAGAATGTATTATTTGTTCGAGTGGTTATAGAGTAAAATATGTGTTTTCGCTTTTTATCAATCTAATGGAAATGGTTGCCAGCAGCTTTTTTTTGAACATATCAATTAATTGTAATAGGGCGATATAATGAAGTGAACAGAATAATTAACAGTATTCTCTATGAAGTTCTTTTTTTGTTCTTATCATCATGATCATCAAATAAAACGTAATCATATGCTTTCCTATTGTTGTCTATTGTTGAATTAACATGCTCATGTAAATCATCGTGAAAAATATTCTAGTTTTATATGTATTGCTGCATTATACATCAAAAGCAAACTAAAAATAGAGACATCATCATTTAACATTTATTGCTAGGGTTTCGTTTGGTCTATCTTAAAAGCAGTCTATACTATCATTTGAAATATTTAATTGTTCAACTTACTGTATAGGATTTATCTAATGATACTTCCATTTCAAGTAGAACTTTGACAAACGGTTCATCATTATGTTCGATAGCATAAAAAAGCAATGATTTAGTTGGCGCATCATCTCCATCAATTGATTCATATTGAACAAAATCGAATTTTGCCACAGCATTTTCAAAACGTCGAATATTACCACCTTCAACTAGTCGTAGACATTCAACATACTGTGCTGCTGCGTCGTCTTTGCTATTATTCACATTAGTATTACTATTGTCAACAATTGGTTTTTCATATGCGATTGTATCTTCCATTTCCATTCAAATGATATCAAAAATATAACAACAAAAATCTATGATCTGTCTATTTTTCTTCTCCACTTTAACAGAATTGTTCTCTGTTTATTTGATTTCGTCTGCTAAGCAACGACTCTTTTTTTCTGCTATTCGTTTTTTCACCAACTAAAAAAAGGAATATCATCTATCTTGTGTCAATAGAAAAAAAGAAGAATGAGAAAGAAATTACTTTTTCATGGTTTGCAAATGTTTTGTTCTCATTGTCAGATCACAAGCATGCTTTAGGTCAATATTTATGTGAGGCATAATTCTCAAATTTTTCGATTAATTTCAATGAACGTAAGTAACAAGGAAACAGTTTCTTGTTCGGCAAATCAAATGCAACGTTATATCCCAAGGCAACTAGTTTATTATTACTTTAATTAGTTCGTTTTCGGCTATATTAATAATGTTTTCTTGTAATCTAAAATGGTATTTTTTTCTTTTTATCAAAAATAACAAGAAAACATTTAAGCGCGTCAAGAAACCGCATTTTTTTCTCTTGATTTGAATCATGGGTTCGTGTTTTTCAAATAGTAAAATTGAGCCACCATTGAAAACATCAAGTACTTCACCACAAATACCATTAGTATCTCAATCTAGTCATGATTCATCTCTAACATTGAATCCATATATGAATAAAATCAATGAAATAACTTCAAAAATCGAATTTGATGAATTAGTAAATGACACACTCAATACTAATTTGTTAATTGTATGCGATTTTTATGCTGATTGGTGTCCACCATGTTTACAAATTGCACCTACTCTACGTGAATGGGCATCGAATGATTATAAAACATCTGTTATTTTTATGAAAATTGATGTCGATCAAAATAGTGATTTATCAAATAAGTTTTCAATTAGGGGTTTACCGACTTTTATTTTATTCAAGCAAGGAAAAGAAGTTTGTCGTGTAACAGGCGGAAATTCAAATAGTCTTAGAAAAGAAATTGATAAATTCACATAGCATCATCGGTTCTGGTGAAAATCTTACTCAATAAAGATTAACTCTATGTTAATAAAATACTTTGGTCATTGATTTTTTTCCTACTTTGTTATTCGCTCAAAACAATTAGATAATCTTGTCAATCTCATCATTTTTATTATCTATATTCATAGTTCGAAGTCACACAATGAATGAGTTCAACATTCTAAATATGTACTTAGAAAGGGTAACAATTGTTTCATAGCATTGTTCGATCATTCTGAATCAAATTAACAGTTTGCATGACGAGACGAAGACCGAAACGCATTATATTCGTCTCATAGCAAGCGGATATGTAACGTCATTGCTCGGAAGTGGTTTTCTTTTACTGTTAGAGGCGATTGTATGCCACTGTGAGAATCATTGTTGGAAAAGAAATATTTCCTTGAAAAGAAAACACACCTTTGGAGCTAAGCAAAATAGAGTTACATTAAACTGTATTCGAGTTAATTTGTACCAAAATGATGCGTAGATAGGAGCGTCCTAAACGCATTCTGAGCCCATATTTGGATTGCATTACACACTCGAATTATGATCAAGGTGAAAAATAAACAGTTCGCTTCATTGGAATGTAAATGGCTTCCATTGTTCTTGAAAAAAAAAGTTCGGTCAATAAAATATATTATGATCCTTTTCTTTTACTTCTTGCAACTGTCAAACGGTTAAACGTTCGTTTAGATGGCAATCCATTAGTTCAAAAATCTGAAGTATTGATAGAAATTAACATACTCGAGAACGAAATGACTCTTTCATGAATAAAAAGTAAAGTCGACAAATTTCTGATCAACAAGAACTCAAAACTATTAGCAACTTCTCACAGCCAGACATTTGCGCCCAATAACATATTTTTCAATTAACTATGATCGTCTCACTCCTTACTTGTCACAGTTAATATAACTTTTTTTTCAAAGAAAAAGGAACTATTGAAAATGACGAAATAGACTTTCATTTAGAAGCATGTATAACTAGACTAACCATTTCTTTTTTTCATGCTTTAGGTTTATTCAAGAAAATCTTGTCGTTCTCATTCGTTTCTACTAGAGTAAAAAAAGTTATTGATTGGAAAGTGTGTACCAAGAATATAAAGTCGGTTATAGTTATTCATAATAATATCTAATCGGGTTATTTATGATTTCATATTTTAATCAGCCATTCAAATTCTTCTTCATTTAATCTCATACGAGAATCAAGCTGTCTGCATCTCATCATGTTCCACAATCAGATCGAATACGTATGCTCATACCAATACAATAGCTGCAGAATTCTACTAACCAATTTTAACATGTCCTGTTGTTATTTTTTCCTCTTGTTTCCTGTTCACCTCTTTGCTATTGAGATGTCATTTTTATGATCTAATTCTATATATGATTTATAGACTAGTCGTATGCATATAGATCATGTTATTATACTAGAAGATAACACATAGCAAACAAGGATTATATATCAATCGCGTTGGCACTAAAAGCTCATTGAAGTTCTTATTTATCCGACGAATGACGTCAATACTATGCCGGGGATACTTGTGAAAAGATCTATTAAATCTGAACAGATTTTCAAATACTATTTGTGTCATATTTCAAACAACAAACGATTCGAGTACTATTTCTTAATCATACTCAGATAGTCGCTATATATATATATGAATAAATTTTTACAATAAATCCATGAAATTCGAGTTGACAATTTTTTTTTGAAAAGATATGCAAAGAACAGACTAAAAAAAGAAATTTAATTATGATTTTATTTGATCAGTTGCCTCGTTTTTGAGTTATTCACCTGTTAATCAATGTAGTCAATTCTTCAACAAGATGCATAATTTTTCATTTCATTGATTTGATTTAAACTTGAAAGTATTAATATTAAGGATTCATTTCGAAAATATGAAATTCATCTAAAGTGACTTCATTCGATTGAAAATTAGATTATTCTACAAGTGATTATTTATAGGATTTAAAATAACACGAAAAGTACAAATACTAACACATACTACTATCTACAGATCATGAAGCATATTTCACAAATGAGAGATATGAACATACTTCCCTGATTTTTCGGAAAATTGAATTGACTATTCATAAGCAAATGTAATCGCTGACATATTTATTGATATTTTTCTATCCTATGTTTGAACGCATACATCGTTCTCTTTGTCTAACTCTTGATTCTGTTCTTATTATTTTTTCTGCATAAACTCATGACTCAAAGCTACATACACAGTAAAATATGATTTATGTCTTATTGGCATATTTTTTCATCTGTGCTTGAATAATAAGTATAACTAGTACGTATTGATAATACAATCAAAGAGTTAGTACCTGCTAGAAACTCTTGCGGGGAATTGAAACGTACGAGTGCATATTTATTACAAACCACTGTAAAACTAGAAGAAATACTACCATCTCACTTACTGGCATCCATCTTTTCTACTGATTAATTGTATACCTAGTAAAATGAAAATAATAATCTTTACAACAGAACTTAGAAGTGTAATTTATTTTAACTAATCTATGTGGAATGTTACATTTTTTTTGTTGCATTAAAATACATCGAAAATGAAAAATGTGGCATTTGTTATGCTGCTTATTTGTTGTTTTTTTTTGGTGCATTTATCAATCAATAGCAGTGTTTGACTACTATGGAATGCATATTTGCAAAAGGTAGCAAAGGTCAATACAACAGTATGTTGGTAAGAAACGAACAAAAAAAAATCTTAATAAACATTTTTTGTTACTTTTTCTACTCAGCAAAAATTGTCAAAACAAATAGTTGTTTTTTACATACTTGCCTACGTCAATAATGAAATATATATTGAAGTGTTACTTAAAACGAAGTCAAATCTATCAAGAAAAGACAGTGATACTGATTAATTCGTCTAAAAATATTCTTGATGTGCATTCGCTGATACCATATCGAAGCATATAAAACGCATTGATCAATTATTCACGAATACGAAACCAAGATTAACAAAAGTACCATTATTGAATCAAAATATTTCTCTCAAGTCTAGCAGAGTTTAACGCCACAGACTCGTCTAACATAAATAAGAGTTCACTATAACTTAAACCAACTGAATTCTGTTATGTTTTAAATGTGCTCATTCTATTGATAATCAAAAGGCAAGAAAACAGGTATTCTTGTTCGTGTAAAAAAGGCTCTTAAATTTTCAAGAAAGAATTCAGCTACATGGTGAATTTCAAGAGAAATATCTTTGTTGATCGAGAGTAAACATTATCTCGGCCTTCAAGATATATCTTCTTTTTTTTTTTTGTTTTTCTTTTTGGGCATGAAAACAAGGATTTCATTGAAAACTAGTAGTAATAGCAATAACAAAAAACAAAACAAAACTCACATACATATATGCGACAAGAACTTTCAGCAGACTCTTTGCAAAAACAAACAAACGAAAACAGATCAAAGAGAGAAAGGAGAATTACCGTCAAGGAAAAATGCAAAAGAAAAGATACTACTATAAAAAAAGCGAAAGAAAAAAATGTTAAATATCACCACTATTCATTTGTATCGCTACTAGTTTGACGATTTTGAAAATATTCAGTCTAACAAAAGAGAACACGTATTTCATATGAATCAAAATATGGTTATTTTCTTACATAAAGTTGTTGTATAGGTTTTGCGTTATCATCATTTCTTTCACTGTTATCATTGGCAATGAATTTATCATAATAACGTCGATAATTTTTATCAATAGATTTCAAATAAATGTCACCTGATTTCAATGTTTCATTTGGCTGTTTTGGTATGAAGGGTACTATAGGAAAAAAATTGTTGTTAAAGTATGAAATTTTTCTTTTTGACTATAATAAATTATCACCTGTATGATCATTTTCTTCACGTTCTAATAATAGTTTATCTAATAGATCAGGTTTTAATGCAGTTCGCTCATTATCCAGACGATTTCTAGCACGTTGAATACTTCTTTGTAATTGTGCAAGTGTAAAACGACATTCATGAACTTTACGACAGACCACACTATACATGGATGAGGCTAAGCCAGAACCATATGAAAATAGTAAAATACGGCGACCATACAATTGTTCTTCAGTTGGTTGACTTAAAAGAAAATTTTGTTGTAAATTTAAAAGAAAAATTTATGAACGATTGATTGAAAACACTAAACAAACCTAATAAGAAATGCAAAAAGACTATAATAAAGTGATGGTGTATACATATTGCCCATATTTTGTGAGAAGTAAAGTCCTGGCAGTGTTTTTTGTTCGAATAACTCTTTACTTTGTTCAACGAGATCACGTTCGAGATCTTTATCATTGACTAATGTACGAATATCAAGATTTCTAATCAAGAAAAATGATATAGATTATTTTGAACACATTTCATTGCGATAATTAACTTACTTATATTTTTCTGTCGTTGCATTAGCGATGTAAGGACAAGCACGAATAAGATCATTTAAATATAATCTTGCTAGAGATTTTTGTGCCAGTTTTACATAAGGTGTATGAAAAAGAACAGCAGCAAATGTTGATAAATTAACTTCACGTGATGTTAATGTACTTGTATGTGTATGTGTATGAGATTCATGATTCATCTGCGACTTTGTACAAAATTGTGTATAGCATGTATCAAGGGCCGATGTAAAACATTGAACACTTAAATGACCATCAACAACTGGATATAGAGAATTTAAATTTGGTTTATAGAAATCATAAACATGTGCCATATGTGTTGCACGACAACCTAGATTAAGAAATGAAATATTCGCGTGCTTACACGATTATATATAAATACCAGATTCAAAAACAACGGGAGCATTAGGACCGATGAGAAGAGCACAAGCGCCAGCACCACCTGTTGGACGAGCATTTCCCTTTGCATATACAGCTATATCACCCATAACAACAACAGCCTTAACAAGAAGAAAATTTTATATTTATAGATATATCTTCACAGTGCTGTCAATTTACATATCGTCCATCCCAAAAACTTGATTCAATCCAATGAATAGCATTAAATATGGCTGCAGTACCACCATAACAAGCATTTATATTATCTGCCCCTTCCACAGCTGTATTATTATGATCAACAAATAATTGCATGAGAACTGTTTTTATTGATTTAGCTTTATCAATTAATGTTTCTGTTCCAACATCTAAGCGACCTATTTGCTGTGGATGTACACCGGTTTCATCAAGTAAACGTGACAAAACAGTTAAACATAATGAACATATATCTTCATGATCCGAACATATTGACATACGTTGCTGCCCTAAACCAATTGTATATTTGCCTTTTGAGACATTATCATACGTTTCTAATGCTGATTGATCGACATAAAGTGAGGGAATGTACAGTTCACAAGCAAGAATACCAACAGACGATGGACGATGCAAATAACCAGTTCCGTTCATTACTTTTCTACAACAAAAATGAATACAAAAAATTACATAAAAATTATTTGTATTCTCTCCTTCGATAACAAATAGTAAACAATGGAATGCATGATTCATGTTGGCTGGTTGATTGTTGGATACTAATTTAGACAGATACAGATGACTCATTCTTTTTTCTTCTTACACAAGGAACAAGGTGAACATATTCATGGCAGAAAAAAGATCCAATAGAACACATGCATAGTAGTTGGCACTAGTGGAGTGTTGATTTCGTATTTTCTATGCTCCTAATTATTTCTTACAGCATATAATAATCGTAGCGTTTTGAAACAAATTCGGCATTACTGAAGATAGTTACGAATATTTTTTAAAATGATGATTTCTACATTATGCGACATCCAACAGTTGTGCATTAATTATTGCAAAAGTTGGTGTGTTAATATAATATGACCAATAAAATATTATAATTAAGATATTATAATATGCAGGATTTTTATTATTCATCCGCAAAAAGATAATATATTCAGCTATGGTGTCTCTAATGGAAAACTCTTGAAAATGCATCAGCAAAGAATTTATTCAAGAGAAATAAAAGCCAAAATACCTATTCTCTCATTTTTGTCTCTTTGTAATGAAAAATATGAAGTAAGCAAATATACTCGCAAAAATGTGCATGAATTAATCTGCAAAGCCTTAGTCAATATTATGAATTGGAGGATTTTGTCATTCAAAGAGTTTTGCCAAAAATCGTTATATACTGAAAGTTTTTTTTTTGCCGTAGAAATAAACTACAGGCAGATTGTAGACTATTTTCTTATCGATCCTAATATGAAATATAACGATGTCGATCAATTTCATAGTAATAACTCAAAAATATCTATTTTACGTTAAAAACCTTTTGCTTCAAAGGCCATACAACAGTCAACAAAATGACATCAGTTCGAAAGGTTTGGAAATGAATTAAAAGTAGAATATTATCAATTTATCGGGTGCATCGGTCTTGATGGCAACTACAGATAAAATAAAATTCAAAAGTTCTATTTCCTATTGATTTAGTTTTTTCATTTATATTTTTTAGTTCGCTGAGAGTATTTCAGCAGTGTCCAAGGGCTGAGAAATAGGCATTTTTAATGTGCCCAGGGATTGTCAGTGTCGCTGTGATAATTCCTAGAGGAAATGGGAATCAGCTATAGGTTCTCTCACAGTTCTTCCATTCACGAAAGTCGCGATATTGCTGTTTTAAAAATAGTTTTTGCATGAAATCATTGATTCTCGCAATTTTGCAAGTGAAAATGAGTGAGAGGGCAAAAATTATCGTGAATCAGGGCTCCTAATGGGATGGGACGAAATTTTCGTCCCGTGGGATAATGCAAGTCGTTCCATCCCATCCCATGGGCTCCCATGGGATTCGCTATATTACGAAAAATCTTACTGAAAATCAAGGTTTAATTTTTTTGTAACTGGAAATTCGAAGTTTTCCAACATTTCGATTTAAATATTGGAATTAGGGATGCACCAATTCCTAGTACATTGCAAGAAAAATGACATTATTGCCTGATGTAGAGTGGAGCGGCCCTCTGATTCCATATATCAGCCAAGACCATTTTTTTGCTCTATGTAAAAGGATAACTGAGATTTATGAAAGGTTAAAAAAAGTTTTCGGATTTGACTCAGAATTTGAATTTTCAAGTCGTTTTCGGTCAAATCCAGTTCAGTTTCAGACTTGCAGTTTGCATTACACAAAGTCTATGAATAGATTTGAAAAGAACGTTCAAAACTGAACAGAAAAAAAATAAGTAAAAAGGCTTAATCCATAACTCCCAATGCTGAAAACACATAAACATTGGATAAAAAATTCAAGAAATTGACGGGATCGGATGTTTTCCCTAATTAAAAATGACGTGCCTGGTAGTGAGAATTATCGATTAAACATCTTTTTCTTCATATTTTTCTGTTCAGTTTTGAACTCTTCTTCAAATCTATTCTTAGAATTTGTGTAATGCAAATTGAAAGTTTGAAACTAGGTTGGATTTGGCAGCATTTGACGGAAGACGACTTGAAAATTGGAATTGGGAGTCAAATCCAAAAACGCTTTTTCATCTTTAATAAATTTGGATCATAGTTTTTCATAGATCGAAAAAGATGACCTTGGCTGATATATGGAACGGAATCAGAGGACGACTGCCTCCTACATTAGGCAAAACTTTTATCTATCGTACCATGTACTAGAAATTGGTGCATTCCTGGTTGGAATATCATTATCAATACCTTATAATTCTGCTTGTGATGTTGTAAACGAAATTTGACTTTCTCAACTGAATATTCCTGTTTATCCGAAACTAAGGATGATAATGAGGAAGAAATAATTATAGAAGGTGATATTGAACAATTTATAAAACAAAAGATGATGATATTTTATTAAAACATTCAAACAAAAAGAACATTTATGTTTATTTCTGTTTTCTATGTTTTATCGTATTCTTTATTCAATTGTTCGAATAGAGCTCGGAGTTGGGTTAATGACCAGTACAGAAAAAGAATGATAATATTCACATTTTTCACCTATTGCCAAATGTGACATAAATGAATAATAATTTTTCTTTAAAACAATAATCACATTTCCCATGGGATTAGGAACTCATCCCATCCCATCCCATCCCATCCCATTAGGAGCTCTGTCGTGAATATTCCATATTTTTACCTTTAGTATCTAATGAACTGTAGGGGAACTGATGAGGAATTCCTAATCCTCAGTCCTTGGACACCCTTCAATGACTACCATTGGTAATATTAATTGAATTTCCGAAGCAGATAAAGCTAGTCTAAAAATGGATAGAATTTACCCCCTCTAAATTATTGATCTTGATTATTCATTACCTCTGGATAATATTCCATTGATGTTTGCCAAAACATGTATATCTATGAAAAGAGAGAATCAGAATACAACCAGTTTCTAGAATTAAATTCACTGTTCGTGGTACTTGAATGCGACGATTTAAGATGCAATAGTAAAATGTCGCATGGTCTCACAGAAATATCTGTCACATTGAATCGTTTGAGTTTGATTTTATATGATAACTACTTATCATTTGTGTGTGTTGTATTGTCGAGTCATAAGAATAACATGAAAAAAACCCACATTATTCATGTAATTGTAATACGAGTTGAAATCGAAGTAAATATAATATATATATCACAAAGATACGAATGAAACCCATCTGGTCTTGTAGACTTGATACAAACGGCTATCGCTCAAAAATATTCTTGATTGTTCATTACCAACTGATTTGCCGATCATTGCATGTTTGAAACAATATCTACTGTAATTGCATCATTTTTATTTCTGAAATCGTCACAGCTTTTATTTACCCTCTTCTACATAAGATCATCCGTAATATTCTCTTATGTTATCAGTATATTCAAGATAATTTCTTTTGCATTACCATAAAACGACGAACAATAGAATAGATCGTGTAAAAATTGCATAATAATTTATTAAATCGGAAATCTCTATATCCATTAGTGAATTACTAAATGTGTAAGATATTAAAATTCAAATGAACTCTCTCAGTTAACCTACTACGTCGATTTCTCATCTGAATTCAAATTTAAAACAATCTTGCACTATTTTTACGCGATATTCTCGTAAACGTGCCGAAAAATGTTTTCAATTTTATTCTATTTGTCCTGTTGTTTTCGAATATGGCGTTTGGTCGTAAAAGAAAACAAAGATATTATATGTTATCAGGCATTGCTGATAAGATAATTTTTTTGTTGACGTATTATCTATAAATCAAATGACGAATAACAAACTCTTTTAAAGCTAACTTTGATAATAGAAAAAAAAATGCAAGATCTTATATTCTTCATATTTACTTTCTTCTCATTCCTCTGTATAATCAATAGTTTTTCCTCCTTACTCTTTCAAAGGTAATACTCTTTGTTTTTTACGAAAACATCATATGCACTTCTTATCACAGTTCAATCTATTACCACTATTGTTTGTTACTATTCTATGCAGTAAAACACTGTATGGATGCGATAAAAATAATGAACAAGATCTAGTAAAATACAATTCATTCATCGCTGTATCAGTTAGATATGATTGTCAACACAAAAATGAACCAAATACGCATTGTTGCAGTGGAACAATTTTGACGGAATCATATATTCTAACAGCAGCTAATTGTGTTGATAGTTTTTCCAGTCGTCTGTCATCAGTTGATCTGACAATTGCTGCTGGGATCTATAATCGATTGAAATCAAATGAAGTCATTCGAAAAGTTGATCAAATTGTTATTCATTCAAAATGGATCAACGATCGACATGGTCGAAAGCACAACATTGCTCTTCTGCATTTATCAACTCCGTTAGATTTTACTTCAGATAAATGTATTGCTCGAATATATCGACCAGCCGACTTTAATTCGCTGAAAAATGTTTTAGAATATCCATCTAGTAGCATACCACTATCGGGTATCTCATGGGAAAGACAACATATTAGCGCTGCAACATCTTTTGGTGTGAAACAGTTTGAGATATCGTTAGTGGATTATAATGATCCAATATGTTATAGATTGGTTTCGAATATCGAACAACAATTCTGTACTAGATTATATCCTGATAGCCAAGGTTTGCTTTATATAACTTTCAGTAGAATTATATCATTGTGATCTTTGTTTATCTCTCTCTCTCTATATATATATATATATATAATTATATAGGTTCATGTAATCGTAAGTATTATATCTAAAATGATATTGATAACATTTCTAAAACAAATTGCTCTTAAATTAATTAGATGCATCTGGAGAGCCTATTTTACAATGGATTGAAAATCGTTGGATGCAGGTAAAATTGAAATCATTGAAATTGATTTATTTTAATGATTTTTGATCTTTTCAAACATCAAGAGAAAAAATGATTTTTGAATAAATTATGACTGTTTTTTTTTCTTCTTCTTAGGTTGGTCTATTAAGCTCTGTTGTAGATACAGCAGATGGAAATTGCCTGAGAATTTATACTAGATTGGCATACTATCAAGAATGGATAGAATCAATTGTAAATTCGAAAAATCTTAAATCTTCAAATATTGCAAATGCTCCTATGATCTATGAATGTAATCCAACTACTACAGAATGTGGTTGTAGTAGAGAAAATGTTGCATTGTCATCGGCAAAAATTTTCGGTGGCGAAGAAGCAGTTCCATTTAGCTGGTCAATGATTGTGTCTGTTCGTTTGAACAATTCTGAAGAACATTCATGTAGTGGAACAATTCTTACTGCATATTATATCTTAACATCAGCAGATTGTGTAGATGGCGCATCTGACTTCGAAGTATCTATTGCTGCCGGTATTCATGATCGAATCACTGACTTTGCAATGATTCGTTACCCACATGAAATATATATACATCCTCATTGGAATAAAAGTGACGGTACCTATCGGAATGATATTGCTATACTACGTATTTTCCCTCCACTATCGATTCCCGGTGGTTTTTCTCTTGCTCGAACATGTATATCATACACGAATTCAAAAAATGAAACAATCAACTATCCATCAGCTGGTAGCAATTTAGTTGTTGTTGGTTGGGGATCAACTCGATATAACGAAAGTTATTTTTCTGATACGCTTCATCAAGCTGGTATAAATATGATTGATAATAACGATTCCATATGTCAAGCAGTGATTCATGATGTAGAAAAACAGTTTTGTGCTGGAGCATATGAAAAAGGTAGTAGAAAATATGTTGATTGTTAGTTCTATACGAATGTTTTTTCTTTTATCTATAATTTCTTGTAGGTCCATGTCGAGGTAATTATGTTTAATAATTCGAAGTAAATGTATGTATATATGCATGTCTGGTAAAATACTTATTTTAGGCGACTCGGGTGGTCCAATTCTTCAATGGAAGGGTACTTATTGGGAACAGGTCGGATCTTCTTTCTTTCACTCGTTTAACTTTAGACCTTTTTTTTATTATAGGTAGGTATCACAAGTTATGGAGGAGATTGCCATCATAGTGATGCTCTGAGTATTTTCACAAGATTAACTTATTATTTTGATTGGATTGAATCGGTTATAAATATTTCATTAACTACAACTACACCAAAACCTCCACCACAACCAGTTTCGTATGCCTGTGACAAGACACTATCATGTGGTTGTGGTATGTCTGATGTAGCTCTAATGTCTTCTCGTATTGTTGGCGGTGAAAATGCGATCAAAAATAGTTGGCCAATGGTTGTTTCACTTCGTTTTAACGGAACGAATGATCATTCATGTGGTGGAACAATTTTATCTAGCTCATATATTCTTACAGCTGCTCATTGTTTTCGTCAAATATCTATCGATGATCCAAGAGGTATTACCATTGCAGCAGGCATGTTAAATCGATCAGATCCATTACAAATCATACGTAATGTTGATCGAATTTATATACATCCAAATTTTACAAATTTACCAGATGATTATCGTCATGATGTTGCCTTGTTGCATATTGATCAACCATTCGTATTTGCATCGAATTCAAATATAACAAAAACATGTATTCATCGTATCAATCCACTAATACCAGTAAGTGAAAACCCAAAGAATGGTAGTCGTCTTGCTGTGATTGGATGGGGTCAACTTCTCCAACAAGCACCATTTATTCCTGAAATACTTCAACAAGTAGAAATCTTCACAATAGATAATCAAGATCCGACATGTTCAGTTTCGATAAATAATACTGACTTTCTGTTCTGTAGTGGATTATATGAAGGTGGAAAAGGTTAATATTTGATGGCAAATTTTCAATAAATTCTATTTTTTTTCTTCTTCTACTTCAGATTCTTGCCAGGGTATGTGTGGAAGTATATTTTAGTTGATAATTGAAGAAAACAAAATTATTTTCTATAGGTGATTCAGGTGGACCAATATTTCAATGGACTGGAGAGTATTGGGAACAAGTAGGTATTATATCACATGGGAAAGGCTGTGCACTACCTGGTTTTCCAGGAGTATATGTTAGACTTTCTTATTATTACAATTGGATTGAAGAAATTTTAAAACGTGATGGTGAACATTTAGAACCAGGAATTCCACAAACAACGACGCCAAACACTGCGTGCACATTTAAATTTAATATGTTGATATTCGGATCACTGGTTCTTTTATTCCTATCATATTGAACGTGATACGTATACATGATTAGGAAAAAAAGCAAATTTTTCACTTATAAATACCAATAAGATTTTCGAAAACATTTAAAACTATTCTTTCACGCTGTTTTAAATCAAGTTTAAGAAAAAAATGACGTCTTCTGCAGTTTTGAATGTATTTGATCTCGCAATAAGCTATATCATTCAAACCTACATCTACAACAAGCTATTCTTTTTTCGTCCTTCAATTCAAGTTTTGTCCATCAAATAAAAATACGTAAATGTATTGGATTATTTACGTGTGCATTATTTCCATCTCGACTACTTTAATATTTCACATTCTTTATTCCATTCGTAATTCTTCATCTTTTCTAAAGCATCAATAAATAAAACAATACATATTACAAATAAATTCTTTCTTTTCTTTTTCATTTTCGTTTCTTTCTTCTTATCGATCTTGTCTCTAGTTTTTTTTTTTACAGCATAGACCAAAGAAAAAAAATCAAATACAACACAACAATAATAAAACTGATGAAGTAGACGGAAGGAAAGAGAATTTTATTTACAAACAATGTGATTAAACACGACAGAAGAAGAAGTAGAAGAGAAAAAACGAAAACCATAAATACATTCATACACTACAGACAACAGAAAAAAGCATTGTGCAGCGTTAACAGGCACGTAGAAAAAAACCACAACCGATATAGAAGAGCAATATGCCCAATAGAAGAATTTGAATAAGTCAACGTTCAATTAATCACAAGAAGAAAAAAGAGCTATATACATTGTATATAGAATAACGCGATGAAAAAAAACCAGTGGAGAGAGAAATCTACTGTTATAATATGTGCGTGCGTTGAATAAAGAGAATATTATCTGACATCGTGTCTGTTGGAAATAAATCTTTTTTTTTTAAATCTATTCATCCACTTGCTCATCATCTCCATGCGTTAAACTAAAATATCAGAAATGTTCGTTTTTGATTATTAATTAAACATTTAATTCTGCTTCGGATCTACCTCATATCATTTTGTCCATCGTCATCATCAGTTTGCTCATATTGATTATGATTGATGTCTCTCGATTGTTCATTATGTTGGCCATGATTACCATTAACACTAGCAGAATTTTCATCATCTTCGTCTTCGACATGATGTGAATGTAAAAGGCCCTTTAATGAGAAGAAACAAAAAAACTATCAAAAAGCGGTTATCTTTTCATATTTTTACTTTAAAATCTTTATAATCATCTTCCATACCAAATGGATACGAATAAAGTGCTTGATCATCACCAGCAGACGTGTTATGACTAAAATTAATAATAATAGATTTTAAATTTTACAAGCAAGTAGTATAGTTACCCATAGGATGATGATGATTCATTATGATTATTTCCTTTTTCAACTCCGCGTGTTAGACGTCTTTTACAAAATTCATTTTCATCTACAGTCCACACTGCACCTTTGATATTCTCAACGCGCATAAAACATTTATGTAATGACAAATTATGCCGCACAGCGTTCTATTTTGAAAAAGAAAAGTTTTCAAATTTTCTAATCCAAAACAAAATAAGAAAAGTTCCAAGAATTACCTTCCATGTTTGTGCATTTTTACGAAAATAAAGAAATTGACTCTCGAACCATTTATAGACTTCATTTAATGTTAGTTGATTATCTGGAGATTCGATTATGGCCTAGAATAGATGCATTTATGTTTAAATTTAAAAATATTGTCCTTAAGAATGAATTTACTTGACGAATCAATGTTGCATACGTAAATGGTGGACGAACATCATGTGTCATGTAATATTCACGATTTTTTAATTCTAAATGTATATTTAATTAGCAAAGGAATGTAAAATGATAAGAAGTTTTAGAAGTAATGTTTAATAGTATTTTTCACAATGTTTTATTTTTACGAAGCATTAAGTAACTCAAACTCAACGAAGGAACTCACCAGGTCTGGCTCTTCTAAACATATTTTTGGAGTATTTCGTGTCAACTAGAAATTTTCGTATTATTCTATTAACTATATCCACTCAACAAACCTTTTCCTTTACCAGCTTTTTTGCCACCTAATGCCAGCATTCCTTTTGCTTTTCTGCTCATTTGATGTTTTCCAGTTGAACCTATAGAAACAATTGATAGATTCGTGCCATGAGATCTTGTTAATGCTGATGTATTTTCATTCGTATCCACAATATCATCATCATCATCGTCGTCGTCATCGTCGTCATCTTCATGTGTATCATCGCCTACTTCTTCTTCAACTGTATGAACAGGTGGCGGTGAACTCGATGCACTAGCACGTAGTATAGATTGTGCATTGGCATTATTGGTCGATGAAAGATCTTGTGTTGCTTTTTTTATAAGGCCCGTCGATGTTAGATAAGCGTTTTCTAGTTTAACAATAGGTAAATGATGAAATGTGGTTGCCGATGACGATGTTGGTGATGCTAATTGTGCTGAACGATTATTATTGTAAGATGCTAATGTACGCGATGGTTGATGTGTTATAACATGTGCTGTTGCTGTTGTTGGATTCGATGATGATGCACCATTCGAATTTAATGGTTGATTTCCGCCATGCAAATGTTTCATCATAGCTTGAAGAATTTCACGTTCACGTGTCAATAACGCTTCTAATTGTTGAACAACATGTTGTTGTACACGTGCTTGAGCAACACTACGATCATCAAGTGAATGTTCATCGTTGAGATGTCGATTGAAATCTATCAATGATGAACATAATGTATCACAACTTGGCCAACGACAATAATTTCTTTGATACAATGAATTGGTTGATGCATCTTGTTGTGTCGAACGATTTATTGTTGTTGTTGTTGCTGTTGCTGTTGGCATGATAATACGAGCTTCAGCTGAAATATTATTGTTTGTTCCGATTAAATTCAAACCTGTAAAAAAATTTAAAAAAATAGAAACGATTCTTATTATATTTTCCTATTCAACTATTAAACAAACAAACGTGCAAATGAAGCAACGAGGAAAAAATCATGGATTATTATACGCGTAAAAAAAAACGAACACATCATTCGGACGTAGGGAAAGGACAATGGCAGTCTTTTTCATTGCAAAGAATGACGAACCGGTTATGGTTCGACCTGCTGTTAGCAGATCTGTGAGGTTGATCGTTGTTGGTTGAGATTGAGGATGTGTTGATATTGAAATCACTGGTGGAGATTCTGTAGACACTTACATATATAAATAAATGTTGTTTATTGATAGAAGAGCTTTTCATCTTGAGGCAAAGAAAAATGACGCTATTCTTACCAGTAGCTGATGAATTATTGGGTGTTGTTGTTGTTAGATATTGAACAGTAGCTGTTGTTGGTTGATTGGAATTATTTGAATTTGTAATACTAAATAAACTAGGTATTTGTTGCTGTTGTTGTTGCTGCTGTTGTTTAGAGGAAACTTGTTGAAGAAGGAGTTGTTGATTTGCTAGTTGATTCTAAAAATAAAAAGTGAATTATGGATAAAAAACAATATTTGACCTCTATTTACTTGAATTTGCTTAATAACGTCAGAATTCGACGTGTTTGTTGGTGGTAGTGGAGGTGGTTGAACAAGATTAAGTTGAATTTGCTCACTTAATTGTTGATTGATTTTTTCAACAAGTAGACGTTGCTAAATCATGGAGAAATATGCGTATTCTATTGTGTTTAGTAGTCTTTTTCCTCAGATAAATACTCGTTTATTATCGTTGTCACAGACGTTATAGCATGCGTGAAACAACAAAGGCACAAAGATAGTTTGGTTGGTTGTTGTTGTTTTTTTTATGTTTCTTTTTCTCTCCTTCGTTCGTTTTTTTTATTCTATTATTAATTTTCTTTCCTCCTCGTTCTTATTCTCGATATATTGTTTTTTTTTGCCGTCCTCATAAGCGAACACTATAATCAACATCCTGCGCGATGTTTGTTGTATAACGAATGAGACGTCAAAGAAAAGATGGAGAAAGGGAGCGAAGGAAAAAAATGAGACACCCAAGCCATATTGTTCATTGCTTCAATACGAACAGCCACTCCTTTTAGGCTTCATAAATGACCATAGACATATGAAAAAGAGACAGGGAGAAAAGGGGAGGTGATATACATTAGCGGTGACCTGTTGCATCATATAAATTATATACCTGTTCAGGACTTGTTAGTATTTGTTGAATAAGCATATTTTGTATTGCATTAGATGATGGTTGTAAAAATTGAAGCATAGCTGATGTTGTGACTGGCTGTTGTTGTTGGGGTGGTGATACGGCTGTTGATAAATAATCACCTGAATCTATTAAACGCATTGTACCCTGAAAGAGACAAATTAGCGTAATTAGAAAATATGCTAATATCTAATTACATTATTTGATGATGTTGGTGAAACAATAGTAGTTCCATTTTGTAAATGACCTGTTTGCTCATTAAGTATTGTTGTCGATGATGTTTTAGTTCTAGTCGGTGTTTGAAGTTTAGATGTTCGATTTGTTGTTGTCACTCTCATTTTAGATTTTATGAAAAAAAACTCATTCAACGGCAATCTACAACATAGATCAATGATAAGTTTAACCCTCGTTTTTTTTCATTCTTTCGGTCAATATTTCTTATTTGTGCATTCTTTTTTTTTCTACCAAAAAAAAATACGAGAGGTCAAAACTTAATTGTGTCAATAGGCAAATAAAAAAAGAAAAAAACCAATATATATATATATATATATATTGTTTATCTTAACTCGTTCGAACATTGCCATGAAGTTGCTTTGATAGGACACAGTAAGAAAGCAAGGAAAAGAGAAAAAAAGGAAAGAATAACGATATGTTGTTGTTGTTCTGTTGTGTGTTCGGCAAACGACCCCAACGTATACAATAGCAATATTTCTCGCTTTTAATCAACAAAATGCAAAGAATCTTTGATGATGTATCCAATAAAAAACTTTCTCTTGTTCAATACATTCAAAAAATAGACCTTTGAGAAATAAACTAGCTAGATTGGTATCTTCTTTGTTTTCTTTTCTAGCCTGTCATTGATGCAAATAATCGACGAGTATGATTTGGAACATCAATGAGCCATTAAGAACTCTAGTAAATGTCTAGATTCAATCAAAAAATTGTGTTATATCAGAATTTTGATTTATTTACTTGAATCTCAATTAGCCATAACCGTATGATGCATATGTAATCTTGTTTGACTCTGATCGAATATTTTGACTGTATTCGGCAAATCATACACGAACGTCATTGATTACTTTTTCAGCACAAGTTTTACCATCATACACTGCATGACTAACAGCAAGTAATGTGGCACTGTCACCATAGTTAGTTTTGCAGAGATACACTAAAAATATGAAACTTCAGAAGTGAAACCAGGCGATAAGAATATTTTTTTCATACTTGAGAAGAGATACCGTATGGATTTTGATAGATTTACAAAATAATATATATGTACGTGCACATATAGATGCGTTATTTATTCGAAACTCTTGGAACTGTCAAGACATAATAACAAACAAATAAAAGGAACCTATTGAAACAAAAAATAAGGAAGAAAAAAAGCTTTCATACCATTGGTTTAAGGGAAGATTTTAGAAAATAGTGCGAGAAAAAATAAATAATTTATTATTTATAGAAATTATGATGAGTTGTAGGTCTGTTCTTTGTATTATTTTGATTTAGTAAAAATTGAAACAAAAAGATGGCGCTACATATCAGTTCGATCTTAGATTGTAAAATGTCGAAATTGTCAAATATATAATTTGAATAATTTATAATATGAATTTTTTTCGGTGTGTGAAAAGAGGAATCGGTGGCAACTACTATCAAAGACAAAGCTTTAAATGAATCAATTAGCGTTTAATAGAAGTGTTCAATTAATGTCATACTATAATACAAGTTAAATCAATGCAATATTAACGACTTAAGAGATGAACTTACTACTTCTACCAGCTTACATATTTTGTGAAGAGCAAACGCATAACTGAAATTCTATAATTAAAAAATAACAAGAATAAAACATGATAGTTAAGCATATACTGATAATCATATCAAAGCAAAGTATTCGAAGAATTGAAATTTTTTAAAATCAAAAATGTGTTTTTTTCTTTTCTTATAGACTATACTATCTTCCAGAATTGTGACTATGTCTTAAAGATTTTTTCAAAAGCAAGACTACATGATTGATCTAGCTGAACAATCTATCAAACAATTACAGATTGACTGACTGTATCTTTTTAGAAACTGAAAGATGCGTGTGCTATCAGTGAATAAATGTGTGAAGATGCATGATATGTGCTTAATGATCTTTTGTTTTTCAATGAGTATGCTAAACTTGGTTGGCAAATGACATGCTAATAGATTTGTCTCGGCAAGAAATGATTACTAATTTCATGATGATTGAATCTTTATCAGCAAGAAACGAAAAAAACAATTCATTCATCAATTTAGTTTTAAGACCAAGATGAATTCTAATCATACTTCGAATAAGAAATAAATGTAATAAACTTTTCATATGAAATTATTAGAATAATTGTATTTCGATTTTTAAGAATTAAAAACGACCTCCTTCAAGAGAGCCATAGGGTTTTACATCTGTATTTTTCATTAATATCCTCAAATAGACAGAAGTAATCATAAATATGACTTTAGTATTGGCTCGGAAAAAATACTCTAGCCCCCGAACTTCTTTATTCATAGCATTAAATACAAGTAACAGTACTTGTCTAACACAGAACTATTACTGAATATAGATTTTACAGGTAAATATTCATAGAAATAATCAAGAGTATTATGAAACATAACACTTTTATTGGTAATGTCTTTTTATGTAGTCATAAAAATTATCTTCATTATAAAGTTAAAGACAATCTATAATTTTATAGTTAGATTGAAAAATAGAGATATAATTTCATTGAGAATCTGTTTCAAATGGGTTTCTTTAAACTACGATTATAGTACATCCTGCAGATAATATATTTGTGTAACAATTAATCAATACTCTTCTCCTTTAGTTTAGACAAATTGAAATTATCAAAACAGACGTATCTCCATTAGTTACAGTCTAGAATTCAAAATTTCATTCTATACTCCGATGAAATATGTAAGAAAAAGCTTTCTATAAATTCTCAGTCCTTTTTTCTTACTTAGTAAATCTGTGTCTGATATGATCCACTAGAAAAATCGATTAATTTCATTGGTCTCTATTTTAAACTCTATGTAAAATCTTCTGCGGAATAGTTCCGTTACAGCAATTAAGTCAAATAGTTTGACAACTGAAATCCTATTATATTTCAAATTGTCACACTAACTTAAAAGTTGTGACATCAACTACAACTGAATAGACATTTGACGTGCTCTATAGAGCATAAAGTGCAGACTATGCTTAAGCGATACAATAATATCTATGATTGCCTGTAGGTTATTTATTCGATATATTTTAACGTTTCATTTCAATCACTCATTGCTTTTTTTCATGACGTCAATTTATTTTAAATTTATTCTTGAATAGAAAAGTAATGAAAGAACTCAATGCCTATAGAATTCAACAATAATAAAAAAAAGTGATGGGTGGTAAAATTTTGAAAAATATAATATATAACTAACATACGTACTTTTCTAAGTGGGATATTATATAAATGAAATCAATCCTGATCCTGCCTTTTCTTCTTAAAAGATTAGAAGGATAAGGGTGAAAGTCGAGTAGATAAAGCTGGGTACACTTTCCGAAAGGAATGCTCGAGCAAAACATCATATTTGTGACGTAATGCCTACTAAATATCTCTTCTACAAAATTATAATCATCAATCTTAGATATTCTAACAATAATAGAGATCTAGTTAAGCGCAGTACGATCTCTTCTTCATCTCACTATCTTTACTCCTACTAAAATGAACTACTGAGAGTTTTCTTTGCAACAAAAAACACAGATACAAACGCTAGTTATACTGAAATACCATGTAACTTCCAAATGTAGCAGTAGTAGTCAAAGAACGGAGACAAAGTTTTATTTTGTCTTCGTCAATTGATAATCAATATACGATAGAACAATGTTGATAATGACTCTACTGCAAATCAGCTAAATAATATTCCTGCTGTGATCGCAGTATGCAAAAAAAAGCAGATAAATGAAAGTATTTCCATTGTACTACAGGATATCTACAACATACAAAAATGAAAAAAAACTATAACAAAAAAGAATAAACAAACAATAACGTTTAACAAGTATATTTTAAATTCTTAACCTCAATTTTTATCTGGAATTAGAAAACAATCATCACTAATAAATACGAGGCGCTTAAATAACAATGAAAGGAAGTCTTCTATCTTGATATCTGTTAGTTGTAAAGATCAAAAAAAAAAGAAAACATTTATCGTAAAATCTTGAAGTTATAGATTAAGTCTTTTTTATGTAATAAATTAAAGTAGCTGACAATAAAAGTTGTGAGAAATGAAAAACAGATAGTGTATGTATTTCTATATATACATGTATATATATATATCTGTTTTAAAAGAAAAAAAACAAGAAATAAAGCCGAAAAACTTCCTTAATACATATTTATATATAATTCATCATACTCAAAATAAATCTAATCGACAGAAGCATTTCCGTTGATAGTTTTGTTGTCATATTTCAAATGAATGTTTCGTGTTGACGATGAATATTTTTTAGGATTGGATTCTGTCGATGATCTATAGTCTTCATACTGATGATGTAGACTTGTTGATGAGGAACGGCATTCTAAAACATAATCAATCAATAGAATTTATCTCTAGTTATTATATACGCGTCGGTTTATTTTTATACCTCTTGAACGACTAGTTGATCGTGCTCGTTTGTTACTATTTTTTACTGGTTCATTTTTCATTATTGGTGATAATGAAGATGTTGAAGATGTGACTAAAACTTTATGAAGTAATCTTTCAGCTTGATGACGTTCTAATTCGACTTGTCCCGTCTGTATTAAATTAACAAACGTTGAAAAATATGGTTGAATATGTACAACATCTAAATCTCCATCTAGTACAGCATCAAGCATTCGTTTAGCTATTAAAGGTGAAACAATCTGATTAGAGTTTTGCTTTGATTCTTCATTAGTTTTTGATGATTGACTCGATGTTGTCATATTGTATTCATCTTCTTCATCCGATTGTAAAAGGCCGCTTGCTGCTAATATAGCACGTGCGGATTGTTCATTCAGTACAGCATTAGTACCATTGGTTGTTTTTTGTTGTGCATTTAATAATGTATACCCATCGAAGTTCGGTTTATTTTTTGTTGGAGATATTCGTAATATACCATTTTGAGTTAATGTTGGTGTGCGATTTGTATCAAGAATAACACGACGATTTGACGGTTGACTAGTATTTCGACGAATAGTTTGACCATTTTCTAGGGTTACATGGCTATCATTGGCAGCTGCAGATAAAGGAGACGTATTTGACGTTGTTTGCTGAAAAGGAATTCAAACCATTCAATAATTCTTTGCATAAAAAGATATTATCGGAGAAGTTCATCTCATGAGAGACGATTTGAAGTCGGCTGAAAATTTTCGTTCGGCTAAGAGACTAAACATCTGTGTGGAATTGCAGTTCAAAATTAATGCTGAGAAAGAAGCATGTCTGTTATTGTTATCGTACTAACTAGCGATTGAATTGAGCTCATGTTCTACAAGCCCCATACATACATTCTGAACTTCAACTGGAAAGGAGCACAAAGCTAACTTTCTACTTCAGTTCTGCAAAAACTCAGCTGAAAAATGCGCTGGCATTTTGCGTTGAAGCTTTTGCCGTGCTTATTTATTAGCAAGTTATCATCACATACGATAGCTCTCCTAACATAGGTGTGTTGAAATATTGTAGAAAGACAATAAAACTATAGAAAATATCAATTTCAAAAGTTTTTTCCATCTTATTGTTTTCATACAAATTACTCAACACTCATACCGATATGCCTTGAAATGGTTGTAAATTATTTGGTTCAGGTCTAAGAAAAAAATAAAAATAAAAATGAAATGGCTAAATAAGACGACATACATGGTCTCTTCATAGGTTACTGAATGTGGATCAATAGGTCGCGATCCAAGAAGATCTTTATAATTTTGATACCAAAACTGACGTTCAAATGGATACAATAAATCTTCTGGAGATAATCCTCGTTGAATTGAATCTTAAAATTAAAATACAATTCATTTAATAAACAAAAAAAAGACAGTTTTTATTCTACTAACCTTCATTATTCACTGTTTGTCTTTACAAGAACAACAACATAAACATCAGTATGTAAATTAGTAAATAAACTTACTCAGATGTTAATTCTTTCTCATCTACAAAATACAATTAATCATACTCATGATCTTTTGGAATCAATCAGTTTACCTTTGATTGGTATATTTTCATATGAATAATTATATTCTTGAAACGTTTTTGCCATTAATTGTATTGATGCTTTCTTATGTCCTTTTGAATTTGGTCCTGATTGAGATTTAAATGTCACAGCCAGTACAATTGGTTTTTGACCAATAAATGAATCCAGTTGAATATATAATTGAATATTCCCAGGACCACCATGTCTCAATTGAATTTGCTTGGCATAGTTTTCAATCAAACGTTGTTGTTCAGATCGAATATTTGATGCTGACATTACACGTTCATACATATCTTGATGATTGTTTTTCTAATTCAATGAAAAAATATATTGTTTAAGAATAAAACTAATCGTTTTGTTTTTGCTCCTTACTAAAAACTTTTGTTGATGTTGAATATTTAAAATGTGAGAAAGAAGAGATTCGGACGAAAATTTCAAATGACATAATTCGCAAATATATTGAGGTGGATCAGTGAAATTTTCAAATTGAAATTCGATTATATAGTTCAAACCTATTTAATAGTAAATTCGTTTCTGAATTAATTAAATGAATCGAAATTCAAAAATACCTAATAAAGGTTTTTTCATTTGATTGATTTCTTTTTCACAACGCAATTGACGATTAAAGACTTTTTTATTAAGCATCTCTGGTGAAAACATTGCTTTGTATGCAGGACGATATTCTGGCGCGACTGATTGTTTTTTCAAAAAAACTTTTCAAATGAAGTAAGAACAAAAGAAATATCTACCTGATTGTAATACATCATGAATACTCTGTGCCTGTAAAATAAAGAAAATATTTTTCATAGAATTTTTAACCATAAATAGAATCGCTTTTAATGTAATATCCCACTTGAGATTTGCTAATATTCTATTGACAGTATATTTCTTAGCAAATAAATTTTGATGAACAACTTATTTTTACAACTGTAGATGCTAAGACAAATCAAATAATTTATTTGATTAGAATACTTTATTTTCGATTAAAATGATTCGATATTTTTTCAAGAAAACAAACTTTCTGGAAAATCAAAGCTTTTTAAACTCTTGAAATATGGAAACCTCCCTCGACTAGATGCAATCAACTTCATGACTGTCTTTGTCATGATATTGATTTCACACGGTCGAAAAACATCATCGAGAGCTGAAGAGTGTTATATTTTTAGAGATTTCATTCTTCTACGTAATTCAGATAAATTTGTTTTTTCAAATATCAAGAGACAAAAAGCTAATAACAGTACTCATCGTCAATAATACGAATCATTATTTAGGAGAAAATTCGATTGCATTTTGTAATAATTCATTGTACATTAACCAAAACATGAAACATGAAACAAGGTTAGTTAATAAAAATTTGAAACCACGTAACTAATTTCTTCGTGAGTTCAAATAATAGTTTTGATGAAATTCTATTGGAACTTGCATTTGAAACGTGTACATCTTAATTATCGATCACATGAAAAGAATGATTATTAATCTACCATATTATAAAATACAAAGTTTTAAGGGAGCTTATAGTGTTACATTTTATGTTATCTAATACTGATATTATGATGTCGTATCAAATAGCAATAAATTAACCGGGAAATGAATCAAACAACAGCTGCATTGTTTGCCCGATTGGCTTATGAGCTTCCATTATCAATACGATATGGCTACACTAATATGACAACCCAGGTCGACTGATCCGACATCGGATCCGATAGGAGCCTGGAAATATCCTACAATCCGATACAATTCTATTGTGTTCCGGGTCGAGGAATCGATGTCGGATCCTCAGTGTCGGAACCCTATGAACTTCCGATGACATGCAACGGTTTTTCCTTGGAATTCATAGGAATCCGACATCGATTCCTCGGCCCGGAATCCAACAATAATTCTGTAAGATCTGACAGGATCCGATAAAATCCTATTGGATTCCAGTCGGATCGGATGGGTTTCCATACACTGTAAAAAAAAATTCGTAGAATACTAAACCCAAAAAGGGTTGATGAAAGTGCAACGTATAATAAACCCTTTTTCTGTTTTTGAAAATTTTCATAAACCCTTTAAGGGTTTATGATTATGTGGAAAATACCCTTTAGGGTTTATGAAAATTTTCAAAAACGAAAAAAGGGTTTATTATACGTTGCACTTTCATCAACCCTTTTTGGGTGTAGTATTGTACGGATTTTTTTTACAGTGTAGGTGCCTACTGTCGAATTGTTCGACCTGGGAATGTGTTCTTCTAACAATCGTACTGAACCAATCACTAGTTATATGTTATATTATTCGATGACACTAACAAATTGACGATACTGTCTACTGTCTTGTTTAGTTTACGACAAACATTAAATTATTTTAAGCTTCTTGACAATCATACTTGTTGATGTTGGCGACTGTTCAGATGAGAATTGAAATGTTTTTGATTAGATAAATCAATATTACAAACAGCACATGAAAATCGTCGGACAGATTTAGTTGTTGTCTGATTATTATTATTATTATTACTGTTAGTATTATTTATTGTACGAGTCACATTTGTTGGATGAGATAATTGAAGGATTGTACTAGTGGGTTTCGATAATGTTGAAGATAATACTTCAACAGAATCAGATTGCTTCAAGTTTGTATTCTATAGTAGTAAAATAGAATTTAAAATGTAAAATAAAAGATAAATTTCTTTTACCATCGATTTTATATTGGAAGCATCATTTGATTATCTCATTCTGGGCAAAAAAATAAATTCACTTTTTATCACTTTTTATTTGATTGGTTGAAGAAATTATCCCAATTAAATTCGATTGATATTTGCTAAAAATCATTTTGTTGTAAATAGAATTTTTTTTCAATCTTTGAATGAAATCTTGATCACATATGGAAAATTGTATTTTTCTTATACAAATAAATCCTCTAGATTGTAGTGACCTCTCTTGCTTTATCAGCCTGCGCGCATTCTTTTCTTTTACTAACGATTATTTTTAGTATTATATTAAGTATGTGTACATATTTTATAATGTTAGTTGAAAAAAAATTTCATCGTTTGAAACTTCGAAAAAGTGAGAAGAATAAAATAAAAGCTATAAAATCAATTTTTATCCAGATGAAAAGCAACGGTTAGTAACAAAATTAATTTGTATTCGAGGATATCGAAATGAAAAATATGAATTCAATTATGGGATGAGCTTTATCAAATTAATTTGGCTTGTTCATTTGGAATCGAAAATAAAATATATTTCTATATCTTTTTCTAAAATCTTTTTAGCATATCAGATTTGTTTTTATCTATGTTTTATTTAAAGAGAATAAACTTGATTTCAAATAAAAAGTCAAAACATCAATCTAGTCCTAATCGACTTTCCCACTGACAATCACTGGAGAGTCCCCAAATTTTACAGAGTACCAAAAAAACAAAAGTTCCCTAGAGAGTCCCTATGGAATCCCTGGGAGATTTATCAGGGAGTGCAGAAATGTATTCACTGCTTTCTTTTACGCTTATGGAAGCATATAAGAAACTCAAAATTTAGAAGAAATTATTGTTTATTTTTAACATCAAGTTTTTTCCAAGTGATAAATATTATTTGGACTCCTACCTATGCTCTCTCAGCGATAACTCATGATTTTTTAGGTGATTTAACAATCGGAGAAATTGTCCACTGAGACGAGGCCTACTAAATGGCTTAGATAGAAGATCCTCTTAGAAAGAGACATATTGGAAAAACTGACTTTCTATTCACAGGAAGCTAACAAAAAGTTAAATAACTAAGAAATCGCTAAACTCTCTGTGACATGCCTGATAATTTCTGGGGACTCCCTGCCATAACTCTCCGGGGAGTTTTACAGGAGACTTTCTAGGGGAGAACTGACTATAGGGAACAATTTCGAATTCTTTTAAATGGCTATGAAATAAAATACAGCGAAAAGAAACATTTTCTGCGTGGAGTCATTGCAGGTACGTTTTATTTTAATCAGATATTTTAATCTTTTATTTTCACATAATGACTTCTCGTACTTCTATTGAAATTTCATTTGACTTCTTTTTTACATTAGATAGAAGTGTATCTTATTTTATTCAATTAAAAAATTAAAAGGTAATAAAAACTATATTGATAGGAATTTTATTAAAAGCTAGAAAGTCTCACTTCAACATAGTTATCAATAGAAAACGTTTTTGGATGAAATTTACCAATTAACACTGGGCCCAGTCGGACGCGATCCCCTGATAGACTTATTGAAGAAACTGCAACATGACCTATTCAGTAGTAGAAAATAGATTAAAGAATTTTGAAAGTAGAATATGTTTTCTTTTCTATGTCTTGGTTACAAAACGATCGATAGTAAAGCGTGGAAAGCGTGGAAAACAAGAAAAACAACTATGGTCGCGAAAATGAACACGTAACTTACATATAACAGGTGGTGTGTGTATGATTTAATGATATATACATTTAATCGACCATTCGAACTAGACAAAGAATGTCTCTGTTACCGTCATTGCATTCTTCAAAAATGAACTTCCAATTGAAACGCGACCATCCAAGAAGACGCATTGCAAGCAAAAATATTTCCATTTTCTTTAACAATTAATTAGCCGTGAACAATATCATCGCCCGTTTGTATTGACGGATAGAGAACAATTAGTCTAAGAAAAAAGATTACAGAATGCAACTAGGAATGTGAATGGCCTACAGTGTTAAAAAAGAGGGTTTTTGAAAGTGCAACGTGACACATACCCTTTTTTTTACAGTGTATGTAGCTAGCGTTTAATAAAGTGATGACCATGGAGAATCGTCAAATCTTTTAATTATCTTAAATAACTCTTTCGTTTTTTTAGCTTTCTAGGTGAATGAATCCGACAAGTCGACGAAATCCGATCGGGTTCAGGTTTAGGACCTACTAGCGGATCCGGCGGAAAAAAAACATTTTCTTAATCATCAATGAATAAGCATATGGTGTCAACAGAACACATGGGTCAAATGCTTATGTTGGATCCTATTAAATTCCGACACGAATCCGATAGAATCCTACTATCGGAAGCATTCTCCTGGGTACATGTTAGAGGTATAAACCCTGGACATCTTTTTCTTTATTCTTTTGTTTTCTCCTCCTCTCTCTATCTCTCTTTCATCTTTGTTTACATCAATATATATATGTGTGTGTGTGTGTTAAACCAAGAATATATTGGATAAAATAAACGTAAAGCTCGGACACGACGGGCTAACAGTACACAATAAAATAATTGGATTGTACAAATATCTTGAAGAATTGTTTTATAGAAAGCATCAACTATAGCATTGAGTGATGAGAAGTTGAAATAGTATTTATTGTGCATTCAATATCTTCAAAGTTCGTAAGAAAGATATGGCTATTAACGGGATCTCTTAGAAGCATCTGTATCCTTTTGATATTAATTTTTACTAGTTCACTACTTCCTGATTTTCATTACTTCTGATAACAATGGAATAGATGCTTCTGTTGTGCACTAAATAATATGCTCAGAGAAAACCTAATCAAATCGTAAAAATTACTCAATCTCGTTTCTCTATCATAGAGTCACTATAGATCAATTACACGACCCTACACACATAAAGATGTACATGTTATCGCTTATCTATCGCATAATTGACATACTAGATAGCAGAGCTCTGCGGAACCCAAGAGTAGTCGCGCTCTATCCTCCCAGGAGAGTAAAAGATGGATAAAAAGACTAGTCCTTATTCTAGTCGTATCACCGTGTCCGGTCTTGTCTTTTTCTCAAAAATTCCGGGTACAGGACTAGTCCGAAATCAGCTGTAGTTCATATATCACATCTTGACTAACCAATTAACGGGGGTCTTGTTTATGATATGTGTTACGATTTTGTTATAAATATTCGTTTATTTAATTTATAACGAAAGAAACAAAAACGAAACGGAAATTATCAAATTTTTGGTAATAACAGAGATTTCAGAGATATCAAGTGCAAAATCTCTAAATTTTCCGTAATTTCCTTTTTGCGGAAATCTGACCACTGCTGCATGAACTAGGGTTGCGCTCGGACTAGTCAGTTTTAAAATATGAAAGTATAACTATTAGATTTTAACATACATACGAAATGTTCAGATGATTGAATCATGTTATCGAGGAGCTTACGTCTAGATATAAATAGCCATCGTGAATTCTCTCTCATGCACTTTCAAAGTTTTTAGTCATAAAAAATTGTTTCTTAGAAAAAAACTATTTAGATAATTTTTAATAATATTTTCTGGTAATCTTTTCATCAAAATTGATTAATCTTAGAGTGAAAATAACTTGTTAGTATAAAAATAAATCCTAGTATTATTTAGACTACAATGAAAGTAAACAATTTGAATGATCTGTAGAGTTTAAAATTAAACTTCATATAATTATTTTAAATTTATCTATAAATTATTTTCTTTCAATCCGAATGTATATTTAAATTCAATCTGACAGAATTAATGATTTCAACGAAATAAAATGTAAATTTATTATAAAAATATAACTAAATTAAAAAATTACAGTCTATTATATATGCATAACAGATTGTTAAAAACTTCGATCAGAATACACAACATATGATAAATATTATGTGTATTTATTTTCCCGTGCCTCACTTTCGGAGTTCCAAATCAAAATATTTAAGTCGTTTCTGATTAGTTGGGAAAATCCAAGTTTAATTAATTCTTCATTGTCAGAGAAACAGGCGGATGTCATCTTGTAATTTAGGCTCTATAAACTGACGTAAGCATATTTCTATAATATGTTCTACCGTCTGGATGCCCGTCAGTTGTTAAATAATGTCGGTTTGTGTTCGACTCCATTTATGATCTATGCCTTTTTATTATTTTTCTGGCCTATAAACTAGTCTAAATGGCGTGGATGAACAATCAGATTATACATAATTGGACTTCAGGACGGTTTGGTCTAGTCTTGACATGGTGCAGGACGCTTTTGGTTCCGATAAATAGCAATGATGGGTGCAGTAGACATCTCAGACTAGACCTGGAGTATCTTATGAACTTTTTAGACTAGTCATGTAGCCCGTCCTCACCATTTTTTGCCCGCCTGGGGCTACCTCGTTCCAAAATAAGATCTATTAAGTTGTACGTTCCACTAAAGTGTATATATTACGGCAATGTGGGTGTTCTGGAAAAAATACAACACAGGTTTACAGAGCCTATTAGAAGCCTAAAAGACGCTGCGTTATATTCGACAGTTGAACTTTTGAAAAAAGGTTCAGGCTACAGAAAAAAATTTGCGATGAAAATATCCGAGCCATTAATTTTTTTATGTTTAGTATCTTTTTTCAAGAATTCTACTGTCTGGTAAAAACATAACTTTTTAAAAGTCCAATAGATTATGCAGGTATCATTTATTTTTTTCAAAATACGCATGCCTGCATCCAGAAAAATAGCTACAATATACTGTATCTCAGATCAGATCACCTAAAATAAAATAAAAACATTACATTACTACAATGCATCTCATTCAAACGGAACTGTCAAATTTCTATTGGATGGCTAATTCTCTTGGCTTCAATTAAATGAATTTGGACAAAACTTGAAAATGATTTCGATCAGTATTGGTTGGAAAATTCTTTCTAAAAATATTTTGGTACTTGACCGAATCTTTTTAAGTTCCACAACAGCTACGAAAGCATCCAGGCTAGAGATGAATCATCGATGACTTGGTGCG